TAATCGTTGTAGATATAAAGACTTAAATTAAATGAACTTAAAAGAAAAAAAAATGATTAGCCAAGACACGATCTATGTCTTGTTAGTAGTATGCAATACAGCCAGCGAGCGTTTTAGATGATAGGATACAAGTTGACTTTCTACAGTAAAGTACCAGAAAAGGACTCTACTGACTATTGGACAACATCGGCATTTCTTTTACTTCTTCCCCTATCATTACATACAATGAATTATAAGGCTGTATGTAGAATGCAATGATAAAAGTTGCCGTCATTTCACTCTTGTTTTACTTGTAATCCTTTGATCGAGATACGACACCCATTTTGGCATGAATATCAGACCCCTCGAGCATGTGGCATATGCTTGATTCTATATTCTTACTATCGACAGCAATGGGCTAGGATTAGCGTATCTACTACAGTAATACACTGTTAAATTATCCGATAGACTACATCAATCGTTATGTTATTTCCAATTGATAATTAAGGTGTTGTATGTTTGGGGTTACATTTCTATTATTTTAATTAATAATCTTACCCTTTTTTCCTTCTATATGATGAATAGGGAGCCTTAGATAATTTAAATCATTTAAGAGCAGGACATTCCAGTGAATTATTGTTTGACAAAAGGGACAGACCACGCAGTACAAGTCCACGTCGGTCAATTTTAAATGATCGTCCTCGAATAGTATCCTATATTAATTCTTTTTAAAGTTGTATTCATTTGCTAGGGTACCATGACTATACGGTAATCATAATATAGAAGAAATGATGAAATGTAAAGACGGAATTTTATACGCAAGTGCTTATACAGATTCCATTATTCTAAGTTATTATTCACTTTGGATTACAATATCCTTGGTATTGATTCCATTTTCTTACTCTACATTATTTTCATCAATAAAATAATATCGAACTATGCTTGACTTGGATCATCGATAGAAACGATATCTACTACTTCATAGTCATTACTTATATTGTTTGTATAGTATTGGTATAGCGGATTTCGTCATTCTCTACTTACTTTAGAGGATTAAACAAAAAACCAGTCGACTCTGTCTTATTCTTACAGTATACAGTTAATTGCAGTATCTACCGGATATTAGCGATCATGAATGTTTTGTGCCATTTTTAAAGGATAGAAAAAAGATTTTTGCAATACTGAATTTTACTTATTATACCTTGTGTTCATTTTGGACACGCACCATCTATTTTGTAGTAGCTTCTATTAGTGTTGTGTATCAACCATTTATGATTGTTATACTGTATTATAATATTTCATCGTGTTAATGGAATTTTAACCAATAGTATGCTTCAATCATCTCGAATATTTTTTTTAATATTGATTCATAGTATTGCAATTATAGCCGCACTGATCGTACATTGTAACGTATGTACAAAATGAGTTACTATTATAGTAATTTGGATTTATGCCGTTCTATGTTAGCAATTTTATAAAAATTCTATACGTATAAGATAACGGTAAATAGAAGCATTTTGCTTTGCAAAATTTTCCTTAACCAAAGACAAATAGAACGATTTAAATTCTCCTTATCCGCTATATTTGTCGCCGCCTGCAGAATCTAGTTGGAGAAGGTAAGTTTGAAGAATTGTATAGAAGAATGCAATAGTTAAAAAGAATAATTCCAAATGTCTCATATTTCTGCGTTATGTTATTTATAGAAAATGTAGAGGTAACAATAGTATAGTGCGTATTTAATTGAAAAATTGCATTCTTAGAAATTTTATTATACTCTAATGACAATATATTATTGAGTAAAAGTTATTTAAAAGTTTTATTGGACAACGACGTTATAATTGACATTTTACTGTATAGTATTGATCCTAGTCTTAATACCGACATCTTACTAATGACGTTTTTGTTCATAATATGAACAATATTTTATGTTTTTACCATCAATTCATTTTATTATATCATTATACTTTCTCCGTATCCAATTAATCGTGTTGATAAGTGATATAATTTCAGTCTTTAGTAACCTTATGCCTACAAAGTGATAATCTATACATCTATAACGGATGAACTTTGGCGAGATTAATATACAGTAGTTTACCATAATATGTTGCATTATTAATAACAAGTAGCTCGATATTAAAACATAATTTATCCTCGTTGTACTCTAGTAACTTCATTTCTATTGTTTTTGGACACCAAAATTTAGTTTTTCTACGATTGTTGTAACAATTTTTAAGATTAATTGAGTCAATTAGCTGAAACAACGAAAAATTGGAGCGTATATATTCGTACTAAAAGTACCAATACCTTTGTAGTGACAATTAGTAACTATCAATGTTATCAATATTGTGCACTCAAAGATATTTTTACGAGTACTTGTATAATTTGGATAATTTTTATTGCTTGACTTAAGAGGACTACGTGGGATTAGAATTAACATGTTTTATCTAGCAGTTACATACAAAATATTACTTAACAATTTTTGTTATAGAATACAGTACTTAGCATGTTGATGATTATTTGATTTCCTATTAATAACCCAATAATGTACAAACTTAAAGTAAAAATTTAAATTTTAAAGAGCGCTATTTCAATATTTTAAGTATAAAAGGCTTTAAAACACAGGAATATACAGTATACTGTAGTATTATTGAGTGCAGTCTCCCTAACATTAATACTAACTTAGAAAATGCTTCTGGTAACGAAATTCAGTTTTCTCATACGCCAACTGAAGTATTTGCGTAGGTAGATCAAATACAAATAACTTAGCAACCTAATTACTTATTGATAAACAGTAAAATTCTTGCTATTCTTAATATTCCTTCCCACGTTTATCTATATTTGTTATTGTGATTAAGTCAACTCGGAAATACAGTACAAATAGTAACGCTGCTAAAATACTACCCTAACTCTTTATAAGGACTGCAATTGTAATTAATACATTACTATACTTGCTTGCTTAAATGTTAATATGCAAATTAATACAGCACAAGTTTTTATATTACTCATACGCGACTCGAAAATTACATGATTTTTACAACATGCGTGTTAAACTTCTTCTCTATTATACCATCTTTCCAGAGCAATTGTATTATTGATTATGAATTTTTTGATCATTAAGTTAGTGACTGTTAAACTATTGGTTATACTATAATGATAAGCCTACAATACATATCATTAGTATGTAACGTATAATTTATCACCATTTCGAAAAATGATTTCATTGACATATCAAGAATTTTAATGTATGCAGTATATACGAATATACGATTGCATGTTATAATAGATAGCGCATCAGGATAGTGATTATAATTATCGATATCATCTGTTAACATTCTGTTATTATTCAGTAGTGATACTTCTCTTTTACTGTCGCTGTTTATTGTAAGATGTGATTGATATAATTTTTCTCTGTGCCCCTCTAGTTTTAGTTCTAGCTCACATGGAACAATCACCGTTTGCATTTTGTAATTTGTCAACGTACTTTATTTTGATCACGGTATCTGAGACAATATGACGCTCACATTTTAAGCACAATTTTTTACTTAAACACTTTCAATTTTACTCAAAATACTTTTACCAGCTAATAATGTTCTTATATATTGTTGATTTCACTGAAGTATTGCTAAAAATAAGTTTTGTTATCCTTGATCTACGCCATCGCTATGCCATTTTTTGGTTATCTGATGTTGTTTTAATAGTCTCATACGATGATTCGATGTTATAAAATATAAAAAATAAAACTTTATGATATATAAAGTATCGCTTTGCCTTTGCTCGTATATAATTTATTGACTTTTTAATTGTTGCTTACTTCTGTATGTACTAATCATTGCAATAACTTATTGACAATGGATATATTTCAGAACGATTTCAGATTCTGCTTTGCATAGGAGCGCTATGTCACCAATGTCTGACAATGGATATCCACCAGATAATAATCAAGGTAGTAAAGTTATCCATCACCCAGTTATTAATTCATAGCGCTCCAAAGTAGTACAGTACTGTTAAGTAATTTTGAATAAGATCCTAACTTGTGAACAATTTGGTTTTTTGATATATTACTAGATTAACGTAGAAAATATATTAAATGCCTTAGAGCTATTATTTTTCTAAGGCAATACAATCTGTCAGTTAGTATGCTAACGTGATAAGATTATACCTCGTCTTTAAATTAGTTTAAAGGTCTTGCAGTTATTTATCTACGTACCAGTTATATGTAAATTTGATATGTATCTATCACTCTTGCTATAATTTTAGTGAGCTAATGAACTAAAAAATCTATTTAGCGGTTACTAATTCTGTGTGATTTTTTATAGTACCAAATTTATTCTACTAGTTGTAATTTGTCGAAGATGCTTTCTATACTGTACTGATTGATGATCTAATATTTCTTTTCATTGCCCTTTAAAGCAATGACAGGATCTCCAACTCCATCGATAGAGCTATCGCAGCAACTTTGGAAACAGGTCTGTTACCAGCTTGGATAATAAATAATCGTTGAACAGATCACTTACTGACTATTGATAATGATTAAGATGTATTATTTATGACATGCGAAGATACTGTCATTTTTTAGGGAATTATAGTTCTTTTCTTTTCGTTGCAAGTAATAAAAGAATTACTATCATTTTTGAATCATAATGCAACAACTATTCTTCGTAAACTCGGTCAATAATTAATTAAGATAACTATTTTATTATAGTCTAATAAGAGGTAAAATTTAGTACCTAGTGTGATAGATCAAGTCTTACGATATTAGTATAAGAAGTTAAAATACTTATTGAGTACTTTATTTTTGCTATATTTTTTACTTTTTATATACAATGGCCTAAAATAATATTATTTCTGTTGATTGTATTATATTATATAGCAGCAACCAGTGGCTTCAGGCAATATGAAAAGGTATATTAATTGATATAATAAACCTAGTGTAAATAGTAAAAGTAATATATAAATTAGATAGTACGATATGACTGAATTTTCTTTACGTTGTAATTGTTGTTATTAGCCTTCCACCTAAGATGGCACCAGCTGCTGCTCTAGAAATGCAGCAAATGGGATCGGCGAATACTGGCTCCCTCCCAGATTTGTCTAGCCTTCAGTTCTGCTCGCCGTTAAAAACTCCATTAGATCCACCGACTGATCCGGATGACAGCGTGGGTAATCTGCGACCAAGCGGAGCGCTTCGTTCTCGTGCAGTTCGTCAAAGTTTACAACGTCGCCATACTCATAGCGGACCAAGTCCGCTGGTTGGACAACCCCGTCATAACATGCAACAGCTAAATGCTGTTTCAGGAGAGCCTGTGAAACAAGAAAAATATAATCAGCAGTATGCACATTATCAACTTCCAAGGCAAATGCCTCCAATGATGTATCGACAGATACAGCAGCAACAGCAGTCTCCAACTACTCAACAACCAGTAGAATTCACTTTACAATACAGTGGTAATAACCCTGTTAACTCTATCAGCCCATCGACTACTATGCAATCGATGGGATCTACTAGACCATCTATGTCCGCTTCGAATAACAATTACTATCAGCAGCGGCAACAACAAGTAGTATTCACCAATTCCATGCAGTCGCAACTAGAGCCAGGCGGTTATAATAATTCCGTGGGCAATAATTTATCTCAGGTAAGTCCTTTATCTTGATCTAAATTCTTCTTCTCTTCGACTTATTCACACTTTTTTGCTAATAATTTTACTAATAGAGACCCTTTTAGCATTTCTAATAAATATTTTTTATTACCGTAAAATACAGCAACAAAGGACAGCAAGCAATCCTAATCTTTCTAATGGCTATAACATGATGCCTCGGTCAAATGTAGCCAGGGATACCGGTAGCCATATACCTAATATTATTTTAACTGGAGAAATTGATGCAAACCAAAACTCTAATTACTTGTCGAATGAAATGGATAAGGAAGATGATGTACTTGTTTCCGATGCTAATATGGGTACAGATCTATTTAATTTCCATGATCTCGATTCCATTGATTACGCTAACTTACAGCTATTGGATAATCCCGAGTTTATCGCTGACTCAGCTGCAGAGGCTGTATTTCGGTCAGATAGACTAGGATGATCCTATTTATCAAGTTACCAAGCTAAAGAGAAACTTGTACAGCATGATCAGTATGACAATTAAGTTAGTTTGCGACAATGTACATATATGTAATGGTAACAAATGTTGTTGTAATAGATAAATCGATGATTGCAGAAGTTCTTTGTTACACACTGCATAGCGCTGCATGGATGCATGAATATTATTACTATTGTATCACTTTTGCAATAACTAGTAAGTTACTATAATGCTACTATACCCTATCGCTGCTCTAAATTGTTGTCTTAGCTCAATTTCGACCGTCAAGTCCTATACTTCGTATTGTAAATAATGTACAGATGTATGCAGTTTAGGCAGATACGCCACAACATTTGTATTCCTAAGTAGATCTGTTGTGTCTCTTTGCTCTTTTTTAATCACATCAAAGAGAATGGGGTATCTGGTGGTCTATAGATTTTAAAAGTAAATATGAAAGTTAAATTATTTTCCTTAATTAAGACACTTTTCTTATCTACCGATATTATGATTGTAATGAAAAAATTAGCTTCAGCGCTGCCGTACTTATCAACTTTGCTAACTACTCTATCTATTGTATATGCAATTAGAATTTATGTGGTTATTGCATGTCACCATATTGAATAAGGTGTGTGTGTAAATGCGGTTTTACTACATACTACTAGTAGTTAGATTCTTCTTTTGTAAAGCCTATAGATAAATTTGATACCTTCTACATTATTAATTATAAACGTAGTAGTTTCAGGCTAACATGTATGCGTAATTTTAATTGATTGCAGTTATGATTTTACTGATTTATAGTCAATTGCAAGCTAGAGTATTGTACACCATATTATAGACAGATATCGATTGAAATTGACTTTGCTTTTCAATATAGACTGTCGTTATACCATGCTAAGAGTATCCTATAAACTTTTCACATGTTGAAAGTTTCACTACGCAAAAACTTTATTATTACTATATACCAAATCACTTTATAGGTACTGTTTTTGCAACTATTTGATGTATTATATCTGTATAGTGTATTGTATTGGTTATGTGATCAATTTTACATCCAAATTTAAATTAAAGTAAATGGAACGTTGTAAGACCAAATTTATAACCTATATCATCATTCATTAAAATCTATGAACGATTAGAACCTAATATCGCAGTATTTTAGTTCTTGTAAGTGATGTAAGATGCATCAAGAAGTAGTATAATATTACTCCACAAGGCCATAATGCGATGTACCGAGGTATTTACCGCAGAGACTTACAGTAGCAATTTAATAAATTCATATGATAGTACAATTCGACAATTTCGTAAATTAATTTATAGTTTGTATTTATTTATATTATTGCACTATGTAGGTATGTAGTAAGCTGTAGCATGATTTCACAGATATATTAACGGGAAACGAATATTTCTGGCAGTCAATGATGATACACTAATTGAACTATTGCAGAACACCATGTATTTCTTTTACTGTCACATTCATAATTAATAATTTACTTCAAGTGTGCATTACAGTATATACGCACGTTCCCTATGAAATATCACCAAATTTCCTGTAACTGATAACTAACTCATTGGATTTGTTGTGAAAGTTACCTTAGGGAGAACTCTTTATCACTTATCATCGTATACAGTAGTTGCACACCCTTATTTCGTTCCTTAACTGAAGTATTACAGTATGAGATGCCTTTCTTTAGAGCTAGACATGAAATAGTATACGTACTGGATATGTGTATATAGTAGTGAACCATGCTATACATTTAAAAATAATAAAGGGTGTCCTGTATATTTACTATTGATTCACGGCTTTAGAGATAGATAGTTGGTTCGGAATATCATACACTCCATCATATCGGTCAATTTTGTTTAACTTGGGCTCTACTGTGTAATTGCATGTTTATCATAGTAGTAAACTTCCGCCCTACAATACCTGCGTACTTCTTATATTTTATTTTACATTAATGGCTAGTCGTTCAAATACTACTAATTTTTTCATTAATTGTTTGATCTTCATCAGTACATTAGATCTTAGTTGCAAGTCTAGCAATGAAGATTGTTCAATAACTTTTAGAATTTCCTTTCTTAACATCATCTTCGAATCTTCAAACTGCTACCAGAAGCCAAGTAGAACAAATTGTAATGATATTTCATAGATTTATCATGCATACACGTATGATTAATTTTACCAAAAAGATGCCATTTTACGAATATAAACATATATAAATTATCAATGTTGAACAATGCCTGAAACAGAGAATCAAGGTAATGAATATAACGTTTTATTTTTTACTCAAGTAATGTTGCAATAACAGGTTATTATTAACAATTGACATAACGAAACGATGTAATTAATTAAGTATCGTAGTATCCTTTACAGTAAGTTTCATTTAAATTAATTATAAATCTTTTTTGATAGTAACATTATGTAAATTAGGTGATACAGTAATTAATTAAACATTCCAACACATAGTAACTCTCATGCTACATAAGGTTAAGCGTATAAGTGCATATTACTAATAACAGAAGTGATATTCACAGCAATATGCTTTTCACATAGATAATTACTACAATGGATAATGGTGTAGGTCATATCGTGGAATAAAAACAGCGGTATTAGTTAAAGAGCTAAAATCTGGAAGTAAACTTCATAAGGTCTGTACAAGCAAATAAAAATTTACTAAATTGTTGATTAAAATACACACAATTGTAACTAAATACAATAGACAGAATATACTCAGTAACTTAAGCAATTATAGTTATTCACAGTCGCTCGAATCATATTTAAATTGGTAATTGATTCTTGAATAAATAGCATTTGCACGTATATTATACTGCAATGATAGTCAAACTGTAGGACTTGGAATACGAAAATTTGATCCTGTTTATAGTAATTTTATTAGATAAGGTCCTCACATTACAGTAAATAAATAAACACGCAATTTTTTCTTATCCTTCAGATTTTGGAGGAGTATACCATCCTTTATGAGCAATTACATAATGCAAGCACAAAATTCTTAGTAATCCAGTGGGAATCAAAATTATGCTATTGTTTCAATACAAAGAATTAAAATTTTTATCGTTAATTTAAACTAATTTATAACGTACCGTTCTTCCCATGCAATTTAACCATGGATTGGAAAGAACTTTGCGCTCTAAAATAGCTATAGGAATTCTGATATCGAAAAAATGTAGAATTCAAGTTAATTTCCTACACAAAAGGGAAATTTAAAGATTCACAAGAATATAAATGAAATGCTGCATTTACCGCCGGGGCTGAAAAATCAATGCGAGCTTTGCCTTGCACCAGCGTCGCAGCAATCTGTATAATAATGGCATCAACTGTATAGACGCTGCTCCATCCCTAGACATAAGCAAAAGGTGAATGGTCGCAACAATAGTTTGGGGAAGGGCAGCATAGTTTTATATTTTATATTTGTCGTATGTAACACACTTAAGGTGATTTAGAATATATAGCGTGAGTATAAATAGTGCATTTAATATTCATCTGCAAACCTGCGGTGTAAGAAGTTCCATACAAATTGCTCCACCGGTCATAACGTACCTGATAGTGTAGGAAAAATAAGATTCGATGTTTAAGAATTTATCTATTTACAATGTAAATACAGTACTCTTATCAGTCGTATGTTAACGTTTTACTAACCCTCCAGTAACTATAGGCTCGACCACACGAACAAATGGAGGATGAAGCGGGTAAGAGTCCTAAAGGTAAATTTGAGTTAAGTTAGTCACAATTATTGTACTTGAAGCAAACTATCATCGAAAATAGATCACTATCAAACCTTAAAGGTAAAATTTAATAAAATATGGGAGTACTTCAGCTTTTTCTTTAACTTCTTCAAGTCGCTACATAAATGGCTATCTGGGTCAACTCTACATTTAAGATCGTAAATTCATAGAATAGATTATTATGATGGTAAAAAGCTAGATAAATTCTGTTAGCTCGTAAAAATGAAGAATACAAAATAGAAATAACCTTAGAATCTTAACATTCCACTCATACAAGCTATCATTAACAAGTTCTAGAGTGTACGTTCCTGTATAAAATTATAAGCAAAAACGGATCTTAAAGGTTGATACAATGTAAATTCTTAACAGATCATTCTGCAAGTTATAATTTATAGCTATTAACCATTTTTATATGCAGCTGACTGGTAAACATCTTTTAATTCTTTCATTAGCCGATCAGAAGCCGTTACTGATCCAGATACTGTTCCCTAGTATAACAGATAACGAATTCGGTAAATATAATATCTGATGCATGTAAAAGTTTACGATTGATTTTGTAACAAAAATGTGAATTGATCTAAAATAATTTATATCAATATAATACTGTTAAATTGTATATAAATCAGAGTACATTGCTATTGCCTTAAATATTCTTTTTTATCAGCTACTATAACTTATTTTACTGACGGCATCTTCGTAACATAATGTATTATCTTATGAGCAAATATTCAAAATGGTGCGTAGTACGAAAATATCTTCGAAACAAATTTTAAACCTTCAAGTAATCATCCATTTGTGTCTTTTTAATCTTTTTAAGTGTTTCTAATTCTCGGCTAGATAAGCTCTCATTTTCTTTCTTATCCATAGAATAACTACATTTTGATGCAATAAATAGGTAACGGAAAATGACAAAAGTTAAAATAATCGATAACATTTTTTAGAAGTTGTACAAAGTACATCTATGGCGTAAACAGTCTACAATATGACACAAAAATAGCTCCATTTATTTCATGTAATATCTATCAGCTATAGCTATACGTACTCGTCATCGTTCATATCTACAATGAAGCGTTCGGTATCCTGCTTTTTGATCAAATATAGTAGATGCAGTTTAATAACATCATTTAAGATTACATATTAAAATATTATATTGTACGGATAGTAAAATTACATCATCATCATCTTCGAATTCGCTAGCATCGCTAGAGTCTTCCTCAGCAGTGTTATGGCTATGTCTGGTCTGCACAACTTTACTAGCCCCTTTCACTCGTCCCGAATCCTAAATGTAAATTCGTAGATCAAAGTAACTGGATCATCTGAATTACCTTCTAACCATAATGTAGTAATAGCTATTAAATTTCTAGAACATTATCGTACGTTATTATACCTGTACTAATAATTTCTTCACATTCTCATTGATAACAACGTCAAAAGATTGACATAACTTGCTGCACAATTCATAAATCATTTGCAGTAGCTAAAATAAAATAAAAGAATTATAAATAAAGGTAAAAACTGTCATAAGGGATAAGCGATCGGAGATTAGTATTTTCGGATTATCTTTTATCGATAGTAAGCATTTAACGATTATTAATTATGACTGAATGGTTATTCTATATAGATTGCGACGAAAACATTCAAATCAGGATTGACTTAAGGTTTGATATATAAGCACTTTGTAAAGAAACTTATTGAAAAAAAAGCATGACAGTTCTCTACAATTTGTTATTAGGCAGCAAATTCGAAAAAATAATAATCATAGTCTTACTACTATTTTCGAATTTTGGATAATATAAATACAAATATAACTAAACAAAATGTGACAACGGTATGAAGATAAAGACAAAAGTTTTAGAGGTACAATATACGATAGCAAGTTCAGATTTACGAAGCAACCTTTCAGTAATTTTTTACTACTACAGTATTAAAATGTCTCACAATGCAGTTACAAAAATTCTTCTTCTTCACAGTAGTAGTAAATGACTGCTAATCTGTGGGTTTAAAATAAATTGAAAAATGATATCAGATTAGTACTACAAACCAAATTATTTCCATTACTATCAGCCTTTCCATTAATGTCGCAAATGCATTCTAGTATTTTAGGATCCTCGGTATCGCAAGACCAGATCGGGGGATTGTTCGGATAATTATTCTATTAGAATAGATATTCACATAATTAGCTCTCAATAGCAATGAGACACTTAAAGCTTAGTATAATGTAGCAACTTTAATATTAATCGTGTAGATAATTTATAGTACGAATTAGATTGCACGTTTACTTATTATATCTTTTTATATGACTATATAGCAATTGTCCAGTCCGACGTTAATGTAGCATTAATTTATTAGGATGAAAAATTGATTGCATAAGATTGAGCTTTCATAAATACGCTATATTTTTTAGCTTGAGATCAAATTATAATAACAATATCGCATTTTTTTTGACAATGTCAACATAGCTATGTTCACTCGTAATAGTCTAAGTCGTAAAGTTAAATAACATAATTAATACTCTATTTGTGAGCAAAAACATCGAGTCGATGTTCGTGAAAATGTATTTTAATGTTGGAGAATGGTTTCATTAATAAACTAGTAACTGTAATACAAGCATGATAGTTGAAAAATTGGTAGTATCGTACCATCCGCAATTTTATGATAGGAACAGGAGTGATTTATAGTTGAAAACTACATTATCTCTCTTACTGTATGAATGTTCTATTAGTAATTATTACAGAAAACATTTATTCATTATTCTTTTTATGAGCTGAAATAATTAAAAAAAATTTGGTTTTTATCGATATACTTACAGGTATATTGCACGTTAAGATATATTTTTTATCTTTTCCAGGCATAAATTTGACAGCAATTTCATCACTATTAACCCTTACTACTTGAAAATTAGAATCAACTTTGTACAATGTCGACTTAATACGTTCAAGTTCACTTTTCAAACTTAGACACCCAACGGCCATTGTCACTTTCTAAAAGAATGAAATATTCCTGATTAAGAGGACAATCATAAGTTGCAGCTTTTAGTCATATACACATAATATTGTCTGTACCACTGGTATAATAAGTAATCGGTCATTTATGTTTTCTACAGCGACCAATACGCTAATATAAAATTACTAATAATTGCAAATGTAAATTCGAATCGATCAACATGGTTATTATTTAAATTGCAGTCCCTTCTTTTTGATATGTGGTATGTTAATTCTATCGACAGTTTACAGTTTAACTACAGTATAAGACAGAATGGCGTTGAGATTTTAACAGACTTTCAACTTCAGCTAGGGTGTAATCTCCTGATTTTATTTTAGTTCCTGTTACAATGGGACATCTTTCTTTATTATTTTTCGAAACTACAATATGATCAACGAGTAAATGGAAAAACAGATATTGTAGAGGTGTTTATTGCACATACTATGTATTATTTTCCCTTTCTGACTCCAACTATAGAGGCTGTTTGGGGTGTAACATAATCATTTACATTACAGATAATAACTTAGCATGGTACGGTTAATCGAAAAATTGCAATTTTATACTTTAGTTGAATTAATTCACTTGACTACCGTAAAATCACCAGGAAGAATTAGTGATGATATGCTTTGATTGTGAAGTTATGATCTATATCTTACTTGAAGACGGAACAGCGAAAGCATTCATGTTTACCGACAATTTTAATCAGAACTACTATATTGTAAAAGTTTACTGGGATTATCGACGATTGTATTATGTTTATATGTGCGATAATGGACAGGTATTGGTTTGTCCAGGTAATATGAAAGAATGGAATATTTGTAATAGGGAACAAATTTAACATGTTGTAAACGTAATAAGGTTACAACAATATATAAATTTAATCATTTACACACATGCGGAACTAGTAGGTTGAATGCTTTAGTCAAAAATGATTATCTTGTACGAGAACTATTGCTATTATCCTGTTTTAACTGGAAAGTTTGTAAGAGATCAATCATGTTGTCAAATACGGTAGTAATGCAAAATCCTATAACAAGAGGCAGTATATTTTCTTGGCGTATGCTTTGATAGCTAATATAGTACTCATAAGAGGTATAATAAGCTGCACTGGTCTTTCTTTCTCCAAAAAGTAAAAGATATTAATACTGCCATTGGCAAAAGTATAGATTATAGATTTGAAAGAGCAAAATAATAATGTACTTTAGGAAAATTAGCCAAATGATGTACGTCACCTACAGAATCTACTTAATGGTATGATTGCATTCCATTTAGGCATTGATACATCTTGAAAAATGTAATACATATCACGTAAAATTACTGTAGTTAATGCGTTCTAAGATAGGAATAATATATATATATATAAAATGTTCATTGATCACTTTTAAAGGTTCATGACTAGCTATTCGACTCTTCCGTGTTATAATAATGAAATAATTCACCAAGAATAAGGTATACGTATGTAGTATGTTATTTACCTTGAATGTACACGATATTATTTTTAAAATAAGATATAGTGCATTCAAGTGGCCGTAAGATATATCGCATAGAATTGCGTTGTTCACTTACTATACTGCTATTACTTCTTTAAAGGTAACAACTAGTAATAAAATTCGATCATGGTCTTGCAAAAGAGTTAACCAAGGATAGGGAGTACAAATAGTATCTTCAGGGAATACGGCTTGATACTTATGAGATATTTTAAGGTACGAGAGTAGTGTATGTATAAGTTAATTCTATTTTATTATTGCTGGTCAATTTGCGAGACGTGATCATTTTCTAGCCGGAACGTAACGTAGTTAGCAGTTAGTAATTTTATCGACACATGATCTAGAAAGATCTTGTTGACGTATTAGAAGGGTGACAACGAGCATTTTCAAAATCTCTGTTGAAAATATGAACGTAGGTATAGATATCGTTTATCTTAAAATAAAGTGGATACCGCAGAAGAGATTAATGTAATTTAAGAATATGGATAAAGTGCAATATGTATCCGATGCATTTTATGATCGAAAACGATGAAACATAGACGTACTATTAGTAGACTATATAAGAGTATCCTTGCCACTTCATAAAGGTATACAGTATACATCCTATTTACAGTACTACCAACATAAAGCTTTCATATTCATCAGGAAAATTGAGCGAGAGTAATAAACACTATAGGCATAGAGATGTAGTATTGTATTTACCTTCAAATGGACGGAATCTTCTATGAAGACAGTGTTTGTTTCAGCTTGAATGTTTCCTTTTTAGCAATGGATTTGCTATCTTCTGTAAAGAAAAATTCAATACCGCTATATCAATACATATTACGGATTTCAAAGAGGATTGAAGTGGATAAAAGGATAAGATAGAAATGGCAATACGTCGAGATTACAAGAATGATATTCTTCTTCCTATATGATGCTATTTGAGTATTACAGTATACTTGTATGAAAAGGATAGCGTGGCAAAAAGTTAGGATAGACGATCACTTCAATCATTGATCGCTAAAAGAGAGGAGGCCAATGTATAGAAAGTAGGCAAGGTAACGAAAATGAAATGAATGATATCAAAGTTAGTCCATGTGCTTTTAATGTCGTTCTTACTATCAATGAATAGTATCCAATTTTGTTAATCCATACTGATGGAAGGAGAACTTTGTTATTACTCCATACTGCAAGGACAATATTTTTATCACAAGACGAATAATAACAACAAGTACATATATATGATGGACCACTTGCACTGGAGGCAACAACACCAATCGATTCAATTCAATAGGATACAGTACATGCAAGCGCTATTCTATCGATATTAGATCATACATTGGCTGGATATTTGTCGAAGTGCCTTGATACTGTACGTAGCACTATAGTACTGAAACTGAAGCGACTTTTCCCCTTTGACCGGGTCGTCTTCAATGGGACAGTAATGTAGTTTTGGCATTTTTCTACAAATTGAAAATGGGACAAAGTGAGGACTAGACTACATGTATAGTATACCATGACTTCAGCGCTATTACTATCAATGCCATTGGAAAATGTCGCTGACTAATAAACATGAATAAAAGAGTCTATCAATGATAGACTCAAAAGAAATGTCATTTTTTTCAAAGATTGAAAAGGACCTTTCTTAAAGCCACCGTTCTTTTCACTGACAGGATTTGACTGGATCACTGAGGAGATTCTTGAACTTTCGATTCGTTGGCATCAAGCGTTCCAACCCATTAAGTTAATGCTAACAGCTTTAACACTACCAAATAAACTTTCACTCTTGATTTGTCGCAATCTGCTTCCACTCAATGAACTAAATCTAGTCAATAATGAGAAATCCAATCATGCAGGAATGGCTTACTCAAACACATTAGCGACTAATGAAGAGATGTGGATCTCCTCTGCTTGGTTGACGTCGGAGTGAGTGGATTTCCACCAGCTACATACGCTTACAGTACACTGTCTACAGTACAGTACAGTACAATCTTTTACAGTACATGTACTGTACCTACAGTACTGTACAACATGTACATACTGTAGACAAACCAGCACGGGTGTTACGTGTTGGACGAGACGTGACTGCTGGCATCGCTTTGTATTATTACGTACCACTTGGTACAGCCATTGTACTGCTGTATGGTAGTGTAAACGGTAGGAGAAGTCGATGCCTGTCAACGTTTTCAGTCGTGTGAAAAATGACGTACCGTACCGTGCCGTGCCGTACAGACGGTACGTTTCAACACAAAGCGCATCGGCGACAGCTGGACGCTCAGTCAAGTCACTGGTTCAATCCATTGCTATACAGCTTACATATTGCGGAGGAGGCTAAAGTCGAGTTACGATAGTGACGTTGCTCAAGCAACAAAGATTTCCAAAAATGATGTCACCCGTGACAATGACTTTGATGTGTGACATCTTTTTGGCTGACGATGCTGTCTGATGAAGTAGTGGCACTCCAGTGTAGGTATAGAAAAAGACGACTATGGATTGGAGAGTCGAATTGGGTAAACTGCATGAATTCACTTTGGATTTCACAGGGAAGAAGAAGAAGTTGCAAGGCACTGCCATGGACTACTAGAAATTACGTGTAGTCCATGACTAAAGCAGAAACTCTTACTGTACAGCAGAGAATTTCTCTTGCAAGGAGAATCGTGTAGTTCTATTGTATCCTTTGCAAAAATAATGTCGCTATGATGTACCTGTGACAATGACTTTGATGGGGTGACATTTTTTTGGCCGACGATGCTGTCTGATGGAGTGGAGGAACTCCAGTGTAGGTACAGAAAAAGACGACTATGGATTGGAGAGTCGAATTGGGTGAACTGAATGAATTCACTTTGGATTTCACAGGGAAGAAGAAAGAAGTTGCAAGGCACTGCCATGGAAATTACGTGTAGTCCATGACTAAAGCAGAAACTCCTACTATACACTACAGTAGAGAATTTCTCTTGCAAGGAGAATGGTGTAGTTCTATTGTATCATTTGCAAAAATAATGTCGCTATGATGTACCGTGGGACTAGTGAACACGACTCGAGAGCGACAATAGCAATGTGACATCCTTTTTGAGACGGGTGAATCTCATTGCTGTCACCATGGAACTAGGCGAAACATTTTAGTGCAGTCTACGATGACACGGTCACTAACTTACTGGCCCTAGTCATCTATTAGTTCAAAAGAGCTCGAAAATGATCTAAAATTAAAAACACTTTGTAAAATTGGCTCAGTATGAAAGACTAGCAGAAATTAGCCATCAAGTCTACAGTATTTTACCCAGAAATCAGTACCGACCAAATAAATACTGTACAGTACATAAACAAAACAAAATATACAGTACTGTACAGTAATATCAAAAGCATCCACAATAAATACTGCACAATGCCAATCTAGTTGTGAGTCAACTTGCGACTCTGAGTGACGAAGCCATGATTTACAGCCGTCCACTGGCTCCTTAGAAGCATCGCCCGACAAGTTACCAGTCTATCCTGTATTCTTAAAGTCATTGCAATCGAGCTGATCGCCTAAAAGCAAACGATTAAAACTACTATTTTAAACCGTGTTCATTCAACTCGGTGGCCAATCATCAAGAATATTCTATACTATAGTCTGTAAGACACTATGTGGCATGTATCTGTACGGAAGTACGGACAGACTGTATGGCTAATGCGCTATGCTGTACTGACTGTATCCAGGGACTTGGAAGAATTCCCTGAGTCAGTAGTGAATAAGGCAAGATTAGTACGGTACGGTACAGTATAGATCAAGCTGGTCGTCAAGGATTAACTACGCATGCTTGCAACGTTGTTACCTACTGTACTCATTACTAGCAATAATTACAGTGTTCTTGCCTCACACCACTGTGGCCACCGATCGACCGACATCTTGGATTTTACCTTGGAGTATGTTCAAGACGCTCAAGCATTAAAAAATACTTTATTGGATGTGGCAAAGAATTGAATATATTAAACATTTTCAACGTAAAGAAGTGAAATTTGGAGTCAGATTATAGTTTATCCAATAAATCATGTCTACAGGACAGGTTGATGAATTATACGATGTTCGAAATGGTTTCTACTTAGGAGCTTATTCTCAATGTATAAAAGATGCTCAAAAACTACAGGTAATGTCAAAGATGGCTTTCGTATCGTACACTTTGCTACTCTATGGTTACAATGAATTACTACTTTCATTATCATGGACAAGATCTCAGTATACATCTGTGTTATGAGTGTGTTTCGCAAAGTGCATTAAACTTGATAACGATGACATGTAATCCAGTATGGTGGCTAGATAGAATTGGCAAGACTGTTGCATTATTTCTCCAGTATTGATCTCAATGTATCTGATCGGAAATAATGTTCCATTTCTCTATATCAACTTAAACTAAAATTTGCTGTTGAACAGTATAGTTGGAAGGTAAGGCAGTAATGTACTGTATATCCAAGAGTAATCGATCTGAGTAATATTCAATTTCTCCATATCAATTTGAAGTTTATTGCTGCTATACAGTATTGCACTATACCATGACTGTAGTGTACTGTACACTCTCAAGTAAGATGGCGATGTCCATACATACGAGTAGGAGGTCCAGGTACTTATGAATAGCATCGTTGCTGTCTTTCATAATCGAGATTAGAGAGTAGAGAATTAGCGGTGCTGACATTTCTGTATTTTTTCCTATGGATTGTTAAGTTCAGCTGGGTAAAATATAGGAATAAGTGTGAAGATACCGTATATGAACTGTAAAATAAGAATAGCTCTACCTTCTACAGTACAATATATACGCGTATACATACGAGGTTATACTGCGGGTTCGTCTAGCAATAAGGAATCTGCCATTTCATTTTCTACAAACTACAGGTATTTGATAGGAAGTGTGAGTCAAATTGCTTTACAATATCAACGTAAAAGAGAGAGAAATTAGACAGATTGTTGTGCCATAGAGGGAATAAAATAAACGGTGTAATAATTAGAATTGATTTTCTACGTTACTACTTCTTGACTTTATAATTGATCGGAATTGACTGTATAATTTCACTGTATTAAAAGTAGACAAGTTCTGTACTCACTTATTCTTTCATTCTGTATGAACTTGCATGAATGTTTTCAACCATCCAGCATTTTCATTCTTACTATTCTGACAGCACCAATATAGTATTTTACAATTATATTTCGTTTATTAACTTTGATTTATTACTGTAAATGCTCCTGAAGCCATACTTATATGTCCTATGTGATTTAACAGTAATACAGTATCATACTACATACGTTTCTAGAATTGAATGCGGTGCAACAGCTACAATTTTTACGCTGTGTAGATCATGTCTTAGTTAGTTTTCCATTCTGAAAATTTGACTTAACTAGATACCACCTTTACGATATGTATTACAGCGCACTATCCGATTGAGTTACTTGCGAATTGTTGACTTGAATAGTAAATGCGCACTTATTTTACAGTAATAAAGTCCATGTTCACAAAAATATTCCCATGACATGTTTCTATGTATAAAAGTCTGCGGTTTTTCTATTTTTACTAGCTGTCAAATCCACAATTGGCCGTCCAGCGAGACTTCTTTGTTTACAGAGCTTACACAGCACAGGTAGGTACAACGAAGCTATGTAAAGGACAGATTTACCACCGTTGACGAATTGTTGCTAAATATTTGCTCTAGTTTATTTTACAAGTTTCGATATTTGGAACTAAAAAATAAATTTCCAGTGAAATAATCATATTCTAATGTATGGATAGTTCTAATAGTGGATGTTACAAATTACGATCGCTTCAATTAAACGTTGTAAGGTTAATTTTATTACGGCGACTAGAAAGTAGAAGGACTTATTGAACCACTGTGTAATATATCTCCTAATTTACGTACAGCAATAACTCTTAGTTTACAATACTCGTAAGTGTACTGTATTCTTGAAGTAACTCTTGTAATTATGCCTTTTAATTACCAGCGGAAATATGCTGTTGTACTGGATGAAGTCAAGCCCTCATCACCTTTAGAATTGCTAGGTGTGCGCTATTTAGCTATGTACCTATCAGCAACTAGCGAAGCCGAAAGGTGATTTAACTACACACAAAAAATGATTCATCACCATTGACTACAACATATGATGTATTGATGTCGATTTGTAATTGATTTCTTTCGTAAGCTAGTAGCTGCGAAAGTAAGGTATTAAACAATCGGTGATTTATCTTACAAAATGTATGATATTGAATTTCACATAGAGAAAGGACTATCAAAGCTGTAGAAGATAAAATAAAGGATGGTTTACAAGAAGGCAGTGACTCTTTCTTACTGATGACAGCTACCATGTACCTTCACAAACATGTACGTACTGCATACTCATTGTACTTTATAACCTATAAACTGATAGCATCTTATTAATTATATGCTCATTATTTCTAACTTTCTCATACAGGATTATGATAATGCTTTAAGATATTTAAATCAAGTCGAATGCTTAGAAGGGTAAATTTTTACAAAGTTTTCAATTAGATCTCGCAAGCGTCTTATAGCCTATATAAAGTAAATAAGAATAATTAAGTACAGTATTTTATCAGACTAATAATGGTAATTATTTGACTATGTAGATCTTCCTTAGCAATCCAAGCGTATCTAAAGATAGATAGAGTGGATCTAGCCAAGTATGTCAGCCATAAGTTACATTTAAACATCATGATTTTTAGCAATTAAAATGGAATCAATTTTATCTTTAGGTTGAAACGTAAACTTTAAGGATATTGTTTCAATAAATCTTTTATTTGATTCACTCAGGAAAGATTTAAAGAAGATGCAGGATGAAGATGAGGATGCCACTTTAACTCAACTCGCCCTTGCTTGGTTCAATTTAGCTATTGTAAATACTATTTTAGGCTTGATATTTGTGTCCGCGCCTTTATCAATTTACGATCGTACATTCTCTCGATCCAAACGAGCTAGTGCCATTGTTTTGATAATTTATTATATTTGTAAATGATGTTAATTAAGGGCGGTGATAAACTTCAAGATGCCTTCTACATCTTCCAAGAAATGGCTGACAAACACGGAGCAACTGTTTCATTATTAAATAGTCAAGCATGTTGTCACATCTTGCAAGGAAAATATGATGAAGCTGAAACATTGCTACAAGAAGCTTTTGATAAGGTATTATAATATAAATACTACTGTTTAATTGTTAAGTTTTAAAAAATCAATTCGTTAAATTTTGTATTAATCCATGATTAATCGCGCCTATTATTATTGTACCAAACAATAGGATAGTAATGATCCTGAGACATTAGTAAACTTGGCAATGATTTCTCAGCATCTAGAAAAAGCTCCGGAGGTTATATAAATAACGTTCTATTTTAAGTATCAGTAATCGTCAGTATACTATATGGACTGAACTACAGTACATGCTAATGCAGAGAACATATTGATATTAAGCGTGTATACATTTTTTCGTTTTCAGATATTTAACCGGTATTTGTCCCAAATTAAAGACGCCCATTCTGATCATGAATTTGTTAAAGATTTGGCAGCTAAGGTATAACCACCACACATAACAGCTTACTGTATATTTGTGTAGTGATGCTGACAGTGATAATTAAGACTGGAAACTAAACTGCTATCTTGTAATTTATAGGAAAAAGAATTTGATATTATGCTCGAACATACACGATCATCCTACACTAGGTGAAATGTGTATTGGTTGCATTGATTTATTCTGAATATTAAGGAAATGATAAATAAAATAAAACAGTTATCAAAATATATTACAATGCTGCCATGACGACTATTCTCTGTGCTCGAATATCTAAGAATATCGCATTTTCTTTCAGAGATATTCTTTAGTACTGAGTATAATGTTAAGCCACCTCTCTATTTCAGGCTGTAAATATTTCTAATATATGTAGACGAAAGGACGGGATACAGTACCTAGGTCATTGTCTGTTACCAATTTACTAGCTGTGGCTGTCTACACCTTCCAACAATTAGTTAGCACTCGTAATCGTTTCTTACTTAATTTACCAGGTTTTACTTTTGCTAACGTTGAAGAGACGAAATGTACGAAAACGATTTTAACGTCATTTATCGACTGTAGTATTAGAAGTTGATAAATCGCGAGATCTAGTTATATGCACGTGGGCTTTACTATAATATTTTTAAACTTTATTTACTGTTAATTACTATTAATTGGAGAAGCAATTTTACATTTTGTTAAAGGTATTGCCTTGGAAGTATAGCAATTATCACAAATCCATTCGGCATTCTCTTCACTAGTTAAGTAGCCGTACGCAGACTGACTTAGGCCAGTGCAAGCGCGGTGAAACCAAACATCACAGCCACTCTCGCATAAAATAGCATCATCGTTATCATTGACTTCTTTGCCGCATGCCCCACATGGATAAGACGGTTCGTCAGGCTCCTAATTAATACGTATCAATACGTATTTTAATTCAAGATGTACTAACATTACTAAATAACATTTAGCAACATAAAAGTTTTTGTTTTCGAAAGTGGTAGCTGACGACAGCCTTATTAGAAATAGAAAGAATAAGGCAAATACCTGCTGAGGCGGTGATTCAAGTGGTTTATCTTGCTTACGGTTTTGCTTTTTGCTCCGCTTATTACTTTGATTTCCTGTGGATAGAAAAGTTTATTACGGAGTTGCTGATTTAGTTCTGTACAGTAGTATGATAAGCTTCTGAGTTACACTTCTGAGAGGTACTATTGTATCTCCTACAGTACAAGGAGATTGTTGTTGTTATTAATAGTTCAGCTCGAACAATTTTTGCATGCCATAAATACACAATTGGTGTTACATTACTGTGCTGTATCTACAGTACATGTCGATACTCGTGTAAATGAAGTTGAGGTATTGATCAATTTTGGCATTTACTGCAGTTGATCTGTCTTAAATTGAGAATTTAAAAAATTTTTCACCTTTGAATGTATCTAGTACTGTAAATTAGCGGTAAAAATATTTACAAATGCTCTAAGAATTACGAAAGAGGCATTTATCTACATAAGCAAAGTTGATACTTGGTACTTTTAAACAAGAGCAACTTGTGTCCAAAATTCTGACGCATAAGCGCAGTCAAATACAGTATATGTACATCATTTATGGTAAATCGATGTCATGTTCAGTAAAAATTTATTTGTCTAGAAAGGATAATTGTATAGTTTTCATCGTTTCTTAGCGCACAGTAGATTTTACGCCATACAGATCTAAATTACGAATGTAAAACATTAATAATTGGAACGATTTCGAATTCATTCATATGCTGTGCTGGGTCGTCTGAACGTTCGTACTGCCATCATGTTTGCTATTTACCATGTTGCAATACTGTACAGAAAAGTTGCCCCACTTTCAAACGTAGGACGCAAAACTACTCGTTAGTCAATTAAAACTGACAAACAGACTTGATTGAGCACTGTTATCGTGTTTCGATCTTACGCGTTTTTACGGTGAGTTACTGTAACGGTATAAATTGATTTACCATCTCGAGTCCTATTTTAAAGGCTAGACCAAGATGAATCATTAGACTATCTTTACACAAGGCTATGGCTAAGTGTTAATCGTCTAAAGCCTTTTACGAATACGATATACACTACTAATGGACTAGTTTGCTGTAATTCTATCATAATAGATAATAGGCTTCAATCACTTCAATGAAGGTATTACTATTCAGTTTAATCAATTTTCATTATGGTAAACTGTAAATTTAATGTCACCATGCTATTTCTGAAAATGATCAATCAATCTAGACATAGAGAGATTAACAAGCATTATGCGCTGGAAACATTCCAGAGGGCCACTACAGTATCGAAAAGTGTTGACTTACGAGTGCTTTGATTTTGTGAACGCGTTCCTTCTCTAGGCATCTCGATTAGGTGTTCAATAAATAAGATAAAAAGAGAGATTCCACTTAAAGTATATAGAAAAATATTTTACTATTGCCAATATTAAAAGGATGTCGAATAGTAGACACAAGAGTAATGTAAAAAGAAAGTCTTGCAACTCTTTCAGGCTTTGTCTACTGGCATCACTTTGTCAACTTTCGCATTTGTTGCTTAACACAGTCAAGTGGAGTGAATGCGCCTGTGCAGTGTGTCATGATGCAAAGCACGGACGTTGGGATGGAAGTACACTGGTTGTAGAGTACAAGTACTGTACTCTACCGTACCGTACGATCAGATCGGGCGAGATCCGGAATCCGGATGTACGGATGTATCTCACAGATTTCTATCTTCATCCAGATTATCACATTCAACCCTACCTAAATGGATACCTATGCATTGCAGAAAGTGAAATTGCAACTGAATAATGCTAGCATTCAATGGCAGGTATATCAATCATAGATGATAATGTTGCTCTTATAGGACGGGTATATTAAAACGATACTGTATGCTATCCGCTTAGAATCTCTTGTTTACAATGTATGTAACTTTACTCTTTGCACATCGTTAGTAGGGCTTGAGTTGTGCAGTGTCGATACAATCGACAAACATCTTCTTATGATTAATTGTTCAGCTGCAATTAAATGCTTCGATCGAATGTGATAGTATTATACAACATGCATATATAACTCGATATATTCAAATTAGTAGACGACGGACGTTTTCTACACTATTACGAGTGATGACAAGCGACTCTACAGAGCTTTGTTATTGATGAATCAATGAATAATATTGTCGTTGGAGAAGTGAAGAGATGTACAATTGAACATGCTACATGGATAGTTAATGGATTCACAAAGGATATTTATATTTTGCTATATCATTTGGTAGCCAATTACGAAACACTGTACTATAGACATGATATCAATCCGATACCGATGATTACGTATTATGAGTAGATACAACGGCTAACCGATCTAATGTTCATATTATCGTGTATAATGGTGAATTATCCTTGAACCTGCTTGTACTATAAAAATACTGGCTAAACTATGCTAATTTTAGAAATTTATGACTATTTTACATGATTCTTGTACTGAAGTGTGGTATACGATTGCTGTAATATGCAGCTGAACAGTATCTGCTAAAATGTTTCTTCTACTATGTTATCAATCTTAATCATTTTATTTATGTGATAAATTCTTAAAACAAGGCCATAAGCGAATTATATAATAGCATTCGACAAAAACAAGATAAAATAACAACTAATACCGAAACCAAGGTTAGTTGATACACTGTCCTTGTTTAACATTTTATGACATATCCTATTTACTAAAAATCAGCCGCACATTGCCATCATATCGTAAAATATGCCTGTATCTCATCTTGATAGTACGAAGCAATAAAATTGTTATGGGAGAATGTTAAAGCCGAAACTGATACTGCTAGATCAGCAAGTTGTTATTATATACTGAAGTTGATCGAATGTGGCCAAATGGACTACCAGTATGCAGTACAGAAAATGATCAGTTATGCTATATTCATAAAGTAAATATATCTTTCATATAAATAAATTTTTACATTTTATGATACTAGCTCCATTTCTCGCTTTATTAAACTGAGTGATATAGTGATAGACGTCGACTTACCTCATTCAAATATTAACTATTATATATATATATATATATATATAAAAATTAACAGAATAGAAAAAATGAATGTAAAGTATTGTACTGTCAGTACGTTTAAAAATCGAACAGAGTGCAAAGTAATATGATGTCGTTTTTATAAAAGTAAATAAATTCTGTTTTTGCAATATTACAGTTACTGCACAACAATTCGAATAAATACTTTAAATACCCTATATATTCTGTTATGAAAGGCATCCTTCAACGGCCCTGCATACCATTTCAAAGATGCTACAACTTCATCCAATTAGCAACGTACAATTCAGTGAAGGAAGCAATTTAAACCAACTCAGGTTTGAAAAATATTTAATAAAGATATTACAATTTTTTTCTGGCTAAATAACAATTTCTACATGTATATTAAATTTTATTTTATATAGCGTAAATATGTCGATACATTGATATATAATTCGTGTAAAATTTCTTACCTTAGATTCTCAAATCACCCTTTCATAACGCTATTAGTACAACGGGATAATTTATGGCCAATGGTCATGACAGAAATTGAGGAAATTTTATGCTCACGTGATAAAAAGTAATCAATCATATTTTTATCGTATTGACATTATGCTTCATAATATTATTGACTTCTATAATAATCGAAAGTTTTGAACGTTATGAACGGCTTATGTACTCGTACGGGTACATCGAATGTAACGGACATAACGTATGATTCTACTATGATGTAAAGATAAAATCTTAATCCAAGGCAGTAAATATAAAATAGCGTTCTATTTAAGAGAAGCACCATGATACTTACTATAGAATTTAATTTACATAGTTGTTACTAAATGATCTGTAAATAAAAAATTAGATTTTTTTGGTTAAAATTATACTTACCTATCAATGTTACCTGGGTAAAAAATATTTTCAATTTTCCAATTAATAATGAGTTCAATCTAAAAATACTTCACTATAGGATCGCCCAAGATGCATTGGAGTTATTGCAACCTGTCCTAATCTATGTACTAATCAAGCCTGCACTAACACCAAACTTACAGTTAATGAAGCAAAGATTACAGAACCTACTCATCCATGAAGTCATGCGTCACAAAAGTAGAGGAGACTTACTAAATTTTCTGTTAAAATTGCCGCCGATAATGCTATCTTACCGTGTAAGTTTAATCTTTCTAATAATAAATATTTTACCTTACAAGTAATCGATTTCATCTCATTTTTACTGAATTTATATAGTTTGAAAATGATGATTCACTTTATGATGCCGCTACATTTTGTTGTTACCTTGCTGACTGTACCCTTTGTTTGCCACGCCTGAATGGTATAAAAATTTTTTACCCTAATTATTATAGTACTGCAATAGTAAAAATTACAGGAGAAATAGCGACGATTTCGTATATCAAGATTATTCCGTGAACATTTCTTATTATTCTTTCAAATAATATAAAATACTTATTTTTTCGTTTAGTAAATAGTTTACTGATGGTAAGGCGATACCTGATGGCAATTTCCTCCGAATTTATACAAAGGCATCATTATAACATCTCGGCCTACATCGATTTGCTGTTAAAGATTGCCTTAAAATCGCCCGAGGTATCTATATCTATAAGTACTATTGGTATCTATAATAAGTTACAGTATTAGACTTAAGAAAAGACATGGCTCCAACTTCGTATTGATTCAATCACTCTTTTTGATGATGTGTAGTCATCATGAAATATAAAATTGAATGATTAGCTCTCTTATATATTATCTGCGAATGTTTTAATTCTTGTAATATATCTATCAGGTTTTTACAAATATGGCATCCATTTCATTTATTAGTTGGCTCCTACTAGAAGTACCAGTTGATTATTGTCTATCCGCTTTACGAATAGGTTGTATAAAGCATTAGATATTACATTATATCTCAAATTTCTTCGAAATAAATTCTAAATTTTGATTCATCATTACTACTTTACTACCAACACACAATGTAGCTGATATCATCACTCGTTCGGCCAAACAGCACCATCCTTCATTAATGCCATGTTTGGACATATTTGTGTTGCCATTGGTCAACCTTTTATCTTTACCATCGCATGACGATCAAAGTTTTATCTTCGACCACGTAACGGACATTAAGCAGTTATCATATCAGCTACTAGATACAATAAGCAATATTTGTATAAATACTTCTTATGAGATGTTAACTAGTACAGAAATGACTGAAGATGAATATAAAGATAATGAGAATGAGGTAATAATGGTCTATCACTCGTTACGAGAATCGTACACTTTGAGATCCTGACCGTTTATAGCATTCTTGAAGTTTTATAATACTTTACTGTTCAACAGGATGAAAATTTTTCCTCCATTACGATGGGAAACTTGCCTACATTTTTCTGTTTTAGTAGGAATATTGAGATAATCAAAAGGTGAATATCTACCCTTCTTACTAATGTATATTAATATTATACTGTAATATTAATCTTGACTCTCTCCGTTTGTTAACTAATAGGTCATCAATTGCTTCTGTGGCCTGGCTTGATTCAGTGGACAAAGTTTCTCATGATATCTTATCTAAACTTTGTACAATTATCATAGGATCATTCCTATTTAATCCTCAAGAGATAGTAATCTCTGCCGCTATAAATGCAACCACTAGACATTGCCGAAATTGTCCAGATCAGGTCAGTGTTCTTGGCTATTCCTATTTTATAGATATTGTCTGGTATTATTACTTGATATATGATATTCAAACCGTTGATTCTCACTGCAACTTCACGATCTTGGAAATTACAGGTCCTTTATTTCCTTTCCGCAATGCTTTACAAAATCAATAGCGACTGCATGCCCGCTACACGTCTTAACATACTATATTGTATTCCGAAATTAGCCACACACAAAGTTTGCTTACAATTGCTTAAGTTGCTTCTTTATAATCAGGTCTATAACTCGTTGATATTTTTTAACCTTTTTCTTACTTTCTATTTCCTAAGGTTAATACAGGACCTGTATTGACAGTTCTTACTATAATGGCAACGAATAATGACTTGAAAGCTATCGGAATACGCTTACTGACAGAGTTATGGCTACAAGAAGTATAACTAATATGCGTATTTCGCAAACCATGAAACTTAACTTTATATCATTATTCTATCTGAAAATGTAATTCAGAGAATTTTTTTAAATTTAGGAGCGAATCTTTCCAAATTTATTAGATATACTTGAAAGATGTAATTATAACAAACATGAACAGGATGACTACCAAATTGCTTGTTCATTATCTATTCGAGAAATATGCAAAATCAGGTTCTCTAATTTTCTGTTGGAACTTTTACTTACGGACCGATATTGCCCATGTTTAATTGAGTACACTCATAACTGATTACCTATTGTCAATAGGCCGAATACCTATGGCAAAGATACTCTACCATTAGTGGCTAAAATATTGGCTCCGTCCAATGGTGAAGTAAATATTATCAGTAAAGCAGCGGCACTGGAAGGGTTGTATTATCTATGTGAAGCTAAGGTTAGCTTTGATAGAAAACAATATTTCTTACTTTCCTAAATTAGTCTTTTTAAGGTGTAATCATAATATGTTATATAATTAGAAAGCTGAATACGATATAACTAGAAATTAGGCAATGCAGATCATTTTATAAATTACGGACAATACTTCTGGGTAGGTCGTGGACCTAGTTACCGTCTGGAATGTTTTCGTTGTCCATTTATCTGGCGATCACCGGTTAGAAGTCGTCCTGTGATCTCATTAGTGATTATAAAAAATAATATTGTATGATGTGCGGACAAGACAGTAACAAGATTATATTATTTAGAACACCCGTCGCTACTCGAATGTGTAATTTATTGTCGTTACTTCCAAGACTAGCATATATTCAAAAAAGTGCCAAATATGAGGTAATGGCGGATACTACAGTGATGTACAATTACTTTCCACCAGTTTTAAGTACAATATTGATAGATACATTTCATTTGCTATGTCTTGACGCGTTTTCGCTTGGATATCCGACTATTGCGAAAATTATAGGAATTTAACAATCAAGCATTACAGAAATTATGGCATTACACATTATTTAAGGTTAGGCGTTAATAGATTGGATTCATATTTAATTATGTACTTTTTAAAATTCATGAAGTTTGCCATACTTACAGGAAAAAGAGATAAGACTCGCAGCATTTACGGCATTGGCAGAATTTTCACTAACACAAATGAATATCACTTGCTTGCCGACCATTTTGAAAGAAATTTTGAAAAGAAGTTCAAAAGACCATAGTTTGGAGAGCGATGAGACGAACACTAATCAGTTATTATCTGGCCAAGATATCTGTAACCTCATTCTTTATTACCCTAATGATTGTTTGCCAGGTATTCATCGTGATGAAGTAATGTAGCCAATTCTTTTTCTCACATTATGGCGTAGCTTATCAGGGAGTTCTCTATAATGTCATAGGTATTGAACCTTGGATCACTCAATTGATAAAAGAGGATTTAGAAGCGCTATGTCATGCTGATATCTATAAGGCAAACCGCAAATCTGAGCAGGGTGACGCTAACTCAATTTACGAATCAATATCAGTAAAGTTATGGAAGGCCTATCAGGCTTGTAACAATCAAACGATGTTATCCAATCTAGCAGGTAAGTAATGCTCCTCTAAAAGATTTTACTGGAGGTATCGCTACAGATTGTTCTTTCTTCTATTTAATAATTAGTTGTTGATTGCTTAGATTTAATAACGATTCCAAATGTTAATTACACATATTGCAAGACTAACTTTATTTTTTATATTGGCAACGCTTTGATCACTTAGGAGGTCTACTATTCGCATATGATCCACGAATTAATTACGATTCTGTAGATGATGAAAAAAACTGTCATTATTATCTTAGTATGCTAGAGAGCGCATTGTTTGAGGTACTATCCGCTGTAATTTCTTATTTAAGTTAAAATTATAGACAACATTATACTCAATATTAACATTGTCTACTTTGGCATCTTTGTTAGATCACATTCGATCCAACAGACTGGTACGCTATTATTCATTTACTAATGGCTTGGAGTGATTTTATGAATCGCGTGATGCAAGCTTGTATTGAGGTATGTGTAGTTGTGCTGATAATAAATTTATAAACACAATCAGAAGGAATGCTTATATTCTAAGAAACGTAATTTGAATACTGCTAGCACTTTCATGTGAAATAATTCGTTAGCGTAAAATCAATAAGTAATAATGATCTGACCCACATTTGTATGCTAATTAGTACCATAAATCTCAAATACTGATGCGCTCTACTAGTGGAGATGCACAAAACGAATTAAAGGATGAAACGGAAGAAACATTGTTTAGGTGTTGTTTAGAAATCTAATAATAATCGTCCTTATGTTAGAATTTACATTCAGTATCGATATGTTCTTATATTTCTTATAGAACTACTGTGTTAAGATCTTATCTGTTTTATATATATTCTAATGCTTTGCTTCAGAGTTCGAGAAGACATTGTCAAGCGATTGAATGCGGCATTTAAGTTAGTAATGAGCAAAATCACTTTTTCGAGTCATACGTGAACGTATTTTAGCTAATTACGGTAATGTAGGTAACATAGTAATACTATCCCTCTGCCCCACATTAACGAAATGTATTATAATAGAAATATCAGCAAAATCCAAGCTAATGTAATATTGGCCCTGGGTGGTCTAGCTGTGTCTCTCTTAAATCATATCGAATCAAGTGAAAGTGATCGGACGAATCATCGTGAATGGTTGATAGCATTAGCTGATCAACTTTTAGATATATATAAAGGGCAAACCACCTCAAAAATTAGTAGTAACTTAATTTTAGAGGTATTCTAGTAAATTAAATTTTAAAACTACATTCAATTCATTTTATTAACGGCAAAACTGTGTTTAACATGAGTTATGATAATATGTTTGAATTATTAAGAATTACTCTTCCGTGATGTCACCAGTCGTTCGAGGGTGTGCTGCTCTTTCACTTTCTCAGCTGATAGCACATTTAGCAGAAATCGAATCAGAAAAATCACAGCTTGTTATGTATGCTTTAACAGAAGAATTTGCAACTACCAATAGGTGAGATACGACGTGAGAAGAATAAGCTAACAGTAAAATTTACATAACCGCTCAAAAACTTTTATGAAGTTGATTAAACTACAGTTATCTAGAATTCTGTATTGAAATGCATGTTAGAGAAACTTTCTATGTCATTAATATATTGGCTCTTTTTAACCTATAGGGATAACAGTTCTCCATTTCTGCTTCTATCGAATACTGCATTAGGGTGTCTGATAAACAAATTACTATCAGCTCCTAGTAGGTAAGTTTTCGCAATCTCCTTTATAAAATAGATTGTGACAAAGATGACTTGCAATAACTTTTTTTATCCCGATTTAAATTTAGTGTGACCGCAAATCCAAAAGTAAGTAGTAATATTTCTTTATTTAAGTTAAGGAATTGCTTTATTTATCGTAACTAGCACCGGCTTTCAGTGATAGTGACTGAATAACCATACTATTTTTGATAACCTAGTTGCATATCAACATATCCATAGCCATAAAATCGCTACAGGATGCTGTGTGTGATGATACCTTTAAATTCAAGTAAGTCAGTAGCTTATTTTGATATCTTTGATGTTATTTGGTGTGTTTAGCGTATATCTTATATCATAATTATTCACAATATGTCTGAAGAAATGAAGCTGCTTGCAGCTTAGCTATTGCTGTCGCTAAATTTTCACGGCATGAAGACAATTTTAAATCCGTATCGGAGATTAAAAATATCTTAATTCAGAAGCTGAGTGAATGTAGCAACCAGTGTGATCAAAATCTTGTCCAAGTATGTATTGATAGTCGGAAACTATCTCGTTTTTGCGAAATTGATTAGTCAATAAGTGCATTATTAAAATTTTTGATCTGAAAATTATCAGAACCTCACTTATTCTCTAGCGATGATAATTTCGACAATGATACGAAATGAATGGATAAGTGCTAGCGAAATTTCACAACTAGATGATATGATTTCTAACATTATGGCTGGAACCGAGTCTATAAATCAGCGAGCTATTGGTATGCTGATGCGATCGTATCAAGTTTTGAATATTTCGGAATTAAACAATAAAAGTCTGCAAAAATTGCAAGAATGGGGAAATATACTCAAAGGACAGGTAGATACCATAATTAGTCAGCCGTTTATCTATATATTTTATAAGGATCTCGGCATACCTTGCGTATTACAAAAATGGAGCTGCATCTGCTTTATTTTGCAAATTTTTTTTGGTTAGATCGTTAGTGCAGATGCTGAATTATCAATACTTGCAGGTCTGTGTGGATATTTTGGCAGTGAAAACATTTGGACCGTAAGTAAAAATTAGCTCGCGTACTGTTAATATCGCAAGCAGGCCTAGCCAAAGTTATGAAATAATAAATCGATTTTATAAATTAGCTCATGTTAAGTGGTTAATATTGCGAAAGTGCATACAAACTTAACGAAGATTAATTACGATATAGCGTCAATCGCAAGTCCTGTATACCGCTAAAGAGCTGTTATTCATTAAAGGCGTGTACCATAGATTAAACAAGGTAAGTTATACTCGCTACGAATCTAACTACATTCATCAGAACAGTGTCTGACAGGTAACACTTGGTAATTACTGTTATTAATGTTGTCGGCAGTTATTAAAAAAATCTAATGACTATCACCAATCTGGGAAAGCTGCCTGGCTGATGGGAATCGTTTCATCTGTGTTAAAGCCGGTTCTGAATGTTAACATAAACTGTAATTGATTTCGGAATTGATATCATGGTTTTAGCTTGTTTGTGAATTTATAGAGCCTATACTATTTTAGAACTAAATCTAGAGTAAAGGGTATTTCATGTTTTTAATTTCACTACCGTTGCGATAGTTTGCACTGATTACCAGTACCTGGTACGAGCTGATATATTACCCAATATATTCGAAACATTACGGCAAGCAGCTGCAAGTATTAGAACCAATAATTATAATTGATATATTTGTGTACATATACTTTCTAATTAATACGGCTTGCATAAATTTTAATGCTTTACAACTGAGATACAAATGCACTATGTGTTATGCATGATAGAAGATTTTGCCTCTATGCCTGCAGAAAAGGTCAAAGCAACATTATCATGCTTACTTGAAGCTACTAAGAATGAATCCGTTTCCCTACCACCAGCGGACTGGTCTTCTATTCTAAATCATATTGTAGAAATTGACAGTAAGTTATGACTAGCAAACTTGCAAATACTTTTGTAAGCATCTTAATAGGAAATAATACATGTAGACTGAAAGGTTTTATTTAATTTTTTAAATCAATTGCAACGTACAGGAAGCCAGGAAATGGAAGATATCTGCTTAGAATTTGCACTGCAGAATATTAAATCTGGAGCTCTAAAATTTCTTCATGATAGGATAGCGCCATCTAGATTTCGCACGCTTTCGGTAGTAGTTTTGTAATTTCTATCATTATCATCAATTTATATGCGTTTGGCTTTAAATGTCAGACATTTATCTTTCTGTTCTATCTTTAGCATCGTTCCAAATGTACATTGTTGTCATCTTATTTCACTATGATGACTGCCGTACCTGAATGGCAAATACAGTCTTTTACTGAAGGCCCATTCCGAGATTCTTTCGATCTTTTGGTAATTATCAGATATAAAGGAGCAATATACTGTAAAAACTAGCTTTCTTTTTAACTAAGATTTTATCTTTATATCCGATTTTTAACAATTAGAAATCCGATTCGCTGTTGGTTACCAATGCTTTCATAGGATTAAGTCAAGCACTGAAGAATAAGTCGCACATTTATAAAAATTGCATGAACTGTATCATTAGCTGCCTTGATTCGATAGTTAGTAATTGGACTATAGAACAAATTACGGTAAGATATGACCAAAATTTTTCAATGGTTAATAATAGTAATTTAAAATCGGTACGTCATATTGAAACCACTACAATCGATTTTATAGCATCATAGAATCTTTTTCGAATGTTTATCCTTGTTATCGGCAGTAGAGATTAGGCTATTATTAAAGGTATGAATAGGATAACCTAAGTAAGCTATGATAAAGATCATGTAAATAATAAAACTTTGTACGCATACTATACTAGACTGTATTAACCTTGATTTTGATTTATTTATACCATAACTTTGATAATGACTAGGGTCAATTTAGTAAAGACATTAGCATTTGTCATCACTTGGTTAAACTATATAATTATCCAGTAGAATTTTTGAGTGCCTATTTGCCATGGACAATTCAGGGTAATATCGCGCTACAATGTATACGAGTATATTACAGCCTCGATAAAAGAAATGCTAAGATTGTTTTTCATGTTTTTTGCAAATACCGTCTTTAGAACATCATGACATGACTGAATTGGACATAGCTTTGCTAAGTACTATCGAAACCATACTATGTTCCAGCAGTAATGCCATCGATACCCATCAGAGTCAATTTACATTGGAATGGCTTGTAGAACAATTAAATCCCATGAGTGACTTTTTACTAAACTTACAAGTTACTTCCAATGATTTATCCAAGGTATAACCTACCTTTTCGCTAGTTATGATATATCATGGAATATAGCTTACAGCAAATGTAATAAGTATTCGCTCTGTTAGTGTACTATAACATTTATTTTGTTTTAAATAGATGTTAGAATGGGCATATACGTACGAGTAGAATTTTTTGTTCTTTCTTCGCGTGTTAAAGCCACAGTTATTTATATTTATTACTTTCAACTAAGTAAACTTACTATGCTATGTAAAAGTCTTACAGTAGTCATTTATTGATTTCTTATTATAGGTAATAGTGGATTTTCTGGCCGTTATCTGCTCCGTTTTGATTTGCTTAGATCAACAAACGAAGATACTATTTTACTTTTATCCTTTTAATTGTCAGCTCCAGTTACATGATCGATTTGTAGGTAGTTCCACGATTGTAGAGCGTCTCGCTAAATATCTACCCGATCGCATTAACCAGCTTTCAAGTCAGGCCTCTTTATATCTAAGTCAACCGGTATATACAGTAGTTTAAGAAGCTTATATTTTTGTTCTACTCAAGTAATCAATCAATATCTTTAATATTTCTAGTTATTGAATTGGTTTACTGATTTGCGTCAAAACTTTGGCGATCAACTAACGAAGCCATTGCGTCTAATTTTAAATGGTAAGGTTATTAAAGTAATTGATGAAAACTAGTTTTGTATAACTGTTAAATCATATGCCTTCGAAATAATGACAAGCTATTGCTTGCGATATATTCAAAGTATATATATGATACATACCGAACAGATGTATTGTATGTACTGTACACGTATCTGCTAATTTATATTTACAAGATAATTTTTACAATTCATTCTTTCATACTGTAGCATGTGAGCAAAGCTGCCTTGGTACTAATAAAGAAATTCAATTGAAAAATACATCTAAATATTTATCCCATGTATTTCATGATATAATATCTAATTGATTCAAGGACTACTCGAAAATGGTAATCTTAATTCAAATACATAGGCAATTAGGCATGCATTGCATACCCGACTATCCACAATGAAATCTATCAAAACCATTTATTGTAAACTGTTACCTAAAAAGCGCATAGAAATCAATAAACTGGATATCAAAATTTTTAATTAAGCGCAATGCTTTATTAAATAATATCTAAATTTATCGATTTTAGCAATATAAGTTACGAATGGTATTCGCCCACCTGCCTTAAATAACGAAACTCTCATGTTGAACATACCCTATTCTAGGATACAAAAATGAAAAGTAGTAAAGCACAAAATGGATGGTTACAGAACCGAAGGAATGCGTGCATGCTGTGTTTCACACCAACACATTTTAAATTACGGCAACAGAGTACAATTTGAAGTATTCGCACTGTATAGTAGAAATTTTGATGATATACATAGCTATTCCTACAACGAAGGTTGAACCGATATACAAACAGCAGCAATACAATTTATCACACATTACTTGATTAGATAAAGGATACTGACGGCTTTACATAACATTGAGTTTGGAATTCCCATAAAAAGATTTATTAATTCAATGGTTACTACTAAAGTTATCACTTTGCTATATATATACCATCGAGAAAATACGCTTATCAAAAATGTCGCAACACACACTACAATCCATTATACTTGTATTCATATGCTTGGTATCTAGTCAGTGAAACTATTACAGATGTAAATTATATTATGAATGCAAAGGGTCAGCAACGATCTTAGCATTGTATTTTCTACCAATCAAGTCAACTTGTAGACTTTGACCCGCTTCTTTAACTAGATGTGGTGGCAAGTAAGCAAATGCTATTCCTTTCTTGGCTTCATAATCGAAACCACCGGAAGTAGTATAGCCTTGAACCTAAAGAAAAGAATTGAAATAGATTAGATTCCCAGTTAAGAAGGACGGTATTTAAGGAACTCAGTATTGCTTAATAATATTGTCTCTCTCAATATTAGGTGAACGCAATTACTAAGTGAGAGGATCTTAAATCCAGTCTTTCATATACAACAATAATGTTGCATAAGTACAGTATAATTAATTAAGAAATGTAGCTAAGGTCAGGTTAGATATAAAACTGGAGGCCATAGCAAGGATGTGAAGAATACTTACCGCATCGTTGACCCAAATAGATTCATTTCCTTCAGCGTCAACGTCAAAGGTATCTACGTTTAAAAATACCAACTGACGTGATGCTTCTTTAAGCTTTTCTGCTAAAACCGCTTCTTTTCCAATGAAAGGTTTTGTAAAATCTATGTATTTTTCTAGACCAGCTTCTATAGGATTGGTATTGACACTAAACTAAAATTATGAAATACATTTGACAGATAATTAACTCCATTTCACTACTTCGGCATCTCTCATGTGACCGCGTGCATATTAACACCGTAATTTATAAAAAATTTAGTATTCTTGTATATGAATCACCTCAAGGCCAAGAGCTCTAATACCAGCTTTCACTCGCAAATTACTTAGTGCATAACTACCAACATGGCCTATATCAAATTCACTTCCAGCTTCCCACAAGTTGTTATGAAGGGCTTCCATGTCACTAGATCTAACATAAAATTCCCAACCAAATTGTCCTAAAAAAATTCCGACCGGCTTAGAACGAACGTATTAACATAGTAGCTAATATATTGCATTTTTAAACCTGTAAACGACATAGCTACAGCTCCAACTTCGACACCATTAATTAGCACCATCTGGCAAGTGTGATTAGGAAAGTTTGCTTCACTGAAGTTAGAACTTCCAGTGGCTTTTGCTAATATTTCGCGAGATTTTGGCCCAGAAATTGCTAAACAATTCCATTCTTCAGTTACGTTGTTAATTTCGACGTCGTATTCTGCAGAGTTTTCTATCAACCAACTACGTAATAAAAAATTAATTAATACGCTATAGGAGCAATTTTGCTAATTTGAACTATGTAAGTAAGAAAATAGAATAAATCTCGAACTGGTACCGTAAATGATGCTTCTCAGCTGCGGCTCCACAAGTCAAAAAGAAATTATCTTCTTCAAGTCTTAGTACTTCGTATTCACCATAAACGCGTCCTTTTGGAGTTATCATGTGAGACACATTAACTTGGCCAACCTGAATAGAAGCGTACGAGTGCAATATTTATTTTTTAAATAATTGTAAGATGACGAATGCTGTCATGTATTGCTAACATGACTTTCTTTGAATGCATTATTTATATACCTCGGGTAATTTGTTAGCTAGTACTTTACTTATAAATTTGGCAGCATCTTTGCCCTTCACAGTAACTTTACCATAAGATGAAAGATCGTACAAGCCAGCCTTGTTAAGAACAAAGTTACATTCTCTACCAACAGGCCCAAACCAATTTGTTCTTTTATAACTAGGTATATATCCAGGTACATCACCGGGAAGACAGAACCAATTTGGAACTTCCCAACCAGAACGAAAGCCGTAAACAGCACCATGGTTAGACAGACTAGAATAGAGTCCACTGACTCTCGATGTCGGACGCCCGGCAGGTCTTTCTTCTTTAGGATACATAATCATGTTATTTAAACCATAAGATTCACTAACTTTATCAAATAGATAATCCCTGGATAAATAAGTAAATGTCAAATAAGTCAATGTATCACTTATATCAATATCCTAATTATTTGATATGCAATATTGGGAGATCGTTACACTATGGCTAACCTAGTCGCCCAAGAATCAAAGCGAGCACCATCAGTCTCCATTAAATCGTAAGGAGGTTCACCATCTACAATCCAATCTGCTAAATATCGGCCAGCACCACCTGAATGAATGATACCATACCCAAAACCAACAGCATTCCAATAATTTCTTAATTCTGAAACAGGTCCGATTAATGGAATATTCTCTGGTGCAAAAGTTATAGGTCCCGAAATAAGGCGCTGAATGTCAGCATTAGCAAAAGCCGGAAAGCGAGACATGGCAATATTGTAGTGATCGACAATACGATCAATATCAGATTCGAATAGTTCTTTGCCAAAATCTGGCGGAACACCTTTATCATACCAATCCTTGCATACCACCATTTTATGAGGAGCTTCATAAGGTCCTACTACTAAAGCATCTTTCTCTTGTCTGAAATAATACGAGCCTTCCAGATCCCTCATAACCGGTATTTCACGTTTAAAATCTTTAAACTCTGGTATGCTACCAGTAACACAATATTGGTGATGAATAGCGACCAAAGGTAAATCTAAGCCAACCATTTGTCCAATCTTTCGACCATAAAATCCAGCAGCGTTGATAATATGTTTGGCAACTAGCATGCCTTGATCAGTATGAACTTCCCATCGTTTGTCAGGTCGTTGTTTCAAGTCGGTTACAGGTGTATTGACATAAATTTCTGCGCCATACTGTCTAGCACCAATGGCTAATGCCTGAGTCAGTGAATAAGGGTCAATATGACCATCATTTGGGTTATACAATCCAGCTAAAACCGAATCAATATTGATAATTGGACATAATTCTTTAATTTCTTCGGGTGAAACTATCCATTGAGGTGCTTTGTTCCATCCGTGACGACTCATGTGATAGTAGATTTCATTGACACGTTCTGGTGTTGTAGCCAAGCGTAGGCTTCCAGGCTTATGGAAACCAACGTCCTAGTAAACAATGATTTTGTGCTCAGCTATAAATTCTATTCATTTTATAATAGGAGTCTAAAATTTGTTATTGATTTCTTTTAATTTTTCAGTAATAGAGTATGATATTTAATAATTAATTGCTAGTCTTGCAAATGTACAATAGTAGTAATAATGGATATATTTTACGTAGTAGAAGATTGTATAAACATAAAATGTAATAATCGATACTTACTTGGCCCGTTTCTGCTTCTAAAACATTAAAGAGGTTAATACTATCCCAATGAATTCTTTTAAGATTAATACCAGGATGGAAATAAGTTGCTAATCCAGCCTATAAGTAGATTAATTTTGTAAATAATAGCATAATTGTCAGCAATACGCATAGAATAGTAAATAAGGGTATATTTCATAAGGTAGGATATTTGATTGATGTATCACTTTTATTTTTTGACTATTTAATATTTATTTTTTAGGGGATAAATATGACTATCTGGTAGTATAGCATCATATACGCGTAGAGATACAGCATCGACCCACGAGTAATTTCTAGATCATGGGCTACTAGTACTGTAGTAGGTACTTTAAGTTAATTATCAAGTAATAGTATAAGTAATGTTGGCTATTACCGTAGAGTAAGCATACAAATACGCATGCAGTAGTGTAGTTAAGATAATAATTTCCACTTAACATCATTAGAAAGAGTAATGATATAGGGATAGTACGCGTATAGGCAATTAACGGAGCTGTCATTTCACCCATGAATATAATTACCGCGTGCCATGTTGATCCAGCAGTTAATTCTGACTTTTCTAGCAAGACAACATCTTTCACTTCTCTCTTGGCTAAATGATATGCAATACTTGCACCTACAGCTCCTCCGCCAATAACAACAGCATCGCATTCATCGCTTTGGCGTTTGCTTAACGATGATCTAGAAAAGGAGAACCATCAAGATCTATATCGACTGCAAGGTATTCATACTTAACGGTGATCCTTGATTAATTCATTATTAGGACGACTTTTGTATGTCTTCATTACATGCAATAGGCATACAATATAAGTAAAGCTACATTAAAAGTAGATTTAACGCAATACAGTGCATAGTGCATATATACGAGCTACGTCTGATGGCAAATCAATCATATCATTTGTTATTATAGCATGCTATTATTTTGCTGTTACAGAAGAGGTAGAGTGCTTTACATCCTTGTATTTTTTTTCCCTCTTTTAATGTCTTACCCTAGTGTCGAAGCGAAACGCTGAGGACCAAGCTTGAGTAACGACTGGCTCTTTAAAGCAGCCCTGCCACAATTTCTCAATGATGCAATGGATAGCATAGTTACTGCATTAATAGAAGATAATAAACAAATACCCGTTCAACATGATTGACATGCCCGTGTATAAGCGCTACAATCATTTTGGAAAATATTGAACACTGCAATCCGTTTCCTTTCATGTACAATCTCAAGACTAGCACTAAACCCATACGAATATAGTTGTAGTACTAGTAATATCATGATTTGTGCTATGCATTGGCTGCAGTAGAATACAGCATGTCAACAATATCAAAAGTTCAAAACACTTTTTTTACAGTATTATTTGCTGCGCAATTTTATCTTATCCTAATGAAGGAGTAGGACTGTCTATTATCTCCTCTCTTGCACTTATTAATCTATTTATTATTATGTTATCGTCAGCATCAGCATTGGTGATCTCCTGTCGTATGGGCTTGCACTATCGACTGTATTTCTCAACTATCAACATACTAGCGTTCGGTAGAAAGTAGCGTCATGATGCGATTTAGCACTTTAGCAACAGCATCCAAGCTGCAAGAAAGAGTAGGTCAACATTTTGTCAAAGCTGTAAAAATAAATATTACTATGAAGTTAAGAGTACATAACTATCTATCCATCATTAACTGGATCCTGATAAGCTTTTAATCTGTTGTATTCCATGTAGAAACAAGAAAAAAAAAATTTGCAAATCTCAACTTACGAGGCTTTAGGTTGGGATCAGCAAGGCTGCGGCGACGAGAAGACTCTTAAGAGTTGACGCCTGGAACTGACTTGTACGCAGTTCAATTTAATAGTTCACTGCTACAGTACATACTTGGTGCTTGCTTGTGGTCTTTCGTACTTGGTACTTTTCTCTCATAGGCTAGTCCCTGTTTGGGTGCAGGAGGTCTACTATACAGTACAATCGAGTACAGTACTGTACACTGTACACTGTATAGTACTGCTTGAAGTCATATGGGCGCTGCCTCTGCAAACTGTAAAAACTGGATTTTTTTTCCACCAACAAGAGCATCAATTAATTATATATTATACTGTATTGATTTATTTATTTATTGAAGAGTATAATGTCGATATACTGCATAAAGAATGATGATCATCATAATAATACAGGAATAGTAATAACTACCAGTACTTCTTGTTTGCACTCTATTAACATAAACAGTACTATACGTATGCCATAAGCTAGCGAATTATGTTCCCGCTCACCCGCCCGTCATCAGGCGACGATTTTTACTTTATTTGACATTTGATGGGAGGCAATTTCTACTAATCTGTGTTGCTATTATACAGTACAGACTTTAGATGCCAACCTTGTTGCCGTATGAATCGATTCCTATAATCTATCCTAGCAACTTATGGCAAAAATAGACTAATTCATTGAATCGATGTATACCTTATGGCGAATTGATTAGCGTACAGTATATTGCATATGCAACATTCTGCTGATCTCATTTCAAGGGCACCCTGCAGAACAACTAAGATTGCACAACACAATTACCCAACAACGTTTTTTTTTTTTTCCCCTCCGCACAACACGTGGATTCATTATAGAATTATAGGAAGAGAGAAAAACGTTTTACGGAGTACTGCAGTCCCGAAGTCGACTACTCTTCCACTTAGTGCTTGTCTCTTTTTATTTTGGGATTATTTTTTTATTTTTTTTTGGATTCACTGTCGTCCTCTGCCTTTACGGTGTAGACCACTATTATAACAGGTGTTAGGTGAGTTGGCAGAGATGAAAAAAAAAAAGAAGCATCCTATGTCTCCATTTCTCCGGTGAAATCAGTTGCACCAAATTGCAATAGCATTTGTCTTCTTGTGCCAAACGGTAATGTTATTATTGACACATGCGTACGTCATGGCTTATGTTGACAAATCAAGTAGTAAATTAATTAATTCAAATAGGGCCAGTGAACAGCTCTCACACCGGCGTCGTGTATTGACTCACTTCACGGCATTGTACTCTAATCATGGTGTCAACCTACACTATGGTCAAGTACGATACATACGTGTACAGAGGGCTGAACTGTACAACAGACGCCCCCCCAAAAAACTCCTCTTTTTATTGTTTACATAACCAGTTATACCGGTTGCAACGTTCCAACGAAGACATGGTTAACCACTGTCCATGTTGCTCATGATCAACCGACTGTATCATAATACTGCAAAACAATGCACCACACATGCGTAATACTATTATAATATTATTATCTACTATATTATAATGTAGATATATAATCTACAACAAATTAGTTATGGCGTTGGAAAATTGCAAGCTACACTCATAGATTGGTAGACACTGGTATACTGGATGCATATTTATCCTTGTACTGTACGTGTACTTTTCCAACTGGAAAAATTTCAATTTCAAAAATAAATAAATTTGAAATTGTTTGACCCAAAAACGGCAATAATAAGCCAGTCAGCGTTAAGCTCTACGTTTACTCGTCATGACACTGCATGAAGGACTGCCTTGCTTGTCCGGTCTTTGCTAATTGCAACCAATACATTACTCTACGTTATGCATTTCAATGACAATCATTAAAGTACAGTATGCCAAATAGTGTATCACAATGACTACTGGCAATGACCAAATCTGCTTTCTTTCAAGCAAGGTAACTGTTGTAGTCCAATCTTCATTGCATGTCTTTGTTTCGCGGGCTAACTGACATTAGCATTGTAACTGTATCGTTCAAATCGAGCTAACCAGCCAGTGCTTCATGACAATATTGAATTAATCAAGTTTTATGCTTGCATTCAACATGAGCTTTTACTACAACATGCAAACTAAATAAAAGATAGTTTTAATATATAGTCACGTATGTCGCGATTTAATTGGTGTGCGCTATTATGCAAGCATTATAAAAATTCTTTCTATTTATTTTATTTTAACCTATGAGTTCAACTCGGTAGGCTCGTGCTCAATAAGTTCTGTGTACGATGTACACTTATTGTACAGTATGTGATAATACGTCGCACAAAGGCGACAAGTACAATGACTTGTATGGCTTCAATTCAATCTAACAAGACATTGAAATTGCTGTCATGTATCCCCATGAAATTCAAATTTTCCATCTACTATCCAACGTAGTGGACGGTGATGATGGTGCAATAGTAGTTTTTATTTTATGTTTGTTATGTATTTCTACACTAGCACCATTTCACTGTTGGACTTTTAGCGCTTCCAAAATGATAAATAATACAAAGAAATGACTGGCTGAAAGTGACATGAAATGACGGACGCTATAGCACCAGTTTACTGCATCAGTTATTCCGACATTTCTGTTGTCTATTCAACAAATGCCTAGAAACCTGGATAGAGCATTACTGCTCGACCATAAGTAAACTTCCATGTGAATGTATATCAATCCAGCTAGAGACTCTACCACCCACCTGGTCGGGGCTTTGAAATCAAGTAGTTGCCGTAGCAAATGAATACAGGAATAGCACGATGTTTATTTACAAACAGTGCTCCTTTGCGAGCTGTGAGTAGTAATTGGAGATCAAGGTCAGGATTCATTCCACTATGGAGTGTATGATACATTGGTATTTTTTTAACTGGACTGTACTGGACAGAATAGTCGGAGTTTGTCTTTGCAACAGCAACACCGTCTACCGTATGGGTCAGTACTGTAGACTATAGTAGAAACGGTACACAACGCTATGCTATAAAAAGTAGAGTAACCGCTTGAAAATTATTCTTCCTCTTTCAGGATTTCGCATCAGCATCGACTACAGCAGTAATAGCGAGCTGGAAAATCTGTCCTAGCAGCGTTACAACTGATTCTCTTCACATTGATTCCAATTTTTCATCTTTTTTTCCTAACCAGGTAAGAGTATCATTGTTAAGAATAAAATGATGTATTGAACAATTTATCTTGTGCAAGCAATTCACTGGCGTTGAAGTCTTTACTTCCAATTACTCTGCTTGCCCTAATGATGCAAAACTTGAAAGAAGTAGTGTCATTACTTGATGTAGCGAGTATGGTGTACCCATTGAATTAGAATGTGTTAGCCGTTTTTTCAAGATATATTTGCAACATTTACCAGTTGGTAAAGGAGTAAATGAGCGACGGTTGTCTTTGAAAATATTGTATATTTACCGTCATTGATTGCTATTTTCAATTTGAAACTAAAAGTCCGTTGATAACTTACGGCTACGATATGATTGCCGTCATTGTTCAACTGGAAATATTGTTGATGTACAATGTACGTTGTCCTTGAAAATATTGTATATTTAGTGTTATTGCTATTTTCAATTTGAAACTAAAAGTCTGGTGCTAACTTACGGCCACGATATGATTACCGTAATGGCTCAACTGGAAGTATTTGTTGACATGCAATTTACGGTCCATCTATTGCTATTACTCTACTCTACTCTACTCCGTAATTGGACACATTTGATGCGTGGTAACAAAGTTGATGCATAACCGTAGTTAAAAGATATTCTATATCTATATTGAACGTTCCAAATCAGTGTTATGCTAGTTATTGATGGCTACGCTGGAAAATTAGCATAATTAACATCAACAAAAGAAGCCATTAGGGTAAATGCAGTTTTAATGAATAACTTCAGTGTTGTCTACAGTTGAAGAAATTTCCATGATGGACTGTGCTGTGCTGGGTTTGACATTGGACGCACTGTACCATACGGGCTGTTACCGTATTTTACTGTAGTCTGTGACAAGATGCGTACTGTACCGTTGGACTGTACTGTACTGCGCAGTGGCGTCAACAAGAAGAGTTGAGGCGTCAAAGTGTCAGACCAGTTTAGCAGGTTTTCAATAGTGAAAAGAGCTTGTATTGTAAATAAACATACTGTAACCGACGTTGTCGCATCCCCTGCGGTAGTAGTGGATAGTATAGCAGTGTAGTAATGTAAACATCAAGCTGGCTACAAGCAATGCTTCAAACGCCGGTGTAAACCTAGTCAAAATTCAAAATGGACCAAATAACGTAGTGCAATCATATTGCGTGTGAACAAGAACTTCTTTCACCAGCATCAATTTGCAACATGAGGAAAAGGATCCATTTTTAGTTGTACTAGAACTTGGATGGTAAAAGCCAATGCGGTTTTTACCTCTATTACACCCTGCAAAAAAGAGCCGTCGTATTAAAGTAATACAAGTCAAGATAAACGGAAAATAGTAGAGGCAACGCCCCATGTTTACTCTTGAATGTATTTACTGTGTTAAAAACTGCATTGGGGTGGACAACTTTAAACTACAATGGACAATAATACTATCTCTATTTCCAGCCCTGATGAATTTGTGAGACTGCATCTCGCAGACAAGCAATTTCAATCCTAGGGTGTTGGTCCCAGTTTTCAGCAAGCAACATTCTAGTTCTTCCATCCTAGCACTTGTAATTTCCAATTATCAATCGTTTTCTATTGAATTGTTAAGGTTAATTGATCAAAAATAGTGTCAATATTAAGCCAGTTCAAAAGGCAAAGCAGAGTGAACATTGTCAACTTGCTTTTTTTATTTTGATGGTCAATCCACTTCTCTAGTTTGACTTGCCGTTAACCACTTGCAATTTCTTTCCACTTTAGAACCGAATTATTACAATTTCCACTACAAGATGGGCAAGGTGAGCGACATTGTAGTTGTATGTGACTTGTTGAAATCGACAAATAAAGCAGCAGTATTGTAGGCAAATCAACAACCATTGTTTCCTTCTTGCAATCCAAACTAGGGAATTCTTGAGCGCTTGAATGAAGGTGTCGTTATTGGAGATGGCGGTTTCGTATTTGCTTTAGAAAAACGTGGCTACGTCAAGGCTGGTCCATGGACACCAGAAGCCGTTATCGAATATCCAGAAGCCGGTAAAATATGTAGAGATGTAGACACTTACCACCGCTATCTTACTCTAACTGTCAGCGTAAATGGTATCGTTTCACAAAAATAGGCAATGCCTTAGTTTCTGTACTTTGAAAGACAACTAAGATTTTGAACGCAAAAAATAAATACATTGACTAGTTTACGTACAGTACAATAAATTAATACTGAGTGGTAATAGCAGAGATTAATTTGGTAGAAGTAGTACTATTTCTGATCAAGTGATTGATGCTAATACAAATGATCCTTTTCTCAGTCAAGCAATTGCATCGTGAATTCTTAAGAGCCGGATCGGATGTTATGCAATGCTTTACCTTTTATGCCAGTGAAGATAAATTAGAGAATCGTGGTAATAAAGCGGCTCAGCATGGTGTAAGTATTCACTTAATATCGTACAGTATTTTTCTTATGCTAAACTATTCATTTTTATGGAGATCATATGAAAGTCACTTTTACTATGCATCAATATGTAGAGAGCTAACCATACGGCATAGCCAGCGTAGAAAGCCACTTTCAATGTCATCAATAATTGGTAATGACGCTGTAACTAGAAATGCATTCTTTGCGTATCTATAGGTCGGAGCAGTGAATGAAGCCGCTTGCAAAATTGCTCGTGAAGTTGCTAACGAAGGCGATGCTTTAATCGCTGGTGGAATGTGCCAAACCCCAACTTATCTATCTGGGGGCAATAAAGAAACAGTCCAGATAGAATTTCAAAAACAGGCAGATGCTTTTGTAAAGTGCGGTGTAGATTTTCTCATCTGTGAGGTAAAACCTATTCTATCGTGTTATTCAATCATTGATTTCCATTCAATTTTGGAAAACTTTTTTATCATAGTACGTACAATGATTTTAAACAACGCTACTCTCCTTAGTACTTTGAACACGTTGAAGAAGCAACTTGGGCTGTCGAAGTCTGTAAAAAGACCGGCATGGCTGTTGCCGCTACATTGTGTATTAACGATGAGGGAGATATGCATGGCGTATCCACCGCAGATTGTGCCGTAAAGCTTGCTAATGCTGGTATGGATTACCTAAAATATCAAACACACAATTCTATGCTACTTAAGACAAGTTACAATATGAGGGAGTAGTCGTCGTCGTTATCTTAGCTCCTATTGCCACTTTTACCTATTATAGGAGCTGATATTATTGGAATAAACTGCCATTTCGATCCTGATGCCACCTTAGCTGGAATTCGTGAAATGAAGAGAGGCTTAGATGAAGCTGGCTTGAAACGTCATTTGATGAGCCAACCGCTAGCATTCAAGACACCAGATGTAAACAAGCAGGGATTTATTGACTTGCCTGAATTTCCTTTTGGTAGGCTATATCCTAAACATACACAAATAGAGAAATGAATTGTTTGGTAATAAAATATTTTAACAATATTCATTTAGCTCTGGAACCACGTATACTTACAAGATGGGATTGTCACCGTTACGCCAGAGAAGCCTATGATCTCGGAGTTCGATACATTGGTGCTTGTTGTGGATTTGAGGTAGGTGACTACTATACCTCAACTAAGCAATATATATCGTCAGTCACAAAATTAATGCCCTGTAAAATAAGCTTTAACAATACCATTACTATTACTTAAATTGATCTATTGAATAATGATTCCTTCCTTATTCAGCCTTACCACGTTCGAGCTATTGCGGAAGAATTATCTAAAGAACGAGGATGTTTACCTGCAGCTAGTGAGAAACATGATATGTGGGGAGGTGGATTGCAACTTCACACCAAGCCTTGGGTTCGAGCAAGGTAAAATATCAATTGGTCTTAACATATGGATACATACTATAAGCCACAAACTTCAACAAATTACTAGTAGTACTGTAATATTTTGTTATAAATGCAACGACGATGTATAACAAAGATATTCACAAAACATTCTCTAGAGCTCGACGTGATTACTGGGAAAATCTAAGTCCAGCTTCTGGCCGTGCGGAAAGTTCTGCCTTTTCTAAGCCGAATGCGTGGGGAGTAACTGCTGGCGACGATTTATTAAAACAACAAAAGGAAGCAACCACTCTAGCAGAAATCTCCAATCTAGCTGGTAGATCATAAAGAGTTATATAGGAATCTAACTAAGCTAAACTAACTCCATGTTGATAACATCTCGATAAGCAGCTGTTTGGATTTGCATCTATTCTTTTATTTAAATGTAGCTATGTGAACATCTGTAATCAGTAAATTATTCTCCAGGCTAACCGTCACTTAAACTTGCTTGTTACATTTGTAGCAATACTTGAGTAACATTCATGAAGCCATGATTCTTTGTTTGTTTACCTCATGGTTAAAAATATCGTCAATTTATTGTCGAAATGCAATATCACTCATATGTTAAATATTGGTATTTTGAATATTTAGCTAACTGTAGTTGTAGCCCAGCGTGATAATAAACCAATAAAATACCAAGTTAATAATCCGCGGTTTGTGGATGATTTTGGTGTCTTGCTTTCAGAATGAAGCGGCCTTTGCTAATTGAAACTTGAGTATTTATCTTGATGCTAAATACCTTGAATTACCTGTGCTGTTGTCTCTACCGCCCTTCGATAATTTATCATGTCGAGTTTAGCGAATAGCTTTCTTCGGTACAGCATATGCATTAAAGGCTAGAGAATACTCATATACTCTACGCTACGAATCTATATTAGCAAAATTTAACTACAGAGTATATAGCATATGACAGTTTTTTATAACGTTTTCTTTATAAAAATGTGATCATACAGTAAGTTCAACTGAAGCAAGCATTTTTACTCAATGAATCCGTAAAGTACTTTATTTATATCTTGATATAGTGCTAGGAAGTACACTTTTGCATTGTACCCTTCAGCTGTTTTCTAAGGTATTCAAACAATTCCTTCCTAATAGTTATCCAATTAACACTGAAATTACAATTGAACCTATTACATGTCTAATACTTTGAATAATTCTTTCGTGAAAAATTAACTTTCATAAAGCTAATTCTGTTTCCGCCATATCGTAAATATGTTTAGTTACTGGGAGGTAGTTTTCCCTGAGGGCAATTGTTTGGGGAATTTTCCTAGAATTATTTCCACTATAACAATATTAAATTGATACTTGCATGTAGCAAGTGTGGCAGCGCTATTGTACGACAAACTGAACGCCAGCAGGACTTGACTAGTATATCAGAATAAAGGCACTAAATGAACATATCGCTTGGATGATCAATATTAAATACTGGAACCGAAATTATGATCCGCACCGATTTGTTAGCCTGCTTTCTAGCAGTAAACTAAGCTTTGAAAATAAATGGATTATTCGGCATATGCAGATGGCATATTTGCAATGTTTTGGATAGTTATCCACGTTTGTAATATTTCAGATGAAATCACACGAAACGCTAATCATTAATAACTAATACAACAAACAGAAAGAAAGTCCTATGTTGTTTAATACAAGTAATTTGGCAAAGCAAGTAGTAAATTCAAGGCCGTAAGCAGCTCAAAGTCAACGCGCGAAAGCATTTTATTAAATAAGAAATTACTTAACTTACACATAAATACCACACTACAAGGACTAAACCATAAAAGTAACTAAGATATATGCATTTGCCGTCACATTTCCGTAACAAAACTTGTACCGTAATAAGAAAGCCTTTAGATATAAATGATGAATCCATTTATATCTAAAACATCGTAATAGTCAAAGCCTTCATTTACAGTATTACTGGTGCGACATGATAATCTATAACTAGCAGTTGCAAGATTAATCTTAGTACTGCTAATTTGATTCATGCTCTAGTCATCCGGTACTTCGTTAATCAGTGATATCGTGAGAACTAGGTTTCGAGTACGCAGGGCATTCTGGTCGCCCAGTAGCAGGACGCAAGTTTTCCCAGTATTCGCGAGAAGCCCTATAAAAATACCGTACACATTAACAACACTTTAACACTTAATTGATCACTTTAATCGGTTACAGGGTAGAATCATCCATCTTCGATAAAGCTTGAACATTGATTTTAACTACTATCGATATTACAGAATCCTTTCTGCTGTGGATACGCATGCTTAATTTTAAATGTGAGACCGATAGTTCGTGAAGATAATTAACTGTTTAATAGTAAAATATCGTACAAAACTCTTTAATGCTTCGAGTAAGTAAATATGCTTAAAATAAAATTATTCCAATTGTGTATGAAAATATAGCTACAATCATACAATATTACTTTATAAACGTTTAGCGTTAAATCTTTCAGCAATTGCACCCTTACCTAGCGCGAACCCAAGGTTTAGTATGTAATTTTAAACCTCCTCCCCACATTTCATGCTTTTCACTGGCAAGCGGCAATTTACCCCCCCGCTCAGTAACTAGCTCTTCAGCTATTGCTCGGACATGGTACGGCTATATACAAAAATAAAATAATACATCTATCACAAAATAGCATTACTGCTTTAAAAATTATTTTTTTTTCCTTACAAACTCAACAAACTTGCTATTCTATATCGCGCAATCGAGATGTACACAGTACCTCAAATCCACAGCAGGCACCGATATATCGGACTCCTAAATCGTAAGCTTCTCTAGCATAACGGTGACAATCCCATCTAGTCAACGTGCGTGGTTCCATAGCTTAAAAATAATAAATTAGTACTATTACTTGAACGAAGATTTGAAATGACAGTATTTTCCAGAAAGGAATTTGAACAATAATATACCGAAAGGAAATTCAGGGATATCGACGAATCCATGTTTGTTTGCATCTGGAGTTCTATAGCCTAACGGTTGAGTTATTAAATGCCGTTTCAAGCCAGCTTCTTCTAAGCCTCTTTTCATTTCTCGTACTCCAGCTAGTACAGTATCCGGATCGAAATTGCAGTTGATACCAATGATATCAGCTCCTAAAATAAATGTTATCGCAGAAGTTCTTTAATATCTTGAATAAAAATCTATCTATAAGAAGCTATGCCATTGTCCGACATAACATATCAATGACAATTAATTCGTATCGTAATACCGATCAGTAACAACACTATCAACACAACATAAGTTATCCATGAACAGAAACTACATAAAAATACCAGCATTTGCAAGTCTGACAGCACATTCAGACGTTGGAACTCCATCGACGTCTCCTTCCTTATTAATGCATAAAGTAGCAGCAACAGCCAAGCCTGTTTTCTTACAAATTTCAACAGCCCAACATGCTTCTTCAGCGTGTTCAAAATACTTTGTAAAGGTATAAATAGTAGAGTAAATAGCCATTGCAAGCAAAATCAATCTTAAATATACGAACAAATACTGAAATTGTACCGGCAAGAGCTATAGACAATGGGCTGCATAATAAAATATAAACAATACCTCACATATCAAGAAATCAACGCCGCATTTGGTAAAAGCATCTGCCTGCTTCTGAAAATGTTCTTGAACGGCTTCTTTGCTTCCACCTTCTGCATATGTAGGAGTTTGACTCATACCACCAGCAATCAATGCATCACCTTCATTAGCAACTTCGCGTGCAAGTAAGCAAGCAGCTTCATTTATGTTGGTAGACTATACAGTGAAAATAAAATAATTTCAATATATTGATTATGTAACATTGGATTTTTATCCGCGTCTAGACGATAGTAATTTTATTGGCAGTCCAACAACTACAATTACGAAGTAATTGATTTTTATAAGATATTTAAATTATTAGAATATATTAAAAGTTAATGCGTTCCGTATAGAGCATACCCCATGACGACCAGCCTTGTTGCCTCGAACCGTCAATTTATCTTCGCTAGCATAAAATGTAAAGCATTGCATGACATCGGAGCCAGCTCTTAAAAATTCACGATGTAACTCTAGTACTGTTTAATGTATAATAGGTCAAGATATTTAGTAAATTATTTCGCAGCAGGTACAGTAGCGTAATTAAGCTATAGCATTGCACATATAGTAAGATGCCTTTAATATACGGACTGTACACTGTGCTTAGTGACTAGTGATTAAAAACAAATACGTGTGCATGTCTACGACAGTACAATTCATTAACCATGTAGAGATAGACCAGGCCGTTAAACAATTTACGCAAGTCACTTTTAAGTTTTTATTGCCTATTCTAGAAGTCACCTACGTTATGCATATATGAAGGATATCCTAATCTTAATTTAAGTTAAACTTTCCCTTAAAACGTTTTGATTTTCTTTGAAGAATATTAAATCTCGTTTTACACTATTTAATCAAATAATAACTTTTTACAGTAATTATACACAGTTATACAGTAGTCCATAATGCGTTAACACGTTCGAATTCTGTAACCATTAATATACATTGGATATATATTTGCTAATTTTTGACTACATCACCTGCTTCTGGATGCTCGATAACAGCTTCTGGTGTCCATGGGCCGGCCTGAACATAACCACGCTTTTCTAAAGCGACGACAAAGCCTCCATCACCAATAATGACTCCTTCATCTAATCGTTCAAGGATTCCCTAAAGGCATATAAAATTGGGAATATACGGTTACCGTACATATTTTAGTATAATATTGTCCATAATCTATTCTAATAACAATTGTTTGTAAGAGCTAAGGACTACAGAAATAATTGTAAGATCTATATGAAGAGTATAACTATACTGTAAATACTTGTATGAACGAGTATATTGGATATTGCGATTAAGTTGTACTACCATACTCAAATATCGCGTTACTGCCACTGTAATTATTATAATCATTCATTTCAACCGCTACTTCATTGGTATGCGCTAGTGCAAAGTATTGTATAACGATAATAACAATTAGTTATTATAAAGTGAACTAGTTCATTGAAAGCAATATTCTCACCTTTCCCATTTCAACGGTCTTGAATCGAAGGATAGAAAATAGAAAATATCAAAGATTACCGATTAAAATTGACTCACAATTCTGAATAAAATGATTTCACAATACAACTGCGGTGAGAATAACAAAGATTATAGAAGAATTCTCGGTACAATTTCTATTGAATCTTATCCCTACGCTGCTTTATACGTATTAAGGTCAGACATGAGATGTATATTGGACATCACCGAAGCGTAACATTACCATCGACAATTTTTTTATCTCTATCCATTAATGCTCATCGATGTTATCCATAATTATCAATATCGCGCTGAAAATGATTGATTTTAAATTTATATTTTAAATGTCACTGAAGAGTAGGTTTGATCTAAATGGTACAGTACTTTAATAACCAATTGTTGTTTCATTGTTGCAAATTCAAATTACTGTGATAGCTCAACAACATGGATTACTAGAACCGTTGCTTAATAGTATTTTATACACGACGGTCTTGGCTATTTTTCCCTCAAAAATGACATGATCTACATATGTACAAACGGTTAAAGTAGGAGATGATTATACTGCAAGATAGATTAGTGAATTCCGTAACGACTGTACTATATGTTACAGTTCAAATTTCACACCAGCCAGCTATACTCCATACTCTACTGTTCGTCTTTTTCTAAGATAAACATGCAAACGGTGTTGATTTACTCAATCTCGGACGGTGTCGAAGCAGTCTTCGGCTCGCTCGATGGACAAAATAGCAAATTGATCAACGAATAAACAATGATATTGATAACTATGATAATGCTTACTTATCGTTAGCTGTAGTAATTAATCAAGAATAAAGGCAAGTGAATAAAGTTGTGGAGAACTGAAGACTTCGCCGATGTTAATCTCCTACAATGGAAGCTAAGCGCTTTTTTCCAACGTAGTCGTCCGCGATGATAGCGTTATGACAAGCCGATTGTTCCGACGGTAGTATTTACGTGAGGGAGGAGAACAAGATGCCACGGTGGATAGGTTAAAACTACTCTATCACACTGGTGTTTCCGCCACATTCGGTTATAGAGAAGCATTCAAATCACAATTGATGTCATGGAATAAATGCGCATGCATCACCTTTAACCTTTTAATGGCTGTGTTCCATTTCGTCAAGATGGTGCTATACTGTACGTCGTAGGATGCTGTTGTTTGCAATCTGAAGGCAGACTTTAGAACAGGATTAAGATAGGCGTTGCCTATTTGCCAAGAACTTTCCCAAAAGAATTAATTAATTCATTATGGATCAATTACTAGTCGTTAATACGTTCATACGCGTGCTTTGACTACCATCTGACTAGCTACGTCTTTGGTCTCTGTGGAATACTGCTGCAAGCCACGCTGGTCAAGAAAATTGTCAATTATGAATTATTCATCAATCCATTGTACTGTATTTCTACTTCTTTCTGACTGACTTTGTTTGTAGTCTCTTTGAAAATACTACAAACAACGTAAACAACTCCATTAACAGTGGAGTACGATCATTGATCGAGATTATGCACGAATACTGTTTGCCAACTGCCTAAAATGTTGCCTATTTACAGCTCTCCATATAGTATACACAACATGGCACTACTGTTCAGTAAACCGGTACAGAACAGGATGTTTCGGGTGTGCAATGGCTGTTTACTTGTTGATCATCAAGAAATAGTACTGGCATCAATCAGTAATCTGATAATGCAGCACTTTCAGAAATATAACAGTTGTAGCGGCTCATGTTTTCTTCTACTGTAAAATTTCAACAATTCTCTTAGTCAATCATGGACTAGTCACTAGTCGTAACGATTGAGTAGTCCATCATTGTCCTCAAACGAAGATGGAAACCTTTCCTAATTTGATTGCAATTCAAGTTGTAGTTCAGCATGATAACCATTCAACTAAGTTCAAGATCAATAGTGTATAAACAATTTATAGTATAGTATACAATACTCGACAATAATAAAACCGCAGAACTCCAGTAGACACAAAGCACCAGCAGACACATGGACTAGACTATGGAATATGCCCTCGAGAACATACGCGTAGTTAGTAGTCCCATATGACTACAAAAAAAAACTGAAAGATCTCAGATGGTCGGACATTTTAAACCCAATAAAAGTGGAAAATGTTTAAAAATACTGGCTTAGTATCAATCTCTTGAAGAGTATCTGTTCTCTTCCTCATTCAAGACTATGTTAGACGGTATAGAACTACTTTCAAGGAGATTCTAGGTAAAATAGAAGAGGATGCAATGAATTATTGCTTTCTTTAAAGCAATAATTCAATTACAAAATCCAACATCTGCTTACTAAGGCTATAACGAAGAGAAAAACTGTATTTGCAATAGTTTCCAGCCGACATGACACCAGTTATCCGACCGTCCGAATTCGGTTACAATAATACATTGATTACTATACACTAAAAACATGCCGCCGAATGGTTGCTGGTCATTTCAAGTGAAGCGTCGATCTGAAACGATACACTGCAGTATGCTGTACACTGAGTGTACAGTACTGTCGACGATTGTAAGCCAAATTACCGTCGCTGCTGGGTTAGTTTTGTACTCGACACTGTAAGCCTGTTCGAATTTTAAATTTGGTTCAATATCCAATTGCTTTACGACTAAAATGTTTCAAAATGCAATAAAATCATTTTCTATCTAAAAATTGTTACCGCTTAGCGAACTAAAAACACGCGCAACCGTTTTTTGAAAATGCTTCTGTTGCTATTCGTCCAATCTACAGTGTACAGTACAGACCCTTATACTGTAGTGTACAGTACAGTATACTGTAGTATGGGCTTTCAGTCGCAGTGTAACAGTACTGTACAGTACAGTACAGTACAGTAGACTACAATGACCAGAAAATGATCGGGTAGGCGCGGCCCACCCCCCATACTGTAGAATAGTTTTTAGCAAGTAATGAACAGTCAGTTCTCATCCACTCTCTTTCTACTGTACATCCGATAAAATCATGCCTACGTGTCTCCATACAGTACTATCAACTACTAAAGGAAGACCTTTTAGCAGTCCATTCCACGCTAATACAAGCACTATTGACGACAGTCCATGTCATACAGAGAAGGCAACGCTCTGCCATGGACAATAGGAGAAGTCCGTCCATCCGAGGAAAGTGTTCGATCCAGGTATGTCCAATGGGGGGACATACCTGGATCGGACACTTTCCTCGGATGGACGGACTTCGCCTACCCGTTGAAATCTTATATCACTGTTTTCTGAATCACTCGTATTAATTTCATTTAAATAGCATTTATGGTCTAATTTACTGCTTCCAAGCAGAGCTTAGCAATACTTAATACATCACAATGTGATATTACTTCATTCATTTAAAAAAATCAGTCAATTCACAATCGACTGTCTGCATACTAAAGTACTGTCACAACGAAGAAGTATTGGGCTGAATGAGGCCAAAAATATCCGTCCGTCCAATAAAGTGTTCAATGTTCAGTCCCGCCCAAGTATTCTTCTTCTAGTGGTCTATGGCTATGCAGTCGATGTGCGCAGATTCTTGTCAAGTCTCCAGAGAAACACTTACTGTAAACCTGCTCAGCAGTTGGCCATGGAGGATATGGTTTAAATTACTGGCATCCATTTTGATTCTATTTGTACCCATCCTACCGGTATATTGGCAGAATTTGCCTACTGCAGCTTCCTACTGATTCAATGGAAGGGGTCAATCTTCGTCAACGAAATTCACGCCCTTTAGATGAGCTAACCAAAAAGAAATCTACCTCTGGCGAGGGAGGTGAGCTACTCAATCACCGGCATGTGTAGAAATCTTTCCTCCTTTTTTTTGTCTCCTAGTTAATCTGCTTATTACACAGAAATTGACACTATCCAATTGGATCGAGTAGTACATAGAGTTGATCACTGATTCGCACGATTATCACCGTAGCCATGAGTTTACATAATCATTACAATGTTTTTATAAATGGAAATTTGGTTTCGTTAAGGATATAGTCATTGAATACATTAGTCATCCTTGCATTTCCTGTTTTATAAACTTGACTCTCGCCCAATTGTCCACTATTCCCATGCAGAAAGAAAGACATTCCATTTATAGCATAATACGGAACATAGCCGCCATATACAAGCTAAAAAAATGATACAATACAGACAGTATGTATACTACAGTACATCCTTCATGAATTGGGATATTGTCCAGTATCCAAGGTATTATAATGCGATAAATCTTCATCAATCTTTAGTCAAACAATTTAAACTGTTCGCAATCTATTGTTATCGATGATTCGTATCTACTGTAGTAATTCATGTCATTCTAGAATAGAAATAAGGAGTAGTTCAATCAAGTGTAAATTGATTGATGAACTTATTACACTTGTAGGGACACTAGAGATATTATGGAGACATTGACTTCCGTCATCGAGTAGGCTACGATAGGAATAAACTAATAGTCTCTCGATATTGTAGATATCGCTGCTAATGATAGATAGTACAAAAACGTGCGATTCTCCATCAACACATGGACCATGAATTTATTCAGGGCGTCCATTCTTTTTATGAACATTACAGACATAGTGTGTACATCTACTTCCATCATCGAGTAGGCTACGATAGAAATAAAGTAATATCCTCTCTAGAGTGTACACGTCGCTATCAATGACAGTACAAAAACGTACGATTCGACATTAATACGTCGACAATAAATTCGATCAAGATAAATCAGTTAATCTTTTATCAATTGTAGATTAATCATCAAAAAAAGAAAGGATTCTAGAATCGCCTAAACGACAAAATTTTATAGTAGTATTTGAGGAATGTCGATATTATTTTTCAACGGAATGATGGCCGCATTATACTGTACATTGCAGTATAATCTGTTTGATGGACTTGCAGTATACGTGTGTATATATATACACATATGGCAAAAATGAATCATCGCTGAAAATGATGATATAACACAGTGTTGTTTACAATACAATTACTTGTGATTGCAAATCACGCTAGACTTTGTGGTTGTCCTAAAACTGTAAAATCAAAGTCATTGGATAAAATGCCGCTCAAGGAGTTTACATAAGCTATAAACACCAATCGAGCAAACTTGGACAAATAAATACCGCTGTAGGGCAACTTTTGTCATCCTACGCATTATCAGCAATCTGCAATAACGAATGCCTTGCTAAAAGATAGAAGAGATACGCACTGTAGATAGAACTGTAATTTTAGACTATTGCTTGCAGAGTTTCAGTAATTGATCTTACTCATCTAATTTTTCATCACCTTTTTCAACACTTTAGATAGAAAAAGTGCTCTATATCGCTTTACAACAGCAGGCAAATTGATCCTAACTGCTAATCTATGGTATAATGCAATTCCTACACAAAATTGCGATGTCTTAGTCACCTTTCCAGAGAAAGCAGATGATTATGATGTCATGTGGATTTACAATAGAATAACAAAAAGAGCTCCGCAATTACAAGTAACCGTACGCCGCCATGCTAATATTCCAGTATATGCCTTCTATATTACAGCAACCTTTGAGAATTTGCTACAAGCCGCTGAACAACTAAGTATGAGAAAACGACTCAAACAATCGCATGGTGGTGGTTGGAAAGAATTTAATTTAGAAGAATCTAAAATGTTTCTTAATATTGAAAACTCCAACGATTTCTTTACTACACGAGAACGTCAAACTATTGTCTTCAAAATGGTAGAAGAAATTCGAGCTGAACATGGGGATTCGGTCGGCAGACTTGTCTTGATTGAAGGAGAACCGATCGGTAAACTAAGTGTTATTTCATTCATTATCAACATACATGCTATTTTTGTCCTATTTATGCATTTACATATTATTAGCATTTTACACGTACTCATAGAGTCAGTATCTCAATCAATCGTATACCTTTAGCAGTAAACTATGTACTAGACGCATACAAGATATTCTCATAAACCACTATCCTAAGTTTCCAAAATTTTATTTCCTAGTTCCCAAATGTTTATCTAAAGGCATTATAAAACAAATATTACCTCTCCATTCCAATACCGATTTAAAGAAACTTGAAAAGGATTGGGTACAAGCATTTTTACGGCCTCAACCGTTAGGTAAAACCAAAAATGTGCAACTATTGTCCTATTTATTGTCAGGAGTTGCTGTAACTATATACACCATACTCTTGCTTTATACAACCTAAACGTTATAATTAATCCATAGGCTAAATAAAGTAAAATTAGTCAATATCATTTACAATAATAAAGACCTATGCCACCAAGCAAACAATAATAAACCCGGTGTATTTCTTTCACATATCCATTATAGATGAAATTAGCTCCTACTTTGGTGTTAAAATTGCCATGTACTTCGGCTGGTTGGGTTTTTATACAAGATCATTAATAATACCAGCTATGATTGGTCTCTTATTCTATTTATTCGATACCGGTGATGCACTTTCACAAGTTATTTTTGCTGTATTTAACATTATATGGGGTACAGTATTCTTGGAAGCCTGGAAAAGAAAAAGTCAAGAATACGCATATCGTTTTGGAACTTTAGATCTTCCTAACAATTTAGTCACAGAACCGAGGCCTTTATACCGGGTATTATAAAAATCTTCTGTAATTGAGGACATTTCCATTTTATAAGATAATTATACTAACCATGTTAGTGTTACAATTTAGAAACTGAAACACTCATATGAACACTGTAGTATCAAACGATTAACTGTACAATTTTGCGCTAGGGAGACTATCAGCCTAGTCCCGTTACCGGAAGACTAGAACCTTACTTCCCTACTTGGAAACGAAGATTAATATACTGTGTCACCATTCCAGTTATATTATTTTGTATATCAGTGGTATTTGTGGTAATGCTTTTATGCTTTAAATTACAAGAATTTTTCAATGAACATGCACCTGCATGGACGGTCCATTTTCCTAAAATGTTATTAGCGTTATCAGTTTCTGTTATGGATGACGTTTATAAAAAAATTGCAGTTAAATTAAATGATTGGGGTAAGAAATTTTCAAAACTATAATCATGTAATGATAATTTAATACTAAAAGTATAGATGTCCTCAAGTTACATAATGCCATCATTCGCCAGTGTTTTTCAATTTTACTAATTTCGGCCTTATTTCAATAGAAAATTATCGACTTGAAGAGACTTACGAGAATCACCTAATTGTAAAACTGCTTTTGGTAAAGTAGATGATTGTACAGTAAAATCTTAATAACATCACCCTTAACTGATCTATCATTCTTTCATACTCTCCTTCTTAGTTTCAATCTGTCAATTCTTTCTTGTCGCTGTTTTATATTGCATTTTACTTGCAAGATTTCCGTCGATTAAAACAGGTTAGCTACTAACATACGAGATAGATTACCATCTTCACATTTTATAGGATAATTATTGATGTAGCTTATCTCTATGAGCTACTGTAAACATTTCAAGTATTGCTACAATATACTTTCATCTTAATTAAATTTTAATCACTTAAAAGCAATTGGTAGCATTGCTTATTGTTCGTCAAATTATTGGTAACATCAAAGAAGCATTGGTGCCATATGTTATGCAAAAAATAAAGTTTTATCGAATGTCGAAAAAGATGGAAAAACTCGAACAGCAATTATTAGAGAAACATAACAAGGGAGGCGATGAAACTGAAGTAGAAGATAAGACTATGCTTACGCAAGCTGAAGTAGAGTGCCAAATGAAAGAATACGAGGTACTCTATTAATCATTCGGTAATTGAATACAGATAGCGACTTTGTTTGAAGTACTGAGATTTCAATATCTCTCTACTCAACACTAGGACACCTTGGAAGATTATGCAGAAATGTTCATTCAATTTGGTTATGTTGTCCTTTTTTCATCCGCATTTCCACTTGCTGCGGTTTGTGCACTTCTTAATAATGTCATTGAAATAAGAAGTGATGCGTTCAAACTATGTAGCTCGTTTCAAAGACCATTTTCTCAAAGTGTTCGTGGAATCGGCGAGTGGCAGGTAGTAAACATGTACTAGATTTACGTATTACAAGATCATACCTTAATGCACCACAATTTTTCTACGATTTTCGATAGGACATCTTACATTTCTACTTAATTGTTAATTTAAAATTGTCACTAGTTCATATCGAGATCCAATTTAATTATTAAAATACGCGTATAATCATTAAAACACAGTGGCTATCTACATTGTTGCTAGTCAAACTAAATAGTAAAAATTTTTACTAGTTTGCTCTAGAATCAATGGGCAACGTTGCAGTAATGGTTAATTGTGCATTACTTGCACTATCTGGTATCTTTCAAAAAATTTACCCCGGAATTACTCCTGTGGGAGTGGTAATGGTAACCATACTCCTTGAGGTGCTTAGTTATTGTTGTAAAAATGACCAGTTACAATTTTATGAATTAATATACGTAAGACATTATACGATCATACTAAGATGATTACTGTATGTCGTAATTTTTTTGTACTCCACTAGCATCTTGTCTTCGCGATCAAGATTTTGGTAGAGAAAGCAATTCCGGATGTCCCGGAATGGATTGAAACAGAATTGGCTAAATTAGAATACAGAAGAAGGACTGCATACATGGTTATTATATTGTATACATTAATACGTATCATATATATGGTTTCTTGTAGCTCCTTAACCAGTTTGATCGATAAATGAATACCACAATGTACATTAATTTACTCGTATTTACCGTATTGTATCCTTATTACTAAAACATAAAATAGGAATCTCAAACGGCGAAGCGCCGCAGCAACTCACCAGTAGTAAATGATGTACCCTCCGGAAATACCTCGGAAGAAGCTGGAGTACAACTATAGTTGTACTCCCGTCATCGTCAGCTTAATTTGATCATATTAACTGCTTTCACAATTTTGAATTCATCACGTTCGGCTCAGAATTCCGTGTGTTTTACTTTATTTCGTAATTATCCAAACTGAGCACAACAAGCTAGTCTATTTTCAATATTTAAATTTTAATAGTACAAAATTACTACAAATAAATGGTGTCATAATCAACAGAGATTACATGCAATACTGTGTTAAAGGTAGCTTTAGATGTACCGAAATTTTTATTTATTCAATGTTCTAAGTATAGATTCTACACTTACATATATTTGAAAAGGTAACGCATAAAGGGAATTTTTATAGCTGCTATAAGAATCGTCCATGATCCATCTTAATTTTTATCACACAAATTATTTTACACTCCACTCTGAGTATGGCAAGTATATACGCGTATTTTAGCAATCGATGGTTTATGTTCAAGCCGGTTTATATTTACTAATTTATTCTTACTATCAATCATGGTAATAACAATAAATGTTGAAGGTTATATTATCAAATATTTACGCTGAACAGAGTGGTGTATTTAAGTATTAAATCATGCAATTATATTACAATTCTGTACCGGAGTTTGTTAGGTGAGTGATAAGTTATCTAGTGTATTGATTGATACTACTAGCAAGAACAAATATCTCAAGGTAACCATCGCTCATTCATAATACTATTTCAGCATACGATTACTACACTGGAACATGTAATATTTTTATAAAACAACATGTAGCGATAGCTTATATTAGTAGCAAGATTGCAGGAGATAACGTGTTACTCTATTACGCTTGAGGACAACTATCCTATCCGTATGCCGTAAGACAGTAATAGCATTCTTTGTGCTAAGATCCATTTTAAGTTTTCCATTTTCACGAAGATCCTCATCGGTAATGAAAATGAAGCCTACAGAATTGAAAATTTCTATTAGCTTTAGAACATGATTATCGACTAGCTACCAACGTTTTACGCTTTTTAATATATATACACTACGTTTACGTACAATAAAATTAATAGTTATACTGTGATTGTATTATTTGTATACAGTATTTTCACAGAATGGATTTATTTATAACAGTTTCTTGCCTGCAGTTTCGTCACATTCGGCATCCTTGAATTTCTAATTTACGTAAAGGAAAAATGTCAAAGGCGTGGTATCACAAATATGCATCAATTAGTTAGCCTTCTACCAATCAGTCATTCATGTTTACCCTGAATTTAGCCAACGTTTGCTGATTCATAGCTGACTTTGGTTTATTTAAAATTTTATATTTAATACGTGCAACTTTTAGGAGATTTTCCAGTGTTGAATTAACAAATTTTAATGACAATCGGCCCCTGATGTAGCTAAAGATTCGAATATCCGATACAAATCAATTAAAATATGACTAAAAAATCATAACTTGACCTAACAACAATACAGCAATTACGAAAATCTTTTCAAGTACTAGCTAATTTGTTTTGTTCATATATCACCATAGCTTGCAATTGAAGCTACCCTAATTTGCCTTACTGTGGTATTGAATCCAATTCTTCAGGGGTTACAAGTTCAATTGCAGGAAGAATGTCTTGTTTCTTGTTTACTTCAGTATTACATACTGGTATATTCGAAGCTGGCTCATCCTTTACGTTTTCTTTTTCATCCTCACACGTTGAACTATTGTATCAGTAGAAAGTGTTAAGCCTTTACTGAGCTGCAATTATGTTTAATAAGACTTAACGTAGTAAATATGAACATTATTATCAATTATGCTGCAACTCTTCCTACAGTACTACCTATGATGTATAAGTGATCCTGTTTTACTTAACGCTAAACTACTCTATTTTATTATTCCATATCCTATAACCTTATGATGCAAATTATCATGTAATTAGTCTACAGTAAGTATAGCGTAGTTTTTTCGTCATTTTTTGCATTTCTTATTCTTTGCTCGGCACTATTCTACGTGATACTTTGCAGTATATCTAGAGATGCACAGATAGATGATGCTTATCCAACATTAAATCTACCCCGCATGTATTGCCTATATGATAACGAGCTAATGATATGTACTATTGCCTGGATAGTATAAATATAAGGTACAGTATTTCTTTCTTTTAAAATCATACATTTGCCGAAATTAATTTTACATTCTATCATTCTAATACCCGATCCGTATATAAACAATTTTAATCCTTAAACAATATCTATTTTTTTAATTTTAATAAGCTAGGTAGAGCAGAAACCAAAAATCCATATGTATCAATATAAAGACAATAATGTACGTCGCGGTCATTAGTTACAGTAGATACCTTACTGTCGATAGCCTTTCTAAAAGTTTAGCCGGTACATTGGCCTCTAGATGTTTGAAAGATTCCAAATTTGTCTTTAAATCTTGTTCTAATTTCTGTAATAGTGCGAATGTATACAATCAGTCCTATCATGTAAGCACTTGACTTCAAAATATTAAATCTAGAAAGTCATATAAGTCACAAGACTACTTGAATCATGCAGTCTATATCTCAAAATACTAATTTCCGAATGTGATAAATAATGGCCATCTATCGTAAATTTGCAGCGTAAGTGTATACTGTATACGTTAGGTGTTCATCTATCTTAAAATAATCTACTAAATACTCCACAAGTTGTTCAATTCGATATTAGAGGAGTAAATGCAAACCAGAGCTTGGTTAATAATTTCTAATTTACCGTGTTTACAAAATGGAGAAAAATAATCATCATGATCATTATACGAGTATTATTAACCTTGGCTTCTCCAATTGCATCTTTTTCACGCTGGATACATTGACTAAATTGCTGCAATAGTTGATCAATCTTATCCAATTCATGGCTTACTAACTTTAACTCTTGAAGGATCTTATCTTTATTGGCACCTAAAAAATAATTAAATATATTACGATTCTCTTTTTAACTCTATTTGATCCAAATACATCATGCACTCTAGTAATCGAATACATCGTACGATTCTGTACTCTAAGAATACAAGTTAACATGTTCTTTCTCATCAACATTGCACTGTCAGGGGCTAAATCTACGTTGATCGTTAATATGTAAGGGACAGTGAAATACGAGTACAGTACTGAGATGTAGTAAGAGAATCGCCATCATCATGTCGTACTGTATTTCTGTGTCTATAGCAGTAGGACACCGCCGCGTCTAACATGTTGCTCCGTTTCATCAAGTACCACTATAAAATCTATCTTGTCCAGTTATACAATCCAATAAACAGCATGGAGACCACAAAGGTGAGAATAAAATATAACTTGGAGTAAACACAGATAGTATCCCTAGTAAGAGATCATTTTCTACATCCGTAGATAGCTAATTGAACTAGACGATGTGGAGGAAAATGGTTTAACGGTACATAAATAAAGCTAAATAATTTTTTCAATCGTGGAGAAGACGCAACAGCTATTTCCTAAGAGAAAATATCTTCATCTCCTTCCACAAATACTCACCCTTTGAATCTTGGCTATGATTTAGATACGCCAATACTCTTAAATGTTCATCTTTAGCTTGAAAATAACTGGTTAACTGAGAAAGAGCATTGGCCATTTCCGTATTTTCGATTCGATAGGCTTATTTAACGAAATTAAGAACGAATCAATCAATCTTCCGATGTTACCTTCAATTTCAGATCAAGATATCAAAGAAACCAGCACAGTATTTACTCGATTGACTTAAGACTAAGCAACGATGGTAATATCATGTCATGGGATCAGTATATATCGATCGGGGGAATTATCCAGATTTTTATTTACAAAATGCTGTCTCTAATGGAGGAAAAAACTGCTTCCTACTGCCACTTTGATGCTTGCTCAGCTACTACGTTTGGTGCTAGGTGCTACTATACCGATACAGTACTCTCCAGTCATATCAACTTCTAGCAATAAACAGCGAAAAGGGTTCCTGTATCACTTTCTTGTAACAGCAAGACCGCGAATTTTTGAAAATCACGTGATCGGCACCGGGTGGATGGGCGGACAGCCTCATCTCGTCCTAGTTCGGTTGCAAACACTTGGATTCATTATGAGGTCAGTATGGGAAATGCTCGTCTCCGAATTTGACTTCCTTTTCTAAAGAAATACTATACGAAATCTCTTCCATTTTATTACTCTTTAGCTCCCAAGCTATACAGTACTACAGCCATTATGTAGTGATAGTCCAGAAATCGACTAAAAAGGTCGCAAAAGTAACAACAAACTTAAATAGATATTGCGTCTTGAGTCATCGTACAACCATTTATAGCTCACAGCTGGTCGGATGTACAGTACTATACTACAGCAATGATGCAGTGATAGTCCAGAAATCGACTAAAAAAGGTCGCAAAAGTAGAAGAAACTTAAATAGATATTGCGTCTTGAGTCATCGTACAACCATTTATAGCTCACAGCTGGTCGGATGTACAGTACTATACTACAGCAATGATGCAGTGATAGTCCAGAAATCGACTAAAAAAGGTCGCAAAAGTACAACAAACTTACATAGATATTGCGTCTTGAGTCATCGTACAACCATTTATAGCTCACAGCTGGTCGGATGTACAGTACTATACTACAACTATTATGCAGTGATAGTCCAGAAATCGACTAAAAAAGGTCGCAAAAGTAGAAGAAACTTAAATAGATATTGCGTCTTGAGTCATCGTACAACCATTTATAGCTCACAGCTGGTCGGATGTACATGTACTATACTACAGCTATTATGCAGCGATAGTCCAGAAATCGACTAAAAAAGGTCGCAAAAGTACAACAAACTTAAATAGATATTGCGTCTTGAGTCATCGTACTACCATTTATAGCTCACAGCTGGTCGGATGTACAGTACTATACTACAACTATTATGCAGTGATAGTCCAGAAATCGACTAAAAAAGGTCGCAAAAGTAGAAGAAACTTAAATAGATATTGCGTCTTGAGTCATCGTACTACCATTTATAGCTCACAGCTGGTTGGATGTATAGTACTGTTATTCCTTACAATTGGTTATATTGCGGTATTATACTGTAAGGTGATACCACCACGTGACTACCTTATAGACTTGTTATTACCATGGATACCATACCGTAGCAGCTAATTCTGATGTCAATCGTAGACAATATACAGTAGTATACAAGTCTAGTTGCAGATATGCGATGCAGCTGAAATCAACCGGTAAAATAATCGGCCTGCACATTTTTAGTATAGTGAACGACCGCTTTCCATAAAATTTTTAGGCTTTGCAAATGTATATTTTACCCAAAGATAGCTGACTGTAGCAGATAGTTAACAGGTAGTGTACAGGAGAGACTACTTAGCACTTTCTAACACTATAACAAAACAACACGAAAACATTCGCCATTGACCTAAATAATGTGACAGTAGTTATCGCAAAATAGTTTAACTGTCGAGAATCTCCTTCATGTTCACATTAACCTTAATTCAATAGAGTCGCACCTTAATTAAAGGACTGTCAATAAATGTTGTCATAGCCATGGCTAATATAGTATTATAGAAGGAAATGTTGGCTTTTCCGTCAGTCCAATTATTGCTCAAGCAGAGATTAATATCTTGTGATTTTAAACTTAGGGTAGTATCTTAACTACGAGAAAGATGTAAACCAGAGTCCTCCAATGGAGCGAAAACGCAATTCGAACCCGATCAAATTGGTCATTTTCTAACCCGAAATGAGTACAATCGCGATAAAAACACTGTATCACCACAGAGATTCTTAACCCGAATCCCGCCCTCGAGTCAGGTTCAAGTCGGGTTTCGGATTGACTTTGCAGGATACTGATGTGAATCTTTCAAATGAAAGCATGATCTACAATATGGGATGATGTTGATGGCTCTTATCCTTCTAAGCTACCTCACATAATCGAGACTGTTGCATTTTTTTTTTTCAATGCCATCACTCAATCTGCAACTTACTATATCAATTCAATATTGTCAGGAAAAATAAGTACTAAAAAGAAAACAGTCCTTTGATTCCGTGAATGACAGCTATAGACTCCCTCTACAACAACAATATAGTACGGTAGTTATCCCATGCTTCAGGGCTAGCATTGGGCTGCGCTGTTTACTTGCATGGCCTGATAGAATCGTTGGAGAAATGCCTTTTCCTTATGAACGCTACGTAGCATAAGTACAAACTTGGGAGTTTCTACTATCTACTTTCGATACTATTGTTGGTAAATCAACCAACAAATGATGCAGTTCCGTAAACAACTCGAGATTATTCTAAGGTGGACTTTAAATCTTCAACACGTTGTGTATGTAACATGCATTATGCAGCGGACTCAAATTGAAGAACTGATATAGCAGTTCAACTACATGATCGGTATGAAAACTTCCTAGGAAGAAAAAAAGGGGTGCTACCCATGATGTTCGCATGGCAGGTGTGGTAAATGCTAACCAAATCAAATAATTTACTACTATATTCAGTACTGTACAACATAAGAGTTTGATCTTTATAACATCGTATCAGGCCTCCATGTCCACTCCACCCTCTTAGTATCAATTGCTGTATTTCAATTCTAAACTCTATTCCTGGACTACAATCCTATCCATTCGTTAAATAAATAAATAATTCGGAAACGGCGTTCTATTTCTAAGTATTCAATCATAAATTGTATTCGATACATATACTCGCACATATAATAATCTTCGACGTAGAATAAAATACTTAAATTGAAATACGCGTAAAAGAAATCGTACTGTGGAAAAACGAAGCGTAACTTTCCAAACTGGATTGTTATATTCAGTACTGTGGTATACGTAACAACTTATAAGTATCAAATTATTCCATCCTTAAAAAAAAGCTGGTCACGAAATTGGAAAATCGATTAAAAAGGGATCTAGTTATGTCAAACGCCTCATATGTCGATAAGGATGTCAATCTAAACTACCTTTATGATGAGGTACATATTTTACAAGTCTGGCAGAGCTATATTTTACGGGAACTGCAACAGGTGCGATTTTACGTTGGTCACACAGTTGATGGCACTTCACAAGATGGTACCTTGTCGCATTTATTGGATAACATGTCTCTATCTGGAAGAAGCGGTGCGTTATTAGTCACTAGCGATGGTCAATTATATCAATGTGCTGATTATTCTATTTCTATCTGCGGCGCTGTGAACTACGAAAGTAACATACAAGGCGGGTATGATGCAGTCACAAGCAATTTAGAAACCGTATTCAAACAAATAATAGAATGGAATAATTTGAATCCAAGTGCTTCCATCATCTCACAAAAAATAATTTTTCCCCTTCAAACGCATTATAACCATTGGACCTTAGGTTGTCTCATACTAAACTTTTCAGGCCAATCTTTGCTCAATAAAGCTGAGATAAGCGTTTATGATCCATTTGGTGAAGGTAGTATCCGCGATTCGGTAAAGGTTAAAATAGAAAATCTACTGAAAGAGGTCTTTAACTCCTCAAATGTTCAACTCGATATGAAGGATAATTCAGATCATATCAGACAACAATATGACGGTACCTCTTGTGGCGCTATTACTGCAGAGAATGGTAAAGACTTGTTGAACGGCGGTAATGAACGATTACAAAAGCAATACTGCAATCATACATCGAGCAATGATCTTCGCTTGCGACATTTGAAAGACGTCAGTACTCCTCAATTTGCTCAAAGGCAATGGCAAGCACAATATAGTGATATAAAAGGCGATAAAGAAATCCAAAACAAAGAACAAGTCAAGAAATCTTTGATAAAATGGATTCAAAATCTACAGGTCGAAGATAAATATCAAGTAAAGATGTCATTCAGAGCTTTATACAACATTAGTAAAGAAATGATGAAAGATAAAGGAGAAAACCTGTTTAAAAGATTAGCTGTCTTACGGAAGAAAGAAAGGGAGAAACCGAATAAAAAAAATCAAAAAGAGTCAGGAAATGGCGAGACGAAAACACTAAATCAATCAGGTTTAACTACCGCAGAAATAAACGAGATAGAAAAATACCTTCCCATACCATTCGGTAATCCGGGCCAACTTGATGCTTTATCTCAAACTGGTGTAGACCCTGCCAGATTGATATTGACCAATTTAAAAAAGTTTTTTAATAATCATAAAGAATCACTAGTTCAAGCTAATATTTATAGTTCAATTCTGGACGGCGCCAATCAATGGCAAGAAGGTAGCAGAAAATTTCTTGAGGATTTCTCCAAAACGTACGAAAATTACAAAAACGCAGGTGTTGCATCCGCCAAAGGAACTGACCATCAAACCAGACAATTAAAATTAAAACTATTCTCTTTCCCATCGCTAAATTCACTATTTCAGGATTGTGGCTGCTCTAATGCAAGCTGTATTCAAATAGAAAATGATATCACTACGATAAAGTCAGATGATGAAACTGCGATTAATCTTCTACGCAAACAGATTATTCTTGAACTAGAAGACGACATAGCCGGTCTTGGACAATTGGTTTACACCGATAGTGATTATCAAACTGGTCTTAAAGAACTGTTAGATGGGAAAATCATTGCACAAGCCCAAATGTTCTCTCTAATCTTGAGTCGAAAAGTGACAGACTTGCTCGTTAAGAGTATCGATATATATTACCAAAGACAAATTGGAACAAAACTACATCCCCCTTCACAAACAGGGCAAGCTGGGGCACACTTAGAAGAAAACGCGCAAGCCTACTTTTTAGCATTCATGATTACCGGCACTGTAGATCCTATTTTAGAACGAGATGATTATGACAGTTTAACACTGCAGGCCGCCCCCCAAGGCTTTAATACAGATGATTTTGTTGTTACTTTTGGAAAAGAAAGTGAAGGAAATAGATCCCGTCTCCTATGCCAAGTTAAACGTTCCTTAAAGAATGGTCTTGGGAAAGCAATCAGCCAGGCTTGGGAGGATTTTGACAAGCCAAAAAAATTTAACCCCAAAAGAGACTATATTGTATTTGTGACCGAAACGCACTCAGGATTAGATCATCTAAAACAAATGATAAGCAGCGCTCATTCATCGAGCGACGATGTAAATCACTTTCGCAATAGCATTTTTGGAGAAGTCGAGAAAGCATATAGTAATATTCATGACATTATCTTAGAAGAGGCATGCATAGATAGGCATGACGGTCAGATTAATCAAAAAGTGTTCAATTTCTTACTAAGAGTAAAAATTTTAGAATTTACCCAAGGTCATATAAGTAATATCAAAACTATAATAGGCAATTACAAAAATTGCAATACAGATGAAGCCCTAAAAACGTGGAACTCACTGTGTAAAGAAGTCGCCAAAGATAACGAAAGGGCTGGAATAATCACTCGCGAGCCCTTACCGGAACGCTATGAAAAACTCTTCGCTAAAATACAAAACGACCCTATATCAGACATAGATTTATTTGGAGAAGAAAACTTTCCACCAGTAGATGATTATTTTACCGGCAGACAAAAGGACTTAATAAAAATGAAAGAGAAGCTATTCTCTCCAGATCCTAAAAAAAAGGAAGAAGAGAAAAAATTGCTCACCCTTCTAGGTTTAGGTGGAGTCGGAAAAACTTATTTAGCGCTGAAATTTCTTCATAACGCCAAAGACCACCACGAAAGCATAAAATGTAGACTATTTTTTAACGCCGACGATGAGGAAACTTTAACCAATTCATACATTGAATTGGCTCGTCATCTAAATATTCTATCAGGAAAGTTGCAAATAGTAAGTCAAATCAGGAAAGTCAAAGGATGGCTTTGTAATAATACAGGCTGGATCATTTTATTCGATAATGCAACAATGAAATATAAAGACCTCATTAAATACATACCTCAAAAGGGAGGGTATATTGTTATCACAACACGCTGCGATAGCTTTGATGTCAACAAAATCCAAATTGATATAATGACAATAGAGGATTCCATCGAACTACTGGAGAAGGAAATAGGAGATTTCGAAAATGTCCTTGAAATGAATAAAGATGAACTCAATGAACTAGTTCAATTACTTGACTGTTTACCTTTAGCACTTGTTCAAGCAGCAGGCTATATTAAATTTAAATACATGAAAATCAGAGCATATATCAACTTATATAAAGAGAACTATGAGAAGCGAAAAGAAATGCTGGAATTTAATACCCCGGAACGCCCTAATCAACATATCCCAGTTTATCTCACTTGGGATATGAGTTTCAATGTAATTAAAAACACAGACTATGCTGAAAATATTATAACACTGTGTGCCTATCTGTCACCTAATGGTATCCACGAATCACTCTTGCTTCCTCTAACAGAGGGAAATCACAAAGCTCTAGATGAAGTATTAAAGACTCTATTCAGTCTATCATTGGTTAAAAGAATAGGATATGAAGTAATTAGCATTCACAAAGTTTTACAAGAGGTGATTCAAGTCAAACAAAGGCAAGACGAAAAACATAAGCAATGGATCGAGAAAGCAATAGATATTCTTGCCGAGAAATTCAAATGGGACAGAAACAAAAAGGACTCTATCGATTTAGCTAAAAGTTTAATTGTCCACATTACATGCGCCTTAGATCTGGCCAAAGAAGCTAATCTTAATTCTAATAAAATAACGTTTTTATTACATAGAATTGGTGTCTACTATTTGGATATCGAAAGCCTAAACTCACTGGCTGAGGGCTATTTAAGGCGTTCGTTAGAGGGAAATACTGGCGACAGCGATATTAGGAAAAGAACATATCGACAACTATTTAAGTGTCTAATTCGTGCAGAAAATTATACTGAAGCAAAAGAAATACTTGAAATAATTTTACCGGCAGACGAAAAAAATTATTCAATAGATGATCACTGCAATTTGGCTCTCTTATTAATGAATTCCAAAGGCGTACTAGTTGTCAAAGCTATCATTGGATACTTCACTTTATCGCCATCAAGGCATGGATCAGTCGAGATCTATTCGGGACAGAAAAAGCGAGAACATTTAAAGGAAGCGCAAAAGCAACTAGGCGAGGCACGAAAAAAGATTGAAGAAAATAACAGTCATCAAAATGGGGCGGTACATGCCAAGGTACTTCATTACTCAGGCCTCTGTTTATATAAACAGAAGCAGTATAATGAAGCAAAAAGTTTTTTTGACAATTCCTTGAAACTAAAACGCGATTATTACAATGAAGATCACTTTGAAATTGCTCGAACCCATCATGAAATTGGGCGTTGTTACTATATACAAAAGCAGTATGAAAACTCTATAAAAGAATTCGACGAAGCTCTTAGAATCAGGCGAAAATATTATAATAGTACGCAAACATTATCCACTTTAATTTATTTAGCTAAGTCATATAAGAACACCGGTGAAGTAGAAAAGCGTAAACTGGCAATAACGCTATTAGAGGAAGGACTCAAAATTCAAGAGAGATTAAAGCTTTCGCTAGATATTACATTGATATTGCTTGCAAAAATTTCTCTTGATTTAAATAGAAGAGAGGATTGTATCCGTTACATTGAAAGAATAAGCAATAAAAGTAAATTATCTAGGGAACTCAAGTCCGTTGGCGAAACCGACGTTATTAATTTTTCTAAACAAGAACCCAAACTCTCAACTGAAGAAGCCTTAACTGACAACTCCGAAAACACGGACAGTGTAGAAATATCCGATGATTAACGTATTTAGACGCGATCATCTGCATACCCTGGAAAAAAATATTACAAAAAGACCTTCAATTTCACTCCATCCAATAAAATAACAGACGCAGTCGTTGCCATAATTTCTCAATGATCAACTAATTTACGTAATTTAAAATAGAACCTTAGTCTGAAAAGATGACGCGCTACAACCTATTAATAGGTACACTTAATTTAAATCAAGCTAGCACCGTAAGGAAATTTTTTCACTATCCTATCTGAAGACTAGCATGGCAAGTTTAGAATAAGAATATAGAACAGAAAAAAAGTGATACAACACTAACCCATCACTATTCAGATATTTCGGACAATTTTTCTCCTACACTTATTTTACATTTGATCGTTATCATTACAATAAGCATATTCCGACGGTATAGTTTGTAATTGGTTCTATGACAAGAATTTGTGATCTATATCTTTTCGGTTCCCAACGCTATACAAGTCGATGACTACAATTTATATATATAGACTGTCGTACTATCATACTATGCTATCCTTTACAAGCACTATTGCAACTACTGGTAAATACATAACACTTAAGATTTTCTTCTTTTAGTCAAGTTTACAATACTTTAAATAAACTGAAAATGAATAGACAAGTAAATGAAATAATGATGTCAGTTCTAGAATATACTTGTATGTTTTTTCTCGGTGTCGTTGTCACACTATTAAGCTATGTGTATCAACTGTTATTAGTGATCACGCAATATTTGATCAAGTAATCATTCCAAAGAAACGTTTGGGTGCATATCAAGCCCGGTCGTAGAGAGATTTAGCATCTTTAGCTTTTGCTTGTACAAGACAAGAGTTAATTATATCTTCGATCTACATAAGATGCGAGCTCCAAAATCCAGCGTTCTAGGACTATCAGTAGCGAAACATATAAACCGGTGCTAAGTGGAAGAACCTTTTATTTTATTATTCTTTAAAAGAAATGATCTCATATTTAATCATATTATTATCATCACTTATAAAAATGTAGTGAATAGGCTTGTCATAGAACTATAAGATAGTTATCACTAGATAACTTATCTTAAAATTTGCTGATAGCAATTTTATCTACGATTTTATTCATCAGTAATGTTAGCTTGGTGTTTTGTAGCTAAACTATAAATTCGTTGATATTTCAATAAATTTGGATCTTATAGTTTAATCTGATTAGAGACATATGTCAACCATGAGTATATCTTCTGAGATAGGGATAATCAGCACAGTATTTAGAGTAGCATAGAGACAGATGCCAGGAAGTGTACAATAGGTGCAGATTTGTTATTTTGATATCGTTGCAAACTTCAATTTGTAACAGGGCCATATTGGTTTAATGCCTAACAGATATTGGATTGATTAAGTGAGTGAAATAGCTGTCGTAGCAAATTTAATGATAAAGGCAGGCTAATTGGATAAAATTGAAATATTTCACAACCGCGCTGGAAAGTATCCCTGCTAACTCCCAGCGGATATCATAGAGTTCTTGCTATCTCGTCCATCAGTTAGCGGCTCCGTAAATTGACCACAGACGCTAACTCAGTCAAGTCCGGTAATATTATGTGTACAGTAGTCTAGTGCGACGTCTGGAGACAGGGACAAGGATTGCAATATATGGAATAATACCTGAGTTCTTAGAATCACAATCAATGGTAACTAGGGCAGTTCTTGTAAATGCAATACTGATAGAACCTTATCCTTCTAAATATTATTGACTTCATTAATAAATGTAATTTAGTATATCTCATTAGAAGCAAAACGTTCATGTTGATGAATTAATTTATAAATACAATACTGATTTGTCATGGAACACCTTTTCATTTTTTGCTACCATAAAGTTGGATATACGCGTATTAAGAACATATATACAGTACGTAGTTGTGATTATGATATTAGTAATGGTATGAATGGCACATGACTACTAATTTAAAAATGACCAAGTCCATCTCGATAAGCATGCTTTTGCATGAAATAATATCTACATTGATGCTTAATCAATCCTAACTCAGTAATAAGTTGAATTCACGATATATAGCAATAGCAAATATTGTAGTGTAGTATTATAAATGATTGGATCCATGGCATAACTTCGTAAACCAACTCTATTCTACTATAGCGCTGCATAGTATACTGTTCCGAATTTTCATGTTAACATTAATTACACAATGCATTTTTTGTCTTTAAATCTGAAAGAGTAACGAAAATGACCTTTACTTGTAAGGCTTTGATTCACAATAACAGATAGCTAACATTGTCAGATTTGATATCCTACTCATCAGCTACTTAAATTTTATTACGAGATACTAGTCTAATGTAAACTGCATCTTAAAATTAATTTCCTCTTAATAATGCAAACACAAGAATTCTTAAAGCTTTCAACATGAATCAATTAACATCATATTCAGATTCTAATACATCATAATCTTACACCGTAATTAATAATGCTATACATCATACCTTTTTCATACATTTCGTTTCACATTAAACATTATTGCACATGTAAACTCCCTCAATTATAGTGGTTTATTTAAGCCAATAGACAGGAGTATCACAATAGTGTTTCGTTTACTTGCATCGTATAGTAAGAAAGTGGCACAGGTGTAATTTCCGCTTACTGCGACCGACCATACAATAAAGTAATTTTACTGGTGACTGATACCAAAATCAGAAATCACGAATATAAGTAACCGACTAAAGGAAACGTAAAGGGAAAATTTATACTAAATTACTAAAGAAAAGAATGATAAATGTAGAAATTAGTAGTAGATTTAATACTGTAGTCCAGACTGGGGGCATAATTAACGAATTCTACACTATAGTATCCCGCTAAGTACTGTTGTATACTGTACAAGTGTACATCAAGCAGATATAATCGTTCGTGAAAGTAGCTGGGACTACTGTACTAAAGGAAAGAGAAAGATAGAATAGAATTAGCAATAGATTCATTATGCTGTACCTGATTTTCATATTAAGGTTAATGCACAATATATTTACTATGTCTTTAAAGTCCGATAGAGTGACAAAAGTGACCCTTTTCTTGAAAGCTTTAATTCACAATAACTGAACGAAAATGGTCAGACTCGATATTTTACTCATACAATTAATTAATTTTATTAAGAGATACTGGTCCAGTGTAAACAGCATTCTAAAATTAAATTTCCTCTAAAAATGCAAGCACAAGAATTCTTAAAAACTTTCGACAGGAATCAATTAATACCGTATTTAGATTCTAGTATATATTATAATCTTACACCGTAATTAAGAATACTATATACCGCTTCTGTCATACATTTCATTTCACATTAAACATTTTCTTGCATATGCAATGGCTGTCAATTACAGTGGATCATTTAAGCTAACAGATATCATGCAATACCGTAAATTTACTGGATATCAAATCAAAAATTACCAACATAAGAAATCAATTATTTTTAGTAAGGGTATAAATAAAGTTTTTTCCTCAATAAAATTACGATATTCATCGGCGAATTAATTTCAAGAAATTAAGCACAGACTGGCTCGAAGGCACTTATGGCTCTACTGCAGAATTGTATTTTTCCACATAAGGTTCTACAGCCTCCCAGACCTAAACATTACCAACACAAGGACTCATTTACTCACAGCGAGCAATAACCGTTAAATTTATACTACAATACTAACTCGTAGCATTTATTTCCTCAATGATTAAAATGCTTATTAATAACGAAATTGAATGCGAAAGTTAGCGCGAAGGTATTTACCTTATTTTCTTTAAGCAACCTCGTAGCGGCTTCTATATCAGGAGAAATATATCTATCCTTGTCCCAAGACCTAAAAAATATTAAAATTGGCGTAATCATCGTAACTTTCATTCGTTTATTATAAGTAGATTTGCTACTTTTCATTTTATAACTCACTTGACTACACTGCGCACCAAAGCATGTACTTTTTCTAAAGGTTCTGTTGTCTTGAGAGGGCGTTGTAAATCGATTGCTTGACAAGCAGCGAGCAATTCAATAGCAACAACCTGTTCAACGTGCTCAACTACCTGTAATGCTTTCCTAGCAGCAAAACCTCCCATTGATACATGGTCTTCTTGGGCAGCAGAAGTTGAAATGGAATCAACGGACGAAGGATGGGTTAGAACTTTATTTTCCGAAACTGAAAAGACAAGTAATACAAGTTAGCAGCTATTGAAAGTAGTCTTTGAAAATTTTACTCTATTATCACATATAATAACCAAATATAATCAACACCCAAATAAAGTAAAAAAATGTAGCAACTATGAATTACGTTCTGTATTGCTAGTACATATATCAACGGAGCGACATGATCCATTAAAGTATTACCTAACGCGGCTGCAGTACAGTGAGCAATCATAAAACCTGAAATAAAATATAATATTATACTCATATACATAACATGTTAATAGTCAGCTAAAAGGAGAACAAATCATACAGCAATTTTACGCGTAATACCGGAATTTAGGCCGCCCTCTTTAACAAGAAAAGCAGGAAGATCGTTCAGTCCTATAATAGATAACACATGGGAAAAAGTAATAGTACACCGCTAGTTAATATTTAATATCATGAGATTTTTAGTTTAGACGATAGTCTTGATAGTCAATCTAATTAATAACTGATGTTTAGAGTAGTTGGCTGTTGCGAAATGTACGCACGACGTTGTTGCTAGCAATGACGTAGCTTACCAGGATTTAGCATCCTCTCAATTCTTCGTTCGCTAATATTTGCAAGTTCGTGAACGCCAATTGCAAGATAGTCTAACATCTAACGTTATAATAAGTATGAACAATTACTGGCATAGCAATTTCAGAATAACAACAGAGGACGCAGAATCATAAATTCAAAGTTCCATGTAAATCTAGAAATGATCCTAAATACTATGTTCCTACTATCAATGAATACGTGTATATCAATTATATAGTACAATTTACCTTTGCAGGATATTCCCCGTGAAAATTTCCTCCAGATATTATTTCTCGATTTTTCCAAAAAACAATCTACGATATAAATGCTCAGGAATTTTATCCGCTCAATTTCTAAATTCTACAACGGGTTTTATCATTTATAACTCAGCGATGAACATCAAAAAAGTCCGTACAGAATAAATTAATTTCAAGATTTTAAGGATACAGGGTTATCAGTGGCACTATTCATTTCGTTTGTTATTGTTTCGCTAACAAATTTTATCGTATCATGAACAACCCCATGTACTTGCGGTATACACCGTAGGGAATAACAGTCTTGAACACGCGCGTAATCATTTTCATCGCCTGTAGTTGCATTAATCATTTTAAGACTTAAACGCTAGTAGAATTGATTAACATTACAATGCACTCCCTCTAATATCTTCAATTGTTACGTTTATATTCCTAACATTATAATTTAATAATTTAGACTACAATTTACTCACTTGTTAATCCAGATGGGTACATAGAAGAACGTAAGACGGCCCTTAATCTAGCCGCAACTTCATTTTGACCTTTATGGAGCCGAACAGCGTGCAGCTTGGGATCAAAAGCTTTAACAATTCCTTTCAGGCTTTCTAAAGTGAGGGCAGCTACAATATCTGCTTGACGAGCAATCCTTTGGGCACGGTAAACAGCTAATAACAACATAAAAATCAATATGGAATAAATTTAAGTATATTTTTAACGGTAACATTTACAAATCGTAAATGTCATAATATTATAAAAGTATGAGAACGACATCACACTAGCGAAATAGTTCAAGCATTATGTCAAGTAATCATGGTAAAGCATAAATAGAGTATAAAAATTTACCAGTACATCCAACAGAAGTTATTAATTGAGTGCCGTTGATCAATGCCAATCCCTATAAAGATAAAATAATTTTCATTGTACATATATATTCTCGATATTCATCTCCAAAAGCCAATCATTAATAAATTGTATAACATTACATCCATACATCCAACAAAGTCTAACAAGATTTACCTCTTTAGGTCCGAGATTGACCGTCTTAAGACCATGAAATTTTAGGACCTAAAAAAATATATTTAATATTAAAAATTTATGGCAGAGCTAATATCGATATGTATAATTAATTCAAAACTGTCGTAGGACCATCTTAGATCTCCATTTGCAGTCAAAATTCGCTTAATGCTACCACAGGTCAATAGTCAGAGGAGGTTATTGATTGTGTGGATTAGCTCTGTATGTAAGAACATGTCTTAAATACCGCAACGTGGATACTAAAATAACTCACTAATTTCACTAAACTTTTAAAACATTGCGAGTATTATAACTAAAAATTTCGATAACACGAATAATAACATAATCTGTCTACTGCATGCGAAATACCGAGTGTGTAAGGTATCTCTAAGCGAGTATAATCTGGAAAGGGACAAGAGGAATACATTGCAAATTAGACAAACTATCATAACCAGCAAACATGTACCACAACTGCACTGAGTAAACCTTCATGTACTGAAATGGTCATCTAGATTAGGTAACGGATTAAGGGAATTCGACTGCCTTCAGTTTCAATGATTATCCAGTGGTGTTAAATTATTTAAACTAACTAACCTCTGAGGAATTTGCCCATCCTGTTTGAGCGCTCCACATTTTACCTTCACCAAGCAATCCTAATGCGAGATGTGAAAGCGGAGCTAAATCACCACTAGCACCAACTGTTCCTTGTTCTGGCACTAGAGGCATACAGCCAGCTAAAACAATTTTGGTCAAGTAAAAAATTTTTTAGATCATTTTAAAAATATGCACACGAATGTTATTTTGTAGCGATAAATTCGATAAGATATCAAGGTTAAATATCTTAAAAATAACATACCATTAAAAATATCTACCATTCGTAAGACATTTTCCGCGCTGATTCCGCTAATTAGTATGAAAATTTACTAAATTTAAGAGTTGCAATATACTGTACATATATTCGTACGCATGTAGGCAGAATAAATACATAAATTATAGTACACCGTTATTACGATATGAATTATTTTCTTGGAATAGCATTAACTACAAAAATAAAGAATCATTTCTAAAGATTTATAATCATACTATCTAATACGGCAAGAAGTACCTGTAACCTTTTGACAAAATATTGATACGTAAAGCAAATAGCATTCTGGTCTGTTCAATTGATAGGGCTCTACCGACACCTGTCGTCATTACAAAAGATCAATTTACTGTAGAATCATTTGTCATCAGATTATTTTACAATACCATAAATATACAAAGTTAGTGCTTAGATAAATTAAAAATTACCTGCAGCATGAGACCTGATGAGATTTTCTTGTAATTCACTACATATTTGAACAGAAATAGCAACGGTTACTAGTACTATTTTATTTCGGCGTTACATGTTATGGAAAGTCACAATATGCAGCTAATCAAATTTCATTTAAACAGACTACGGCATAACATAATTTGATATCTTACATCAGATTTTTATCACTGATGATGGTCCTAGCAAATTTTCCAAATCCCGTATTTACACCGTAAGTAACTGCAAGTGTATTAAATCAAGAAATTAACTAAAGTATAATTGATATCAAAGGTAGTAAATTATTTTTTTAATCTGTTGTTAAGCTTAATGAGTAGCTATAATAGATTGCAACTTAGATTATGACGAATTATGAGCACTCTACTATAGCTCTATAAATGATACAGTACACGAAGTTCAACGGTAATAAATTGATAAATCTTTATGCGTAGTGTACGGTGGTGTCAATCCTGATAAATAGCTACCTTTCTTTGATCTAACAATCTCATCTAAGAATTCCCTAGCTTTTGATATTCCTTGTAGCGCTAAATTAGAGACCTATTATAGAATAAAATTATAGACATTGCGTTCTAAACATTGCACGTTTGGTTATGCTTGATTGATTAAAGACTTGTCATCAATAGCTATAGTTAAAGTGCCCAAAGAAGTAATAGAGCATAATTGCTATTAACTGCTGAGCAAACTAAATTCTACTTACGACAAGCTTCGCTTGTCCACTACCAAGGAGCACAAGATCATCGATGGTCAAACTGCATCCATCAACTTCAACATTTATCTTCTTTGTTAGAATTAGTATTAATTTAAGAAATCAATACCAATCAGTAGTGAAGAAAATTGCATACAGTTTGCTTAATATATGAGTAAATAATAATATGACTTACTTTGTCATTAGGACTTTACAAAAGTTGCCGAAATCCATAAAAGTGGTAGCATTGCCAATAGATTTATTAACCAATGTTTATTATCAATTTATGATCAATGTAGAAAACAGTAACAATCTAAATTATTTAACTTACATATTTCTAATAATGTGCTTCATTTCTCTTGACAGAGCTTTTTCATGGCTGCGTTCTAAAATATTAGGAGAAATAAATTACACGCATATTTTTTACTGCATGATGCCATCAAGACAAAGGAGCTGATATCACATTAAGCCAAGAAATTTATCCTAGGAATATTATCAACTACCGTTGCGCACTGATGAATAAAACTATCCGGTACAACAACAGCATAGACGAAAAAAAGATAGTTTCTTTTATCTTTGTACTTTACGAGTAAAAAATGGAGGGTGAAAAAGTGATAATTCCCATGGAAAACTAGAAGAAGATCTGGTTGTGGTGGCGGAAAGCTTTCGCTTTGCAGATAAATTTATTTATAGCAAAAGCAAAGATTCATCGTGTCTTTTGCTCTTTAACCTATTGCTGCTAGAAAATTTGTCCCTTAACGCTCGAGCTTTATTGTTTAGTTAATCTATCTATTTTAATTTTAAATAACCAGCAGTAGTTTATCAGACTCTCTCGATCAAAATTTGGTAAAAGATTGACCTAAACTACTGTAGATTCCTTGCTTTTAATATGTGCTTATAATACGTATTAGCCTCATCATGTCAAGAAAAATTGATGATGGAAACACTGAATCAGTCACATCCGTTAATCTTGTCGCGAATAATTATTAAAATATGTGTATCGCTAGACTAATACACTAAGTCCGAACTGCAGCGTAATGTCATGTCTGATAATTATAATTGTAATAGATAAGTGCTAATAATCATAGATTACAAATTATCAACATGTTATGTTATCAAAATGCTTGTCTGTGCCGTGTCTAGGAATTGAGTCAACTTCAGTATCTGTATCGTACAACGCTGCTAAGTTCCAAAACGATCCGTTGCTATTACAGCTAGAATCTTATAAAAAGGAAAGTCTTAAGACCTCTTCGGCATTACTTCACACGATCATTCAATTACTCTGCTAATGTGTGTACAGTATTAACCTTCCATAAAGTCAATTCACTAGTAGCAAAGCGCGAGCTGGATTTTATGAAAAGTATCACTAGTCAACCTCAAGATCCATCACAAACGTCATTCTATGTATGCGTAAAAGATATCGAAGTCTACTGTATTCACTAGCACCATTGAGATTTTTCAGTATGACATTTTATTCTCACACTATTTCCAGCTTAGTATAGACATTTTCCATTGACTAAGTTCTCACTGTCATTTCTGACTCCATCACTTTGATACCAACTCCTAACACTCTTATTGGCTGATGTTAGAAATGAAACAGCGTACAGTACAGTTAGTGTAAGTATTGTGTCCTGTACAACGTGATCCTACAGTACTGTATACTGTACAATGTACACTCGATATGACAATTTTTGCATCAATTTGTACAAAATTGTTCGTAAATGCATCATTTTAATATGTACGGATAGCTCTTGACTTAGTGGTTAACTTACTACCATAAGAGACCTAAGTGTATATATAGTTAGTTAGTTTTTGCGATGAAAACCGATCTCTGATAGGTCTATCAAATGGTAATACTATCTGTTAAATGAGCACATTATCGTAAACCGTCAGCAAAGCGACGGGAGTTTGCACTAGTCTTTCTTTAAAAAGACAGTAAAGCTATAATAGAATGATATATTAGGTTGATAAATGCTCAGGAATGTAACAACTCTTAATCAGTATTTGCTTATTAAGATCACTGGTTGATGCTTTTCAAAGTGACAAAATACTTTGATACACACTGTACTGTACTGTAAAATACTGTAGTACTCAGGATCATTCAAAAAGTGTCCTGTACTGTACAGTGAGTTAAAAGTCCCCGTTATTGTTATTATAATCAACACACCTATCCTGGAGGCGCGCCACATGTCAATACAGTCATGTTATTGGTCAATTTCCCTCATATGATTTGTAATCTGCAATCTAGAAGAAGGCGGTGTCACCAACAACAATGCCTAGTACTATTCAATTTTCTTGACAGCAGTAATAAAATAAATAAATAAAATAAAATACTGTATTGTGCTGTATGTGGCGCTTTCTAAAACACGATTAGGATTCAGAACGGTGATCCAATCTCTTCGTCAAAGATCTACAGCACAGTCAATACTGTTATTACGGAGGGTACAGCCATGAACTACTAGGAATTTTGACCTTGAAATTTCGAGTGGTCCATGGTAATGTCACCTACATAACTATGGTTGCTCAAAAGACTGCTAAAACAAAGACTATAGTACTTTTTAATTTGTGTGATTTGAATTAATTATATGGTTTACAAGCTTCGTATAAATGGATGGTGATGGTTTGTCCGTTAATACTTTAAGGCCAGTTTTGCCCGCGCGTCCAAATTGAACGTCGCTGCCGGACAAACTTTGTACCAACTATGCAACGAATGCAGTAGCAATGCTGCTCTTGTTTACTGATGTACTGATCGTGTAAGATATATCACATAAAACAGAAAGCGTGGCAGTATGACAGCAAATTAGAATGTGTTACATTTACAGCCTAGATTAAAAAGACCAAAGTACAGTCTGTACAGTCTATAACTGAACATCAATCATGACATAGTTGTGAAAAAATTACAAGAATTAATACCACCCATATTGATAACGGATAGTCCACTACTAATGTGATACCGAGGTGCATAAGCGTGCAAGTCTACCAGCATCCAGCTAACTGCTTACTGATGATGCAATTCAATTTGATTTCTGTGATACAGATTTTCTTAACATATGTGGAGGGAGTGCCATTATTAAATTAGTTTACTCTTTTTAGTCTAATAGCAGCGAAGCACGGCTGTACAGCACGTTACGATAAGTTTATACGAGTATTTATATACTGTACTTAGATCAACGGCTGTCTTTGACTATTTTGTACCGTATTTGTTTAGTCATTGGAAGTATCCCTTATTCTAGGCACGGCACGGCTATTATGTCTATCGGTAAACTATTCTGTAGCCGGAAGTGTGTCCATGCCTACAGTACTGTATTTAGGAATCTCGAAAATCCTAGGATACTTCTGTCTACCGTACACCTTGCCTAACGTATATCATAACGTTACGAGATGTAAGTCTAACAGCGACACAGCAAGACACGATCATGATCGTTAATCATCAACGAGTAAGACAATCATAAACAAACAAAAGATGAGCTGCATGCCCGATCCTACAGTACACTTCTAGTACTATACCACCTAAAACTTTATAACTAATGTGCTATAAAATTGAAGTTATGACAGAAACATTTTTTCGACCTTTATCAGGCCGAATATAAAATATCGATTCACGAGTGACCCAATTCGAAACATAAAGTCACAGTGTAGGCCTACATGTAGCATTGTGATTTCGTAGAATTTTAACCTTTAGCTTAACAGAGTGGCCATTAAATCCTGTCATTTCCCTAGGGTATGTTTCAATCTAGTGATCATTGTACTGCATTACAGTCTGAAAATAAGACTTTGAAATATTTGAATTTATAGTGGTAGATTGCTTCATCGACTTTTTTTTCAGATATGCAGTATAGAACAGGTTGATTAAATAAGAGTGTATCATGTACTGTATATATACCTTATATCACTTTCTATAATTAATTCATGTTTTTTCATAAGGAAACGAAAGACAATTCGATTAAAACAGTGAAACAAGTTCTGACTTGAAACTGCTGATAACTGTTTTACAGTATGGTGACATCGCAATGCCAGTGTTAACCGTATTAAAATTGGCCCATGATAAGAGTGTATTGAAGATGTCATTTTTTATTTACAGTAACGCGTCAAGCACTTGCAATTTTACATGCTATTTCTAGCTATTCCAAAGTAGTAAGATACAAAATGAATCGTAAACTTACCTAAGATCACTTCTTCATCATCCACTAAAACATCCGCAACGTGATCGTTTTCGTATAATATTGCCCCCTTTACGTTACGTAATCGCACTTGTGTACAAACGTGTAAAGTGAAATCTGAAGGACTAACAGTTCTATCCGCTTTACTCATATGGCGTTTCACTATTTCAGAAATTAGCCAATCGATCTTTTGATTGCCCTCTTTACAAGGAATAACGTAAGTATCATTCGAAATTCGAGCTAAGATTTTCATGATTTTGATCTCGTCCAAGTACAGAATAAGGAACAAACAACCGCGACGCGAAAACAGTAGCGTAATTGGTCCGTAAATAACTTTTTTTCTCGCGGGCCGCAGTTCCCAAGTCTGAGTTGTACAGTACATTGTACTGTACAACAATTTGCTTTTATTTGTACTTTGAGAATTTCTATCCAAAAGTCTGTATCATGTCTTTCTTCTTATTGTGACAGTTCTCTGCGATATTGTACAAGAATTTTCTGTTATTTGTACAGTACTTTGAGAATTTCTATCCAAAGTCTGTATCATGTCTTTCTTATTATTGTGACAGTTATCTTATTATCGTGACAGTTCTCTGCGATATACAGTACTGTACTTTACATTGCCATACAGTACTGGATACTATGCGGCCATCGAGGTACAGTACTGTAGTTTGTTTCTTTTTTTCTTGCCTTCTATGCTTGAGGCCGGAGGTTCTTTTTCAATACTTCCAGTACTGTACAGTATGTCTAAGATATTTCAGCCGATAAATTTTAACATCCAAAAACAAATAAATTTCGGAAAGTGAACAAATAATACATCAATCGATTGATGTATAATTTGTGCAGAATAAAGGGATTCCTTGATTTTGCTTGTTAAAATTTAAAATTTATCGGCTGAAATATCTTAGACATACTGTACTGTACTGTACAGTGTACAGTACATACTCTACAGTACAGTACTGTAAAATTCACGACACTAGTTATTATATGACATTGAGAGTTCTTTGAAACAATAAACTGTAAACAGTTAAATGTCAATCCATACCGTAACACCAAGTGATTCTCTTTCATAGCATCGAGAGAATTAATCATTATATTATTTACCGATATCATGGACTAGCAGAAGGGTTTCTTCTAGTAGTCTATGCTAATTTATTGATTTATTTTTTTCCCCCTCCCTATAAATTATCCAGTACTGGACTACACAGTTGGATACCATAAGTGAAGTTATCGTATGACAAATTGCAACCATCAAGTGGTCGCGTCACGTGATCATCATCGCAGGGACAACAGCGGTGGTTTGGGTGGTGGCGTTGAAAAATGGCCTCCATGGAACCGTCAACTTACTCAATTTTTTAGCTACCTAGTGCTAATATGGACTACTCAATACCATTAAAATAAAACCCTATACAGCATATCTATTGTTAATAAACTTAGCTTCAATCTTAACTAACTGTAAATTATAATTATCATTATCAAAGTTTCGTTCTTCGTGTCATCTTTCCTTATTCAAATTGGCAAAGCAATATTACATTCGTACATTGTACAGTATTATTAGCACTGTAATAAGTTCTCGAGCAATTGTAGAGACAGCGTATTAGCAAAGAATAGAACTTTATTAAGACTTATAAGTGCCAATTAATACAGTATGACAGCAACACTCATATATAGTCTATCATGGAATATTCTAGAACTTATTAGTAGTTATTATAATATACATAGACTGAGTATTCTAAAAGGTTCTACATGCATATGATGTTCAAATACGTGCGCATCTATAATTACGAAGTCACTCTACTAATACTACGACATCCCCCTCTTTATCGAACAAGCTGTGCAGTTACAGGTTGTGTGTGCTAACGCAATCACTCGTATAACAATTAAATCATTATTTTAGTAGGCAAAACGCGAGTTATCAGGTTAGTCTTAAATCTAGAAATTTCAAAGGTACACGAGTAGTTCTTCCAACCCTGGTAATCTGGCTTTTCGGTTTATAGATACATTCTCTTTCTTAGTTGCTGATATGGGTTCCTTCGATGGGCAATGAGTCCAAATAGGCAGTATTTCATGTGCTATCGTGTGTTGTATTTGTGATTGATTAAATTTGGCTGGTGTATCACAAATGCTATCTTGTAATGCTATCTTGTACTCTACTAATACTATGACAAGCACAATGAGTAATAGGCTGAATTAAAAATTGCTTGCTAGTAATTGAGACAGCCAAAACAATCGATATAGATGATTGTCATTGCTATACACACTGTAGCGTTTTCTTTATCAATATACGAATACTTTCCGGTACATTAGATAGAACAAATCCGATATAACAAGCATGAACGTGAATTAATTATATGAGTATGTATAATTTAATGGGAATCAAACTAGTTAACGCAGTTAGTAAATTATCCTAGATGATGACATACAGCACTAGTTCTTAATGTAGGCCTTAAGTGGGTCCACTTACAGACTTTGACCAATAATCCAGTATAAATGTATCATTTCGGTAAGTAGTGACTAGCGAGTACAATGCAGTACTTTTACGCGTTTATAGACAGTATTTGCTACTACATTAGATTTCCGATAATGACTGTACTATACACCCAGTATACAGTACGTACAGTATGTTCGTAAATTTATACTTATTACGTACAATATATACAGATTAATTAACTATATATATAATTATTTACAATATATAGTGACTAGCGAGTACAATACTTTCACGCGTTTATAGCTAGTACTTGCTACTATATTAAGTTTCCGATATTGACTGTACTGTACGTGCACTAGACTCTATTCGTAAATTTATATTTATTACGTATATATACAGATTAATTAATTATACTGTATATTTATTTACAATATTTAGTGACTAGCGAGTACAATACTTTCATGCGTTTACAGCTAGTACTTGCTACTATATTGGGTTTCCGATATTGACTAGACGTGCACTAGACTGTATTCGTAAATTTATACTTATTACGTATACAGTATACAGATTCATTAATACTAGTACAAACTCCAGTCACTATGCTGACGGATTACGTTATTATGATATTCCAAACTCCCATCGCTTTGCTGACGAACTATGTTCTTATAATATTATACTTCTAGAATATTATTTTACAATAATACTTTAAACGTGACTCGGTCTTGCGTCGCTACGCTGACGGATTACGTTGTTATAATATTACAAACTCCCGTAGCTTTACTGACGGATTATGTTCTTATAGTCTTATACTTCTAGAATATTATTTTACAATAATACTTCAGACGTGACTCGGCCTTGTCCTCAATAACTATACTAATCCATGATGGTTATTTGACGGATTCCGGTAATACTCTTATATACGTTAACGTTACAAAATATATTACAGTTACTATTCAGGAATTTGATTTTACCAAATTTTATTGACATCCATTCACTATCTTCCACTGTATAGTAGAAACCAAATCATACGCAAAGCCATGCTAATAGTCTATGCATTACAAAAATTTCATAGCGTTGGAACTAAAGTTCTGTAAAAATGTTTATTACTAAAAATTTCAAACTTGTAAATCAGCATTATTACAATACTTCTACACTGCTGCAATTGATGATAATTTCAGTATACGAATTAAATAAACCCTTTATACAAATGACAATGTTTCCTAAAAATGACAATCTCGACATGCTTAAGTGCACGCAGGTTGTGGTAATTACATTCAAGCTTTACATACATCAAGGAATACTTTAAAACAGGATTAGACAATTCTAATCATTCTATATACAAAATACTGTATATACGTATATGTATGATAAGAGTTTGCAAGCCTTTGTAAAGTGACGTTTTTTTCTCTTAAATTACCTAAATCTGGTAAGGTGATAGGACCAAGAATATTTATTACTGCTCTGTTTCATTCCTATAGGTATTTCGATTTTCATCCTTTATATTATTTAGTCGCTATCGTCGTCATAATTCGTATGATGTTCTTCCGTATTACTTGTATTAGTATCATCATCATCATCAGGCTTTTCTGTTTTTTTCGTCATATGTCTTAACAATGCTCCTACAATAACATAGAACTTAATAAGTAACCTCTAATATCGATTAAAATCAATAACACTTTACTTCGTTTTCGTTCTGATAATTCGTTCAATTCTCTTTCAAAAGCAGCGTCTTCAGACTGTTGCTGTGATTTGGTTAGGAGAGGTCTGCGGGCACCATTGCGATAAACATTACATCAGTTCTTATATAGCAGAGATTATAAACTACGAAATTCTTATAATTAATATTAGTCATTTTCTAAGTACACTAGTGCAGTATCATTTTCATTCAGTAAACTTACTTATCCATATTTTCAAATTTCTTGCCACATTTGGCACAATAACCGTGTGTAGTTGAGCAATTAGAACAAATTACATAATAACTTTGCATTATGTTTCGTTCCAAGCATTTAACACTATCAACCAGTAAATTGGTTAGAGTTAGTCATTCCATATACAATACAAATACAGTAGCTAAATATCTTGTCACTTGTTAAACATCCAATCATTAGAAAGCCTACAGGCTAGCCACCGAATGATAGAAGTTTCAATTAACTAACAGTGATTTGTAACGCAAATTGAGTAAGGTAAAATTACGCTGTCTTTACTTTAAAGATCAATTACATTATGGCATGATATTTTACGATCGCTTACCATTTACCCGGTTGAGTTAAGGGTTTATATTTCTTATATCGAATTTTCCATTCGATGACGTCTTTGCAACGACTGCAAACACCCTGTATCTGTGTCTCCATAATCTGCTTGGTCTTTCGTGATGTATCATGTAATGTCGGATTAAAAGCCCGAGTATTTTTATATTTCTGGCCTATGATGTTTCATGTTTATCATCGTTAAATCTTATAGTGAATACTACGTATCCCACAGAGGTATAAAAACAGCTACTTTGTTACTCGATATAGTGCAGAACTTCAATCCATAGCTCTACGATCTGTTGCAGAGTCCGAACTCAAAATTACATGCACATGCTATGCTAATAACCACTGTAAAAATGGATACAAACAGCTTATGTTACCTTTTTTCTTGTGTCCCGAATTCATCCTGAATAAATTCTACTTTACGTCTTGTGTTACTTATTTCCTCGGAAATATTACTTTGCCAAGTAGGTAAATTGCACTAGCATCAAGATTGCAAAAGATAGGCAGATGGTATGAGTGTCTTCTAGACTAAGGATGGCAGTTATCTATTTTCACTCCAGATATTCATAGTATAGTACAGTATGGAGGATGTTGCCTGTTAGAGTACTTCTAGTAACTCCATATAGCCACTCACTAGCAGGATGTATAATACTATACTGTTCGATAACACAGTACATGTGTTATACCGTATCCTATAATTGAGCCTTTTCTACTGACATTGTACAGTACAGTAGTGCACAAGGTGGAGCTGAAGATGTCCCATCGTCAGGATTACCTGTTGTAAACAACGATTGATGGAGGAAATACCAACTATTCTCATCTTCTGTAACCCTCCATCGATTAATAATAAGCATTTATCCCATCAGACTGACCACCAAAGTAAAAAGAGAAAGTTAAATCCAGCGAGCATTCAATGGAGAAGGAAATTATATCGCCATCCGTGCAAACCAATGCAACCATCGACGAGTGCTTGTCAACATGATGATAAAGATCGAAGCAGCAATAATAGTGGCCCGTCTACATTTGAATATATTAATACTGTTATAGATCATGGCAGCAATTTACAAAAGGAATTTGATCGATTGATGAGAGATAGCCAAGCGATAATGCCTGGTATTAGTAGTCAATCTGGCTTTCAAGATACCGATCAGATCCTATGTAGTGATAGTAATAGTCACGATTTCGACTACCATACTAGCTGGAATGACAGCCTTCCCATCGACAATTTCAACTCAATACCAGATAGTTGCGAAATAGAAGAGTTTACCAGTAGCACTTATAGTAGTTGTGATAGTGTCAAGACTTGCGATAGTATCTCATCAGATGATCATTGTAATGAAAATCAGCTATTGGCAAACAAAACAGAAAATCCGATCGCTAGTGATCAAGCTGCAGAGACCTCATCAGGTAATTCTAGAGGTACACACGTACGCTGCATCAGGACAGCTACAGTTGTCTATTTTCATCTATCAAATACGATCCAGGCCATTGCTTCATCATACAATGATAAAACGAGATTTGCATAGTCACATTTTGCTTACTCTGCAGTATACGCGTACACATACTACCATTATCAATCTACTCTACCAAAATGCTATACATAGCAATCCGATAGCCTCCTTTGTAATGTATTTCTATCTACAAGTCAGATGGATCATATTACAAACAAGTTCTTGCCCACAAGATGTACAAAATAAATATCAATCTAATTAACTAAGCTCGCAATTCTTCATGCAGTTTCACTATCTAAGAAGTATCTTCAAGCATTGCAGTATATAACTGATAGCTCACGCGCATGTATTCATATGTTTTGGTGATAGATAAGCTTCACCAACCGACAAGAAATCAAGATTCGCAAGAACTTTTACCTAATTTCAAGGTATGAAATTTTAATCAAATTAAAAGCAAGAATGTAACACTAGCACAATACTGTAAATGTTGATTTGAAGTAGTAACTACTACATCAAGTTAAAAATTGTAATAAAATCTTAGAATGTATTATTCAATTTCACACTATTACTTTACCTTATATTCAATCGTGCAGTATTGTATATTATCAACCCATGTATATCTTTATAGTATATGTTATACGGTATTACTATTAGGGTGTGCTTCTTTCATATAGTAACAAAAGACAACGATTATTTATATACTTCCTATATCACTTCTAAATCTATCTAAATTTCTCCTGCAGATTTCCAAGATTGCCAATTGTACCCAAAAGTCTCAATTAGTCAATTTACTGGTAGTAGCACTTCAAGGTGATTGAACAATTAATGTAATTAACCTCAAGTAACATGAAACTTTCTTCTTTCTAGTATAAAAACAAATTACTTTAATAAATACCTTATTTGCAATCCTTTAATTGTCAAATTTTAGTGAATCCAGCTCACGAAATTCAAACTAAATCAGGCAAAAATGTAAGTTTAAGCAATACACCAAGCTTGCTTTTACAGTTAATGTATTAGCTACATAAATAAAATGCTAATTTTAGGCAGGACAGATGATTTTAATTGGATCTATGCTAGTTGGTGACCCAACTCAGAGTTATTTTAAGGTGAAAAAATAATGCCGTTAATGCAATATAGCAATTATAATAACTATGACTGCTAAGATTCAAACTTCCTAGGCTTCTTTCTACACTTAGATTACACTCTGGAGACAAAATACTGCATGGCTTGAAAGGATAAGCCTCGGAGATATTCTATTACTTGCAGGTTTAGGATCATATTTCATATCGTAGATGGATAATAAAAACTTTATGTCAAAATCTATTTTTTTCGAACCTTTTGTGATTATAAATACGAGAAAAAAATAACAGTCGTCTATACTTGCAATTAATACGGATATCTTTTACATATCCTCACTTGATGTAATACTTCAACCCCTAGATTTAGAAGTCGACGAGTGGCGTGGAAAATATTTTGCTCAAAGTATTCATTCTTCCTGGGTAGTTAACCTTCATAAATGTAGAGATATAACTGGTAAAAGAGGTTAGCTATCAATTTCTCTAATATAAATATTATAAGCTAAAATATCAGTGCTCTTCAGGATAGTACAAACCATTTTTAATACAAATCCTCATATATATCGTAAATTCCTTTTTCCAATACTTAGTTAGACATTATATTCCATCAAAAACCATGGATGATGTTTACACATGGGCATCGAATTACTTGCCACATATATATAATACAAATGATCAATCAACCTTGCAAGTACAAAGCAAAGGTAATTCACCCTCGTCACTATAGCTATATATGTGTTTCATCTAGTAATTCTAGTAATATCGTCTACCTGATGTTTTGATATTCAAGGAGAGGTTCAATTTGTTACTTACAAGAGCTTAACTCAGGACGTTGTAGTTCATTTCAAGGCCAAGTTGCTATCGATCAAATGCTATACTAGTAAATAAATAAAAGCACTATTTCTACACGTAATGTAAAAATTAACTCGCTCTTTCTTACCAGTTGTTTTATCTTGTATTAATAATGCACTCTAGTTGGAAATGTTACCTATCAGTATGAAACTAAGCGCCTCCCAAAAATGGTTGCTAGTAAGTTGAAAATAGTAATAACAGTTCAAATTTTAATTTCGCTCATATTTTCATTCTCTATTTTAGCATTAGCGGAATCATCTGTACAAAAAATTAAACTACAACTGTAAGTGAACGATCTTAAGAAATGTTTATGGTGAATATAAATATATCACTTCATATATAACTGTATTGCAGTTGGGGCAGACAGGCTAGATGGTTCTCAGAATTAAGAGCTAATATCAATCGAGTTTGGAAGTGGTCCTTTCTACATGTTCACTATGATGAGGTTACAGGTAAACCCTCCGTAGACTATTACTTTAGGATACAATTTTGCGTATGATCATATGAACTGGAGGTTTTAAACTGCTGTTGATTATATTACCATTCTTACCATCTTATGTATCCCTTAACTAGATAACTACGTACTTAATACAACTCCAATATCTGAAAAATCTTTATTAGATGATAAGTCTTCCGAAGCAGTAGATATTAATCGAGTATGTTTCGTTGACCATATTACAAATTTACTATTACCAGTCTAATTTATTTCTTTAATATCTGTTTTAGAAATGTGATAATTACGGGCTGGAATTACAGAGCATTAAACAAATGTTATCAATATCACTACAATGTACAATAAAACATTGATATATGTTAATTTATTACGCTTGCTATTTTTTTGAGAAATTTTTTTATGATAATATATCAAATTCTACATGACTACATGCATTCATTCCATCTATCCGTTTATTTTATGATGCAGCTGTCATTATTTTATCTGCTAATATCAAACTACTCAGGTAATAATATTGTCATTATTTAAATAAATATGAGTACTAGCTTACGTTGTATTCTATATATGTTCGCTATAACCTAACTTTATTGTGAATTAATATCGCAGGTTTCAAAATAAAAGTGGAAGATATCGTAATATTTCACTCGAAACAAAAGCTTCGTATGAAGACTTGGTATACGCACTTATAGATTAATAAATTAATCTGCAACTATTTCTCGTTTCCCCTCCTAATCCATACTAAACTCGTCATTAGAGTAAGCAAATGGCAAACTTCACTTACGTGGGATGTTCACTATGCTCGAAAATGCTACCACAAGTAATGCTTCAGGAGGGATAATCTTTTTTAATTAAATTATAATTATCAAGGCGATGTATTACATTACTGCCAATTTCAAATATACTTTCTTTAGGATAAGAATGAAGTATATAAACAATGTACGCAATGTATCCGTGAAGAGCAGGGTATACAATAAACTAATTTATTAATAATATATTAAGCTACTCCTGTAATATTAAATGTTTCTATAATAATCATTATATTTATAGCCTTTATCCCTGCAACCATAACTCGGTGCTACCGGTAACGCTAACTTGCACTAAATTATTGATTTGCGTTTTAACAATTATCTCTTCATAAACTATATCCAATACTGCATTAGCATACATTTAAAAGTAATATCAGTAGTGCATTGTATATTTAATTTTTATATTTTTATTTAATAATTGTCCTAGAGATTTATTGTAATCATAATATACGTAATTCTTTGTTTGATCCATATATCTAGGCCGATAACTATAGTCTTAACAGACGGCCAACAAGATGTTAGTATAACGGCATCAAATGAAGCAATCGTCAAGGTAAAAAATGTAAAATCATTTCTTTATAACAAAAGAGTTCAATCGCGTTTAGTACCATTACATCAGTGTATGTTATATAAATTTATCCTATCTTTATAATAATTTTATTCCGAAAATTTAGTTATTCTTGAATGTCCCAGCAAATTCCTTAACCAAACGGCTTCATCCGGAATCAAATATAACGGTATGGCTATAGTAATTTTATATTATGATGTACGAGTATACAATCGTATTTGCGGTTAAATAATATAAACTTCGTACCTTACTATGTAAAGATTAAAAAGTTATAATTTTGCTTATGTAACGCCTTTTAATTACATAATCTTATACACTTTTAGTATGCAGAGGTAATTGCTGATCTTTGTCGACATATGGTGAAATCATGCAACTCGATGAAATTTCGCATTAATTGCACTGTTACTCAAGATGATAATGGCTTTATAGTTTCACGGCGATACGAACTACATGACGTTATATCACATTAGTAACTTTATAATTCTTAATGTAACTAGCAATAACTAACATATACATTTAATAGTATAATGAATCCGAGTACTTAACCATCTATTACTGAAATTATTATAATGTTATACACTGTATAAACGATATTCAACAGTATGCAAATCAAAATATATATACAAGAGTCTCATTATTAAAATGCGACTAAATTTCGTGTATAGTAACCAAATTATTTTGTATATAGTAACCAAAGTAATTTACAATGCTTTCGATCCAATGGCTAGAATATATAAGCAATAAAAAATTCATTAGCTAGTGATTCTAATATAACTGGTAGTAGAGATTTTGCAATTTATAGTACCTTTCACATGGCAAACATCAACATCAATTCCCCAGTTAACAATTCTATCAATCCAGAGTATTTGCTTGGTTGAAAGACGATCGTTCGGCCCTTTTACTTCCGCAAACTAATCACGAAAATAGTAACGTGACTATCACCCCATTGAAAGTGCCTAAAAAGTAAAAGTACTTACTTTAACTTTTTTCGTCTCTTTATTCCATAAAACTAAATCTGGAAGGCCACCTGCTGCAAAGCTCTTAGAAAAACGCTCACATAGATCCGCCAAAATTTCACCACCAAAACATAACGCTAAACTCTACGAATAGTAGTATTTACTTACTATCGGTTTACAATATTAACTAAATTATGGCAATGTTACTGAAGTTAATATTACTATTATGTGTTTATATTCACCTGAACTTGGGGTAAACCATTGGGAAATCGTTCCCAGTTAATGCCTACACATATTCTGCCTTCATATCTTGTCCAAGTACTCTTAATCATGTCCTCAATACCCTATAAATAATTATTAACAGTGAATGCGCTTTCAATTTTCGTTAATCAATATTTATAATCCTATCGAGCTATCTTACCTGATCATCACTTTCTCTTATTAGTCGTAGCTTTTCTTCAATTATATCCTTACGGTTCGAATAAAATCCTCCATGCATCAAATCCAAAGGAGCACTCTATAAATGATTATAAACTGGTATTTATTATATCACAACTACCTCTTTAATATTAATATTAATCATACGTGAATTCTAGCAGTTCCCACAAATACCTGAAATGGATGTCGAAAAACATCTGGCACGCCTGGAGTAAATAAAATATCCCACATGAGCAACGTGTATAGCGTTGATAATGTCGCACCCTCTGCATGCAAACCATCTGTAAATCCTTCATTATCTAAGTAATGGTATAAAGCCAATTCCTCAACGGAACAAAGAAAGCTGCAATCTTCACCAGGGCGAATAAATACGGATTTATAACCAGACCCTACTGCCGGGTAAAGACGACCAGTTATTGTAATCTGGAAAGTGAGAGAACAGAATTTAATTATTATGGTAAACATTGGTAGGATAAGTTAATGGCCACATTTCAAGATAAGTAATGCATTTTACTGATAATATATAAATCGCACATGATTCGCATCTTTCAAGTTGATTTGAGGAATGTCTTGTCTATATATATGAAGTTTCTTATTACTTGGTGAATTACAAAGTCTAATTCCACGTTGTTGAAGAGCTAGTTTACGTCCTCCTCCAATACATGGATCTACAAGAGCTTCTTTGACGGCATTAAGGCTCTGAGATAAAAGGATTCAGAGCAAAAATTTGTGAAAAGATTTAACTACTATTCCGTTACAAGGTTTATTATAAATATGAAATCTAACGAATCTGCTGCATTACATACAAGTTCTGGCTGCTTCAAATGTTGTTCTAGAATTAGAGCTAATCGATCCCACCATTTTCCACGTCGTACGTTACAGAATACTTTCTGTTGTAACAAATATTGCAATTCCATGGAAGCTTCCTTGTACATTCGTTTTTTTTCTAATAATCCAATACCCGACGATAAAATCTGGCAGCAAACCCATCCAGGGGTGTATTGCATAAGATAACTTGGCAGCTGCCTCCCAATAAAATTCTCATCATTGAGCAAGTCATTGATAATAGACTTGCAATCATCATAAACATCATGATACAACTGTAACGCCGTATCGACATCTCCTCTAGCAAATGCTTCATTAATATCATAGTACTCTTGTAGCTTGCTATCATATCTAATGAAAATACAAGACATCTTTAGAAAATATACAGAAAGACTTAATAATCGATATTATGAATGATATTGACTCGCAGGTCCCTTACGTGATAAAATCTTCACGGCATGTAAATACTGGCGTAGGTCGATATATTTCATATTCAGGGTATACAAGCCTACCAAAATTTACCATCATCAGTTGCGCCCTATAATGTTGACAAAAGACCATAAAATTAATACTGATACTATTGACCCATATCAGTATTACGTACTACCTTATTTAAATTACTTACATTTGAGCATGTCCTCCATTAGCTAAGTCATCGTCATATGTCGCCGACGTAAGAGCAAACAATAACGACATACGATTAAAAACACATCGAGGATGCTTCTGTAATCGGATGCACAATCCCAAAACCGATTTCGCTCTACCATTACAAAATGGAAATGTTAATAACTCATGTATTCAGTTGCAATGCAGGATTATACCTAAAATAGGAATGCACTGGTAGAAGCATTACCGTTTTATAACACTCCGTGTGATTCCTGATACTCCTTCCACTTGTTGTCCATATACACCCCTTTGTTGACGACCAAGCTTTTTTAAAGCCTCAATAATATTATTTTTCGATCCAGACTTAACATGGTACATTTTAGCTAACTTTTTTACTTCTGGGCCAGGTAATAAATTTAAGATATCTTCCATATCGGTCAAGGAGTCGTCTAATTGCAAGAAAATCATTAAATATCAAATTTTATTGCTACAGACTAACGAATTCCTTAGAATTAGTACCTACGCAAGAACGGTTGATGCAATTTTTGTTTAAGATCATAAATTCTGTGCACTAATTCTATACCCTTTAATGTTTAATTTTGTATTGATAACGCATATCTAGTTTAAAGCTAACAGACTGATAGTATAATAACAAAGCTTATTTTTATGTTAATTAGTCCATAAAATAGCAAAATGAATCCATTAAAAATTTATAGTAGGTAAAATAGTTTGTATGCACGTACTACAAATCATCATTATAAAATTTATTTTACATACCATCTTCCACTAAACCAGCATTCCTCAATTGCTCGATGTCACTACTAAGATCTTCCCTGATGTCGGGATATTTCAACTTACTGCATTGGAACCAAGTGTATACGCGTAAAAATAAACGCACGTATAACTTTTGAGCAGAAACTATAAATCAATTGAAGGACAAGACATGTACGTGCTTGTTAGTAACAAAGGGATGGACTAAATTCGTGATTGAGCAAAGTTCTTATAAATTTTATTTAAATTGCTATTTGAAAATACCCGATAAATTGTAAAAGCTGTCTACAGCAACTAAATCTTCATCATTAAAAAGGCAAACATCGTCTTTACAGTTTCGTACTGTCTGGATTATAATGTTAAAGTTACTTAAGTAATACGGCAGGTAAGGCTCTTTTTGAGACGTTTGATGGGTTTGATCATCGTTTTGTGGAATACCAGCTGGTGCTGAAACAGGTGTAAGTTCTTCCGATTTTTCTACTTTTACCATTGATTGCGGCCCTACATCGATTTTCTCCTGACTTGCAATTACTACAGCCGTTGACGGGCTTGCACTCTGTATAGAGGATGCAATCTCATTTGTAGATGGCTTTATTACAGTAGGATTAGTTGAAGTATGACATTCGTCTTGTGCTAATACCTGACAATCTGATTGTTGTATTTTATTCTCCTCCAAGCATACCTGGTTATTTTGACGAGGGCTACTGTTAGACATATCGCTTTGATTACTATATTTTACCTTAGGCTTCATATTCTCTTCCCGAATCGTATTAGTTCTACCACCTCTACCTTTAATGTCAACACCCTTATGGTTAGCTTTATCTTTAGTAATAACAGATCTACTTGAATCGACTGTTAACGATGGACTTGTGTTCTGTATAGTTGATGTAATCTCATTCGTAGGCGGTGTTATCACGATAGAGCTAGTAGAAGTATGATGATCGTCTTGTACTAATACCTGGCAATCTAACTGTTGCGTTTTATCCTCCTCTAAGGATGTTGTGCTGTCTTGCAACAGGGTTTTATTAGCCATATCGTCATGATTACTGTGTTTACCCTTATATGTTGCTTTAGTCCTATCATCTTTACCTTTAGCGTTAGTAACGCGACGAGTAATTTTGCTTTTAGCACTAATAGATCTCCTCGAATCAATTGTTGATGACGGACTTGTACATTCCATAAGTGATAAATTCTCCATTCTCGATGATCTCGTCACCATAAGATCAGTAGAAGTATGACATTTGTCTTTTGCTAACTCCTGATAATCGAATCGCTGTGTGTTATCCTTCTGCAAGCATGCTTGGCTACTCTCACAATTAGCTCCATTATCCTGATCGTTATGTTTTAACTTATTCTCTTTCAAAATCGCTTTTGTTTTGTCATCTTTGCCTTGAATGTTAGTAGATCGATTTACAGCTTTACCTTTCCTATTGGCAGATACCACTGCACCATCAGTCAGCTGATGATTTTGATGTTTATCAAAATACTTGCTAATTTTAGCCTGTACACGACTTACAACCGATGCTTGAGCAGGTGAAGGATCTGCAGGTAAATCTTCCTCTGTCAAGTCAATGACCACAACTGATTTATTACTTTCAGATTCTTCATATTTCCTCTTCCTTTCTTGTTTTAGTTTCAGGCTTAATCGAGTTGAAATTGCCGCCATTGATTGCCAGGTTGATTGCCAAGTGCAGCCTTCGATTTGGTGCGCAGTCATGGTACCGTACAGTACGGTACAGTGTACAGTGTACAGTGTACAGTACTATAGACAAATTGGGCATACTGTACAGTATACTGTAGTATTGTACAGTACAAATGGTACGTATGGTCGCATACTTATCTATGGCAATAGAGGTACGCAAACAGGACAATTATGCACGTTAATATCATACATTTTCTGAAGGGCTGCGATAATGGTATAAATCTCCAAGGAGAGCAGGATCTTGCCGGATGAATGAGAGGTAGCAAAGGATCGCCCTGTAATGGCTACTATGCTAAATAACTCCAGGATAGTCTTCGATAGAACTGATTTACAACAGGAATCGATAATTTCGTCCTATTTGCTAGCCCCTGTACTATCATAGGAACGGAACAGCTCTTTGAGATGGTAAATTTAATCCTTGGTGTGACTGGCAGTGTGGCGAGTATCAAATTGCCTGTGCTTTTACAAAGTCTACGAGCTGCAGCTGACAATGTATGCAATTTTACATAATTAATCTTTTAAATTATCCTTTGAAATGATTCTCATACGGTCTGAGATGTAAATACATACTAACTAAAGGCTGTCTCTTAAGCTAATAATAGAATTAAAACGTAATTGATATGAAATGACTGATGTTTTCAAATCAGTACTGCCAGCAGTTCTGGATATCATATCATTTAATACGATCAATACTAACGTAAACATAAACTCAATTTATACTTTGTACTACCTTCGTCTAGCCTACGAGTAGGAGCTACAAAGGGTACCTTATAGTACTTAGTAGAGCTCTGTAGACGATGTCAAAATTAAACTACACAGCGCTCATATTTACTAGTAAAGAATCGAGTAACAAATAACCTTACCACGCCTACAATCTTCAATCATAGCTTTAAATTTTCTTGTTTGTAAATGAAGCTCATTTTTATACGTAACACTATTAATAAATCGATGAATTAACTTGATAGAACATGGAGGTAATATTATACTTTAATTGACTTTAAAATAGATCGAAATTAAAATTATTGCTACGACTCATTCCTTCCATTTTTTCGATCAACTATCCATTGATGCAAATATTTATAATGACGACGATGAATGGCAGGTAACATAAGACAGATTGACTATCGTAACGTGGATGTCGCAACAATTTCCACAAGTTTAAGACACGACCTAAAATAATGAATGCGATTGTCATCTATTTGCATTAGTCCTTATCATGATGGCATCTCTTAGAGCTTTTTTCTTGTAGATAGAAACAATTTATTATCATGTATAAGTAGTAATCATCCATTCTACGCATCTATTGTATAACTTGATTTTGCAATCTTCCAGGCATGGAAACAGAAAGGTGATCCAGTCTTGCACATTGAGGTGAAAGTAACATTATAGAAGGATAACATAGTGACAAGGATCGAACTGAAATAGTTCGTATTGACTTGTAATAATGTTTGATCTGCCCTTGCAACATAATTAGTTACGAAAATGGGCCGATATAATGTTAATTGCACCATTAGACGCCAACACACTTGCAAAGATAGCCAACGGAATCTGTGATAATCTCTTAGTAAGACGTGCTCTATATTAGTAATAAATTATATACGGATATAATTTTATACTATTACAATTTAATTCAATATCTACAGTATGTATAAACATATAAATTCAATGCCATTCTAATCGCATCACAAATTATATTATCAGTATTTAACCCTATTTACTGAGAAGAGATGCATGTGTTATATCTTCCATTTATGTGCATGTCTTATTACATGACAGACTTGCTTGATGAGAGCCTGGGATTTGAAACGACCAGTCATTTTCTGTCCAGCTATGAATACTCATATGTGGAAACATCCAATAACTAGTAATCATATAGCGATATTGAAAAATTTTGGATACATTGAAGTCGAACCAATTGAGAAACGACTGGCATGTGGTGATACTGGTATTATACATTATGTCGCTAATCAACTTATTAACTTGAACTGTTTTAAGGTAACTTCTTTAATTTTTTCTACTAGGCATTGGTGCGATGGCTGATATCGAAAAAATTGTTGCAGTCGTTATGGATATCTTATCACAGCTAGACACAATACGATAGCAAATGAGTTGTGTATAAGAAATGATTGAATTGTTTCAACTACTAGGATGAAACATAGGCAAAAATATCTATTGCCATGGAACTAAGATAATGTACTAATATTTTAACTTTGATAGACAATCAAATCTTGTATCCGATACTAGTGAATGTAATTTTCTTTTCCTCCACTTAGTAGTTTTAAATTGCGTGCATTTCTTAATAATCTGAGATACGTTTATTGAATTACCTGTGGTTGCAAACTATAAGACATAATTTATTTATAAAATGACGCCTAAGAAATTGATTAGAATTTAGTCAAGATCTATTACAGTGCGGAGAAATGGAATTTCATTCATTTTCTGCAATACTTATTTAGATTGAATTAGATATCTTACAAGTTTTTTTACAGCAATTATTCTCAAAACAGCATAAAATACTATCACATATTCTATAATATCTTGCAATAGACGATATACAACAAAAGTTGGAATAGCAAATATCTTTATAACGAAGTATACACTCTGATAATATTCTAAAAATTACAAATGCCTAATATTATTATATATTCTAATAAAATAGTCTATTTTGTGTCACTATCTCAGGAATAAGTCATTGCTAATGTACTCCGAAAACTATGCTCATTGTCATGTAGATTCTTCATAAGAAATTGCGGAAACATAGTTTAGTAGCAATTTTCACGCTTACAGATATTGTAGTTTAAGCTTCCAAAGAAGTATTATTCACCAATATCTTCACTAAAACTTGCTTCCCCATAAATCTTGTATTCAGCAGCTAACCGATAAAACCGAATGATGATAAAATAAATAAATTGCTATAACTTTACGATATCAACATAAACTTTCGAGAAAGCAAAACAGCCCAACCTTCATAAGCCTCCTTATGTTGACTTGCAATTTTTCGCTTAAGTATTCTATATTATAAATTGTTTCAATTTTAATCATTCACACTACGTGTAAAATGTCGCCCAATGCAAAGACTACTATATCAAAATTGGTTAGCTAAAAATATAATTATAATTCACCTAATTCTCTTAAATACATTATCAAGATCCTTTTTCATTTCTATAATTAAGTTGGTATGTTCTCTAAATTTCGGTAAGAAATCTTCGTATTGTCTTTTACCGACACGATTAAAGTTTTCGATCACCGCATTAGCTCTTTCGACACGACTTATCCTATCCATTAGACATAATAAAATATAATAATAAGGATTTTAATAGGCATAAGACAATATATTAAACTGCTTTAAGCTGTATGAACTAATATGATTACTGCTGATATTGGCAAGGATAAATGCATAAGCTGCCTTTAAAATGGCATTTCAAATTGAACACATTACATGTCACGTTGTATCTTGATCGCTGAATCAACATCATCCTTGTCGAGAATATTGACAACACTGCGACAGAATATTTCAGAGGCAGATGAATCATTCAAGTCTTGATCTTTTGGAGGCACTTCCGTTGAGCTTGTCGAGGCAAAGAGCGATGGGAACGAAGATGATAATTCCTTCACTTCGCCATCGCCTTGATCTTCAGCATCTGCCATTCTGTTGTAAGATTACTGAAAGGAATTAATTAATTATTAGAGCAGCACTATTGATTGAGTTGATTTACATGATACATGGTGATCAATGAAATATATACATTCCATAAAAAAAACACGTGAATATTGAATGTTTTGTGGGCTTGATTACTTGCATTGGCGTTATACGCGTACGTCTATCATTTGGCTCAGAATTCAAATCAAATGCTCCTAAACCACTATCATCATCATGATTACTGCATACGATATGTACTAGTAGTATGGTCAATAAAAGACTTTGTCGAATCATGATCCAATCTGTTATTAATCATATATAAGTTGGCGCTATACAGTACGTATATTTAAGCCTCTTGTCAATTAGATGTATAAACCGATTTCGATCATCATCAATGTTGAAGCATGCTTACTTATAGGTAAATGTACTTCCGATATTGTGACTACTGCATACAATATATGCATGTGCTACGTTCAATAAAGCCTTTATGCTATGACGATCCAATCTGCTATTAATCGTATACGCATAAGTTGGCGGTATACCTGTGTTTCATTAGCCTCCTTTCAATTACATCTGGAAGACGATTTGGATCATCGCCAATGTTGATGTGTACAGTATATACCAAGAATAGCAAATATATTTGCTACATCGCTTGTTCTACCGTAGAATGGAGGATTCCCTATCTAAGTTTACTTTCTCTTATCTTATAATGAAGGAGTCATTTATACAAGCGAAAGCCGTCGATTGTTGAATGAATAACCGAGTAGCACTATCCGATTCTACCCTTTCAACGCTACTAGGCATCGATGATGTCATCGAACATTTCAGGTGAAAGTTTGTCCCCTGTACACGTTTACAGTAGGTGTTTGAAGGACATATTCTTTTAAAGTTAGGTTAATTCTATTCTACGTTCTATAAGATAATTTTATCTGTGTGTCTGTGTGTGTATTTATGCAGTAGTTGTTTCGACTCCTTTCATGTTGAAGATGATAAAGTTAGCGTGCATAACGAGCATACTGCAAATTAGCTTTGACCAATAATAATAATAATATTAATGGAACTGGTAGTTGTTAACGAAGCACAAGATGGCCTAGACCAGTATGAAACTCACCCTAAACTCTACGATAAGATTTGTACTTTTTAAAAAGACGCCATCATGGAAAGGATTCACACTTTCTTTAGCCTTCTGTAACCACTGTTGACTCAAAATGATCAGCACCAGGTAGAGATGATTGTAGGACTACCGCAACGGTGAGTTTGCTGCAGCGTTTTGCTTGCAATACAGTACTGTACACTGTACACTGTACATTGTACAAGTTCATGGCCGTGCCCAGTCTTCGACAGGACTACTCGAAATACAGTACAGTATACCTCGCAGTGGCCCATGGCATTCTGCATTCGAGTCCGGTACGCTTAGTACTGTATACTGTAGATCGAAACACATGTGCGCTTGTGCAGAATCGCATTGTTGGTATTTTTGTAATTAGTTTGTTTTGATTTTGTTAATACTATCAAAATCCAGTGTTATTCTGCAAATTCCTCATGGAAAAATTGATATTTTGACTACGGAAAGCTTAGCCGAAGCAGTTATGCAAAGGTTTTTGCGATAGTCTCTGCTCAAGTCTTCACATGTGAATGTATATGGTCATGGACTCTTTTAAGTTGCCCATAGTACCGTATAGCTGTTACTAACAATGAGTAACAACCATCGCGGCGCGGCGTACAGCAATATTATTTTCGTGAAAGATATTTGAATAAAAGTATAAATGAAATATATTGCTATCGATACCACCATTTCTACTCGTATACATACAGTTAACTCAAAGGTTAGATGCCGCCAGTATAATCTACTCCATTAGCCTGCTCGTTTTAGCTATATTTTTCTCCACTTCAAGTATCTAAAACGCTATACACAGGGCTGTAGTGTACTGTGTACTATACACTTTTCTCTTGCCGCACTGGTCTGAAGAAGACCTCGACTCATCACGCTTGGGCGGACAGACATTTTCAGCCCCATCTCGTCATAATATTGTGACAAATACTTCGCTATGGCACTACTTTAGTATGCAAACGGTCGATTTTGAATTGACTGATGTCTTCTTAATTTAGTAATAGGTCTTCTTCTAGTTGTTCATGGCCGTGACTGCACGGTAGACTTGGCCAGTTGATGACAAATTCTTACAAGACTTTTTAGCTGAATTTGTCGGACCGATGGATTCCACTGAACACTTCTATATAAAAAAATTTCCCAATGAACTCCATCTTGAGTAGTGTGAATACATTATTATAACAGTTTCAGCTAAGTATTTTAAGAACTTTTCATAAGCTGGCGGATCTACTTTACAGTAGTATCACTACCATAGAGTTTCTCTTCTAACTCGATGGCAAGGCCTGGAATGAAGAACAGGCACTTCTAGCGACTTGTATCAAAAAATTTTAACAGTCCACGCTACGACTTACATTGGACGCCTGTAAAATCTTGTACCCCCAACACTCGTAAATCAGCTGCAAATAAGATACAAGTTTTCCGTACGATAATAACGATATAGTCATTCATGTTGTCTTAGAGATACAACGATAATGTTATCAAGAAAGAGAGGCGATACCTACTCACTGCTCAGTATCTATAAATTAGCATTGGCAATTTAAATTAAATGAGATTTTCAACCATAAATTAGAGCAAGCCACGCAAGGATTAACATAGAATGATAGTTAATTAGATTGAGTGATTAAGCGATAATATTATGGTATAACCGAGTAAAATACGGTAGTATAAGGTGACCAGTGAGACTAAAGTAAATTGCTTACCCTTATTTCTATATTTTTGATACTTCAATAATTAATTGATGTACTAAGTTATTGGTATATTATATGAATAGACGAGAAAACTTCACATCCACAGTCATTTTTATACATTGCTTAAAATGATTAAACAAAATATGTTACTGCTTGTATACCCATACTTGATATATTTATGTTTTAATATGCACAGGTATTAGTCATACTACTTGTCATTCATTCAAGTGTCAGCAATCTGTTGTAATGGTTAAATACTACTAATTAATTCCGTTGAAGTTATCGTGTGACAGTTCTTGCAACTCCATGATAATAGTTAGCATTCCATTAATATAGATTGTGCAACTGTCTAATTATAGTTATCTACTACTTCCCGTATCTTTATACGACGATCTACTGCAAAGATTTCACGATGTTTGTATCATAGTGCACGAATGTTTTCTTTTTTAAACTGTCTCATTGATTACGAGGATTAAGTGCAATTAATGTATCGTTGGAAGAAAATAAATGCCTTGATAATAAGCGAAAGAGTAAAATGCTGATCGATAAAAATACTAATAGTAGCTATGCATGATTTTATACATCGGTAATATTAGATTCTCTAACTATTACAGCGAGTATTGGTAATGGAAGATTAAACTCCATTTCGCTTTACATTTGTATAGACGCAAGATATAATCTCATATTTGTTTAGTAAATGGCCTAGAGAGTTGAAGAGTTTTACAGGTCTAGTTAATAAGTAACCTGCAATTAATTTACACATGATCAACGAAAATCATAGACCGATCGGATGATCTGAATAAGCAAAACAATTTCACCTATACCGCAATAGTAACCGTTCCGATAGAAAAGAATTATTATTAACACTGATAACTCTATTCTACTTGATGGCCGCTATTAGCTGTAATCTCACAATCGCAAGGATAGACGGGATAGTAATTTTATTGCAATTACCCCACATCGAGCTGCTTAAGCTAGAATAAACATGTCATCATACCTTCAGTACATCGATGAAAGATTGAATAAATAGATGCAATTAAAAGCATACCGAAGACAATCATTTTATAGTGTCTGCCTCTGCTAGAGTGGGTATACAGTATCTCCGATTTTATCTAGTTTTGAAGATTGGATTGTTAAGAAATTTCTAATTTTATCCACTTATTTTACATCATCTTTATAATGAGGTTAATAACGTCTCTGATTTTTGGCATTATCGCCTTGTCCTTTACCTCAGCTCAACGTAAGTAAAATAAAATGGTTAAAACTACTTCCATCATTGTATCTCTAGCAATAATAGCGATCAGTTTTTGCAAAATATCTATCATTTTATTTTTAGCATCCTTAATTCCCAGACTGTTATTAATCATTCTATAGCGAACTACAGGTTTTATACTATCAAGAAGTAATTATCTACATTCACCTATAACGATGATATGAAGCTCATTTTTTCTATCACTATTTTGTAAAATGTAGTAATCAGTAAGCTCGATTAATGTCCAGAAACGCCTCTTACCTAGCCCTTATGATAAATAAATAAATGCTCGTTTTGAAAAATCCTCGTTGCAAAGTCATTTTCTTTTAGGGCTTAATTCTTGCCATCGCGTATAATACATTATATTGACAAAAAAATAGTACTATAGAATATGTCCCTAAATATTACCGTTCCATTTTATAATGAATAGTTCCACATTGATTTTTCGTGACCTGATTGATCAATTTCGTAAATGCAACTTGTTCAGTTACTCGATAGACTACTCCGTAAATAATTCATTAAAAAATATCTGTGTTCTTCCGATGTTCCATCATTTACAGACACTAAAATACCTAACTCTCAAACCATTTTCATATAATTTTGACATCAAGTGTCTAAAAAACAGCTACAAGATAAATGGTTTGTCGAAGGTCAAGCTCGTATGAACGGATATTCGAAAACTAAACTGTTAGACACAGGCGGAAAGAGGGTTATTTTAGCCATTGGCGATGGAATGAGTCTAACAACTGTGACTACAGCTCGAATCTTGCAAGGACAACAAAAAGGTAAAACTGGCGAGGAGGAGCAACTAAGCTGGGAAAAATTTCCATTTACTGGATTATCCAAGACGTACAACGTTGACTACCAAGTAAGAGATGTGATCATTTCAGAACTTTATAACAGGCTATTACTCCTTTCTAAATTTATAATTTTATAGCAGTAACTATTTCTATGTATCCTGTAATATCTTACACTACACGACTTGTACTTTAAACCGTCTAATTCAGTTCAAATGAAAGCTTAATTTATCCAAGTTATCCCTTCAGGCTAAAAGTTTCTTGAAAATTTTGTAGCGTATCTTGTAACATCGATTCATCTGGGCTAGTAGTCGTTGGACTGGACCTTAAAAAGTTCTAATCTATTTATCATTTAGGTTCCAGATTCTGCAGGCACAGCGACAGCATTCTTATGTGGCGTTAAAACTGATGCTGGTATAATCGGTTTAGATGAAAATTCAGTGCGTGGTGATTGTGCCGCTTCAAAAGGTACTGAAGTAGGATCAATTTTAAAATTGGCAAAACAAGCTGGGTTATCCGTCGGAATTGTAGTTACAGCTCGGATTACTCATGCTACGCCATCATCGTCCTATGCTCATTGCCCAGAACGTAATTGGGAAGGATCCGTGCCATCTCTCGCAGAACAACAAGGTTGCATTGATATTGCACAACAATTCATTAACTTTCAAAAAGAACATGGCGGTATCAGTGTTGCCTTAGGCGGAGGTAGAAGAAATTTTATTCCTAACACTCAAAATGATGTTGAATATCCTAACACCAAAGGCAGACGTGTCGATGGCAAAGATTTAATCCAAGAATGGAAAAATCTGCAATTACAAAATTCAGCTTACGTATGGAATTTATCTGATTTTAATGCAATCGATCCTAAAAAAACGGACCATCTCTTTGGACTTTTTGAACCCAGTCATATGCAGTATGAATCGGCTAGGAATAAAGGCCCTAGTGGTGAACCTTCAATATCAGAAATGACAAGGAAAGCTATCCAAATATTAGAAAGAAATCCCAAGGGTTACTTTCTATTAATTGAAAGTGGTCGAATTGATCATGGACACCATGAAGGCAGCGCTTATAAAGCTCTTACTGAAGCAGTAGCTCTGGCTCAAGCCGTTGAAACAGCAGATAAATTGACAAACGAAAATGAAACATTAATTATAGTTACATCTGATCATGGACATACTATGTCTATGAGCGGATATCCTAAACGTGGTAATCCTATTTTTGGCTTAACTGGAGCACTGGGTAACTATGGTAAACCATCCTTAACTCTCAATTATGCCAACGGTCCAGGCGCATGGAAAGATGGCGATCCACGACCTAACTTAACAGGCGTCGATACCGCTCATCCTAAATTTTTACAACAAGCAATCACTAAACTAAATTCTGAAACACACGATGGAACTGATGTAGCTATCTACGCTAGAGGTCCATTTTCTCATCTTTACGTTGGCGTTGTCGAACAAAACTATATCTTTCATCCTATGGCTAAAGCATTATGCTTAGATCCATCCAAAGCTGGACAACAAACATGTTCTAATTCAGCTCATGGGGTAAATGTCAGCATCTTGGCTTTATTGACTACATTAATGGCGATCGTATTACAGTTTATTTGATTTGGATGGCTTTCTATGTATAACAATGTATGATCAGTCATAGTATTATCCGAAATTGATAAAATGAGTATATTTTTTCCAATTTTAGCTTATTCAATTTTAATCTAAGCTTACCATAGCAATATAAAAACGATGATAGAGTTTTGTGGTTTAAATCATAATACTGCATTAAGTGATATGTATTAGCTCATTCTTATTATTCAGAGTGTTTTTAATCAGATTCCGTTTTGTCATTTTTTTTTAAGTCCCTGTTTCAAAAAATCTTTTTTTAAACATTAAATTACCAAAAATAAAATTACTTGCTTCTTTAAAAATTTCTTCATTTAAAGGACTGAATTGATTATATTATAATTGCTGCTCGGTAATAAAGTCCACATGCTTCAAGATAAATAAATAATTCACGAACATCCACATCGCACCCAAGATCATGAAAAGTACAGTTCAACATATGTAAATTTAACATTGATTATTAAATATTCATTATTGGTAATAACAATATACGAGAGTATGCTGCTGGTAGCATAATTTTTTAGCCAATCCGCAAAATTAGGACTAAATATGAGAACTGTACTGTATAAAATAACAACAGTGTAATAGAGGCACATGGGCAAAAAAATGATTCATTGATCAAGCGAAGAAAATTTTTAAGCCAATATTTTGCTGAGTATTGCTATCTGAAAAGGAATTGGCTGACAACGAAAATTAGCAGATGAAAGAAAGGGTCAAGAGTAAAGAGTCTAGTTCTAGGTTGCAACCCATAAGCTAGCTTTCAATATTTTGTAGAACCAACAAACAGTTACTACTACTGTAGTAACGATCAAAATAACGAGCAGTACAAAATATCTTTCAATGCGCGAGCGATATCAATTTTACCAACATTCACTTATACCACCTGAGGCTTTAAAATTTTAGAATCTGAGATTAGAATCTTAAATATAAAATAATACGGTAACTATCCTAAAATAGATTTTGTGCTATTAACTGGCCGTAAAATTATTTTCTTCCTCCTAACATACTGTATGCGTATGTATCAAAGTCCATACAATTTTTCCTATTTACAGTACTTCAATGTAGGCACCTTACTGTGTATCAATTAATAAGAGTAAGGCACCCGTTCAAATTGATAACTTTAAGAGATAAACGTTCAGCATCTACTAAATATAAATTAATAATCCTAAAAGAATCTTAAAATTCATTCAGTTTCTTCGGATTCTATTTAGCAACTTACAAAATTTCATTTATATCGCCCCAACTAAATCTTTATGCACTGGCTAATCATAAATAGAGCTTCTTGAAACCATATAGAGCATCTATTTAATAAATACCGTACCTTTTACATCATCTAGTAGATATAATAATGTTACTTGTTTGTATACTTCTTAGTCATAAATTAATTTTCTTCTTTCTAGTAGCTTAAAATAAAGCTTTATAATAGAAACGAGTAAAATATTTAGGGTCAGTATGTTGAATTCTGTCATAAACTTCACTATTTTACGACAGTATTGGTACCTACTACATTAATATGAATTATAGGAAATGATGAGTTTTAAGCATATTGTATTTATATACAATTTGAGTGCGGATACATAGTAACTATTGTAGCGATAGGTAAACTATTCATATTTAGAATTGGGAAAAGGTCATCTAATTAAAGTACAATCTAAGTTATACAGACTTATATTTACTCAGACTATCATCGCAAAAAGAGTTCTAGGCTGTCCATTGCAATTGGCGAAAAGAAAGAAATGACGAGACCATTGGAGAATTCAAGATTTAAGATTACTCATCACAACGGCATTAATTACATTGTACGTATACTAAATATACGGGCATTCACTAGGACTGCAAAAATTAGAAGTATTCTTCTCCCTTTATTAAAATATATGATTTGTATGACATGAACCCTTCCTTAAGGTCATTAACTACATGGAAATGATGCACCCCAATTTTCTAGTTATTATATCAGTATTTACCAGGACTGCAAGAATCAAAAGTATTCCTCTCCCTTTATTAAAATGTATGATTTGTATGACATGAACCCTTCTTCAAGGTAATTAACTACGGTGAAAATGATGCACGTCAATTCTCTAGTTATTGATATAGTGGACTTTTGCATATTAATTATATCACCAGCTCTGAACCATCCACAGAATGTGGTCATTTTTGGTCGGTCCAGGACTTTAGCTTTGGTAGAAACTTACCGACATGACCATAAATCCAAGCATTTTATATAAGATGATTGAAACTAATGATCATAATATTGTGATCCTTTCTGTAGAGATGATTAGTGTAAATGTGCTAAAAGTACCATGAATTCTCTGTGTAATTCTTCATTTACATATTGACGCAAGAGTTCCAGGAAGTACCCGTATGCAAAGACATCCCGGATATTGCAGCGTTTATTAAGATAACAAAATGGGTGTATGAATTGGTGAGAAAACAGCCCATGACCCAAAACCTTGACAGTTATGTTGTATCGTTATGAATAAGGAAATAAACCTAAGAGCAATTAGAGGACATCATGAATTATTTTATTGTTTCGTGTAGGTTTTTTTGAAAAATTATATATTAGGATATCATCCAGTTAAAGCTAAGAATAGGCTTGGTTTCGAGGTGGCTATTTTAATTAAATTGGGGTCTATTATGAATTAATTCATGAAATTTAAATACAAAGCGATATACCCATCTATTGTCATTTAATAAGTGTCTCAATCTATCTATCATTTATCTACTCGTGCATACTAATTGCTTTATAAACCCAATCGAAAAAAAGTATAAATGCAATGTATTGTATCTTATATACACCCATCATAAAACCAACAATGTTTGAGTTCATCTTTCAATTGCATACAGATTGATTACTATGGTTAGTCTGATTGAGGGGAAAAATAAACTTAACACGCGTAAAAGCGTACATACGAGTACACGAGTTCGTATAAGTACGGTATATGCCTATCAAAATCCAATAACGTTGCAGTCAAATCTGTTATTTACCTACAGATTAACGGCTATAGTAAGCGAAAAAAAAAATAGGTTTAAAGGCAATATAATCCACATACCTATCAAAATCTAACAATGTTTGCAACCAATCTATCGTTTACTTACAGATTAATTGTTAGATAAATTTAATGACGACAAAAATTCTTAAAGTTAGATATTACTAAATGCCTAAAGAAAAAGTTAATAAGCCCCATGCCATGTTCATGAAAAGAGTTTAGGACATAATTTCATCAAAATTGAAAAATTTTACATTCCATCTATCCTGTAACTAATGTATATTTTTGGTGGTAGATTTGTATTGTAGTAGTTATCAATTACAACTTTTAGATTGGCTGGAAATTGAATAGGGGGGCTGATAAAATTGCAAGACATACCTAATACAGAAAATGGATGAAAGCGCATACATTTCTCTTTTGTATAATCTATCACCTAACTGATGCTTATATGGATGAAAAAGTTAAGTTAAATACCTAATTAATTTAAAACCAAGGTATTCTCTACATGCGCATAATTTATAGTTACCGGTAAATGGAGCCAACGGAAGGGTAATCTTATCGCACAGGGTTTTTCAAAAAACTTAAATGAAGGGAACTCAAATTTACGAGTTTTATCGTATCATAATTCACAGTGTAAACACAACATTCGCCTAATGTAAGTAAGCAAAGTATGAAACATTGTCTCACTTTAACTACTAAAGTAATAAAATATCTTGCCGATATAGGTATTTTTAATCCGATAATTTTGTTTACAAAATCACAGGATGTAGAGAAATGTCATTGTCAACGCGTTAAATTGAGGTTCATCCTGTATAAAGCATAGGTTTAATGTGATATATAGTTTAACAACTTAGAGCAATGACAGAATAAAGCAAATACGCGTATATACAGTAAAGCAGTTGGGACACTACCTTGTAAGCTTTACAAGCATGGAAATAAGTATAATATATTATTAGTGGCTATGCTGAATCGAAATAATTTAATAAAACGTCAATCACTCACAGTGTTGGCTAACATCCATCAATAAGCGAATAATTGCACGAATTTACCATATCCATTCCAATAATGCACAGTAGTACCTCAATGTTTGTCCCTACATTAAATTGATTTCACGGCGTAAATGAATAAATTAGACTACGAAAATTCTGACAATTATTGGCAACAAGATTTAGACCAACGCCGATGAAATACTACACTGAGGTTAAATTTCAAGTAAGTTTTTCTATTTATATACAATACTCGGAGGAACATCGTAATTTTAGTATCAGGCTGACTTCCTATCTTATTGCAATACAGTAAATAATTGTAATAGTACAAAATGAATTAATTCCATTTGAAGATTGGTGTCGATTATTTTAGATACGCTCGTAACATAATCAAGGAAAGATACAGCGAAGGTGAAAGCCATTCGATTTTCTTCATGAATTAAGATTTATATCAAGAATTATTATTCATCATGTTTTTAATCATTAGAGTAATAAAATGATATATCTATTTCCATTCCTACCTGAAAAAGCCGCAAAAGTGGGTAATTTATTCTCACTCATTTGTAATATCAAGTATAGCGCAAATATTAAACTAAACTAAAACTATTTCCTTCTAGAACATTAATGATATAAGTATTATTTTAAAATTCATGGATTATCATCACGGCGTCTCTCGATTAGCTAAAAATAAGCTATACCATAATCAAATTAGTTAATATTTTTATTTAATATATAGTAAACTACATTAGTACAGTATATTTTATTCCTATTCTGCTGGACTCCGGGATTTATGTTCTTGAAGATCCGCCTCTAAAGCCTGGTCAAGGTGATAGTATCATGCCACGACCATCCTATTCTTACTTAACCTTGATCTTAAGCCATCATTCGACATTGATTTATTGGGAGTAATAATGACTAAAACGTATACAATCACGTATTAGTTAGATCTAATAATATACTATAATTTTTGACATGATTCCATTACCGGCTCTAGAAATTTTTGTTATTTTTATAATGTTACAATATTCAATAAATAAAATATTCTGATAATTCTAGCGGGGAGTACTTCATCGGTTTTATGCGGTAGATACATCAACATTTCTTCAAGTTGAATACATTGAATTAGTAAAATAAAATAAATAACAATGAATTTCTAAATTTTAAGTTTTCAACAAATGGTTACCGTTTTCATCGCTGTTAAAAAGTAATCTTTCTTAATGTATTTTGACTATTTTATTCAAGCCAATTGTGAATCATCCATGTTAAATACCTATATTTTTAAAAATCAGGTATCGTAGTCTATAATTATCTTGCCACTATACAAGCTAAGTTTCTAATGTTCAGAAAGCCTATTCAATCAGGACAACTAGGCAGGGCATATTATATCCCTATGCAATATGTTCGAACTCAATCATACTGCAAATAATTAAAATTTAAGCATTTATCAATTCAGCCACTACTAAATGGTAATAACGCTTCGATAACAGGATCTTCACAGATAAACAATATATTAAATATTACTGATGATGGTATCAATTTTTATCTATCTGGAAACTATACTCACCTTTCAGTGTTCATACATTATGAACCTAAAGTGATAATCTTGGATGAAGAGATATATGTAAAACAGTCTATGATATAATAATAATAACACCGATAGTATAAGCAATAATTTTACTTTTAAAGAAAGTGTACGCTTAGTCTTTGAACTCTTTACCGGTCTGGTCCACACATGATATTAGTAAAATAGATAGAAAAATAATCTAAAGGGGATTATAGCACCTTAAAATGGATAGATTTTTAATAAAGCTTTAATGAAACGAATTGACCTTCATAGTATCAAGATTTGAACTGATAATCATTTTACTATTGTTTCACGATGCAGAAAAAATCGTTTCAGATTTTTTAGTGACTATCAACAAGGTAGACATATCATGGCTGTTTCCAGTAGTCTGGTGATTGTTAAGATTGTTTATACTTTGATAATCACGAGATTTCGGGGAAAGCTTCCACGTGTTCAGCATGATTTATAAATTTCAAGCCGTTTAACCAGTAAGAAAGAAGATTCGTAACCATGAGTTCGCCATAAGATCTGCATATAGCTGAGCTAGTCTTTTCATAACCTCCTGCATAGGCAAATTTTCTTGTTTATTTATTTTTTACTATGTCTGATGCGGAATATCCCACCTTTGCAGCACTTTTACCATACTTCGAACCTTATTAACTGTGGATTAAAGTAACTTAACACCTATATATCACATTAGTTTATTAAATGTTTACTAATTTTATGAGCATATAAATACCGCCAACAATTGCTGTTCTTCCAATCCAGCTGGTAGATATTACACCGATTAACGTTATATCTCTTATCTAGTGGTTAGTCTCAAGAAACACTGAGATGAAATCTCTCATAGGAGTAGCAATACTCTTCATGTTATTAGCGATTGCTAATGCCCAAGGTATGTAATAAATAGTAAGAAAATGGAGAAAAGCTATTCCGAAATGGAAATAAAATTGTGATGTCAATTTCACAATAGTATCGTATAAGCATGTAGTAATCGCTTGAATCTATTTTATAACCCTTGCTTATCGACCATGTTTCAAGTTTCGCAGAGGAATAACTGGTTTCACATTACTTTAATAATTTATAAATAGACAAAATACTTGAAAATATTAGCCTCGATTACAGTAAAAAGAATAGTTTCTATGTTAACTGTATTTCTAGTAACTCGTGTAAATTTTCTCTTTTTAATTCCTTGACTGATATTTCGCTAATAAAATTTGAAGGGCGGTAAATTATTCAGCATATAGAGATTTTATAATTATACTCTTTATCTTTACTACCCATCAAATTGCTATTTAGATACTAAAACTCAGGTTAACAATCCATGGTTTACCGAGGGCATCAAAATGTTAGAAGAGAAATTGAATTACAAACCTATCAAGAAAGCAGGCAATAGTGTAATTTTGTTTATAGGAGATGGAATGAGCTTAACAACAGTTACAGCGGCAAGGATATATCAAGGTCAACGCGATGGTAAGTCTGGTGAAGAAGGACAATTGAGTTGGGAACATTATCCACATACCGGATTAGCTAAAACATATAACATCGATTATCAGGTAAGGCTACAGCTATTCTACGCATCGATTTGTTGATAAATTTCCATTTTATGCTTATATTCTACGCTAAAATGACTGTAAGAGAACAATATACGATAGCCTATTCCTTCCTTCAATTGAAATCTCAATTATATCATCCGTTCGTTAGTACTGTAATTAAGGTTTTTCCCCCTATTTTGCTACCTAGTCTAGCATGACGTTGTACACGCAGCTATTTCGCCTTTAAAATTTAAAAAATTTTTATTAGATAGAAATAAAAATAGACGTCGTTTTTTCCTCTTTCACATTTTAAAAATTATTTAAATACTTAGGCAGGATTTTATGATATCGCACTATCTTCATGATTGACCAGCGATACATTAGCATTGCTTCAAAGTCAGCATATGCATAAAGTAAACTATATCAGTATTTATTTTACTTTAAAAATCAGGCCACTCCTTTTAGAGCATCCTATGGCTATTCCAGTACTCAAGCGTATCTCAATGATGTCTAGATTTACTCCATCATACAGTTACTTTCTGCTGATATAACCTTGCATATTCTCACCTTGATCAATATTTATTGTTCTACTAAGATACCAATATCGCATGATATACATTATATTGTACAATATAAAAACTAAAAATTATTTATGTTACGGCGCTAGCATTAGGCCATAAATCATGATAAACAAAGTCAGACTACGCCATGAGGGTATAAATTTTACACTAGTCGAAAGTATTACTAACCTACGTATTAATTTAAAATACTACTTTAAAGCCAGGAGATTAATTTAGCTAGCTAAATATTTTACGTCTATTTCAATCCTTCGCGAGCTAATACTATTAATAGCTTTAAGCTAAGCTAGACTATATCATCATGATGAAGATTTTGCACAAGACAAAAGTACTACTATAGTACCTATTAATTCACAATACTACTTTAAAGCAATCGGATTAATTTAACTTGCTACTTATTTACGTCTATTTCAATCCCTTGCGAGCTAAGTTAAACTACCCTGTGGTGATCTAAATTTCATGTAAGACTAGAGTATTAACCTGCTAAAATATTTCATTGACATAAAACCACTGTTTACTAGAAAGGATAGTAGAATAATTTAATTCATTAGACACTTTGTTTGGCATTAATTAATTATATATTGCAAATGTATCCTTTCAAGCAATTTCTATGTAGTAAATGTTATAGTAGCATCCTAATTATCGTATCGTAAAGTGATATTTTTATATAAGTATGTCGATGAGAGAAAATATGAGCTCCAATTTATCTATTCGATATCATAATAGTGTTGATATTTCTCCTTTACCAGTAACTTAATTTATAAATGCATTCTCTTCAAATTTTGGCATAATACTTCAAATTAGTAATACTAAAAAATTTTCAATTTTACTATAAATCCATTCTTAGGTTCCCGATTCTGCGGGGACTGCTACCGCATATCTATGTGGAGTAAAAACCAATAAAGGGCTAGTTGGTGTTACAGAAAAGGCTAAACGAGGCAACTGTCCTTCTGCAAAAGGAACTGATGTTTATTCAATCCTAACTTTAGCTCAGAAAGCTGGTTTATCGGTTGGTGTAGTATCTACAGCACGTATAACCCATGCAACACCTGCAGTGACTTATGCTCATACACCAGAACGAGAATGGGAAGGTAGTGTTCCAGCAGAAGTAGCATCAGAAGGTTGTATCGATGTTGCACAACAGTATATCAATTATCAGCGAGAACATGGCGGTGTTAATGTCATGTTGGGTGGAGGAAGAAGATATTTTATGTCCGAGTCCCAAAGTGATGTAGAATATTCAGACTTGAAAGGTCGTCGTAAGGATGGTAAAAATTTGCTTGATGAATGGAAAAAATTAAATCTACCTAATTCACACTATATATGGAATACATCAGCATTTAATGCTGTTGATCCAATGAAAACTGATTACCTGTTTGGATTATTTGAATATGGGCATATGCAATATGAAGTTAATCGAAATAAAGGACCTGGTGGCGAACCTTCTATTGCTGAAATGACTAGGAAAGCTATCCAAATATTACGGAGAAATCCTAAAGGTTACTTCTTAATGGTCGAAGCTGGTAGGATTGATCATGGCCATCATGAAGGTAGTGCATACAGAGCACTGGTTGAAACAGTTGCTATGGCGGATGCTGTTGATGTGGCTAACAAAATGACCAATCCTAATGAAACATTAGTCGTAGTTACAGCCGATCATGGCCACACTATGTCTATGGGAGGCTATCAGAAACGTGGTAATCCAATATTTGGCTTAACTGATGATTTAGATATCTACGGTAATAAATATTTAACGCTGAATTACGCTAACGGACCTGGCGGTTGGGATGAAAGGAAGCCAAGACCTCGATTGACTAATGAAATGACAAAAGATCCCCATTTCTTACAGCAAGCAGTAGCTAAGTTAGTCAAGGAAACTCACGATGGTACTGATGTTGCTGTCTATGCTAAAGGTCCCTTTGCGCACTTATATGCTGGTGTATGGGAACAAAGCTTTGTAGTCCAACCAATGATGAAAGCATTATGTTTAGATGCATCTAAACCAGGTCAACAGCATTGCAAGAATTCCGCTGGAGGTATTGCTCCCGCTGCCATGCTAACGTTGGTAATGGCTCTATTCGTAACATTCTTTCAAAATTTTTAAATACCTTTTACATTCTCATTGACTGTCATACTTTCAATTATGTTAGTAGTTATTAAACGATCTAGCAGTAGGTTTGAAAGAGACAGTATCACAAAAATTTTAAATTTTAATTGAATTGGCAATCAATTGATCGTTTTAACACTGCAATCAGTGGGTTAGATAGAATCACCCTAAGGAAAAGGGTTTAGCAATTTAGTGATTTACGCGTAATTTCGTTAATGCTACATCCTATTGCTTCAATTCCTTTACCGAATGAAGATATTAATTCATTAATATACACTCTTCCTGGCAACTTTATAAGGTTATTTCTTTTTGTGTGTGTATATTTAGCGTCTAGCTAAATCAAACTTGATTAATTCTGTAATTCGATGGATATTAAATTAATTTTCTTTTGTGCTCAATTCTTGAATCACCTCAAATAACTCCCATGCTAATAAATTAGTTGCATACTTTAGCACGCATTTTATAATGAGTTATAAATCTTTCCCATAGTATCCTTCCCCCATTACTTCTAAATTGTAAGTATCCAGTAAGATGATATCTGTATGGGTGTAGTAGTTCTAATAAGGAGTACCGTTGCTACATTTTTAATTTACTTAGACAATTACAATTAAATTATATTTCGCTTATAAGCTGCCAATATTAGTGGTTTAAAGTCAGTAGCAAGTTAATGGAAACTATCGATGATATCAAAGTTTTAATTAGAGTCTTTTTGATTCCTCAAGTATAAATCTTAGTTATGTCATACCGTACGGTAGTTCCTATGAACATATGATATCCGCAGCAGAAATGTTAATAGTGCAATCGATACAATACTAAGAAATAAATTTTAGTATCTTTCAAATTGGAAGATACCCGATCAACGATTAGGATTGATCAGTGAAGAACTTTATAGGGATCTATTAATTTTATTTTTAATTATTAATGAGTAAGTCAATTTAACAAAATATAGAATACTAAGTAAATATTAAATGACGTCGGTTAAATTTAGATATTTAAATAACCTTTACAGTAACGATTTACCTATGGTATTTATTTGTAATTTTTTATCCTTATCAGTGATGTGTAATTTATATTATTCAATGTACATTAATATCATATTAATAAAATGGTTGCTTAACTCGTTAAACTACTGTATATCTGAATGGGTTATTTCTTATATTGTAATCAATTCCTTGACATTACTTTTGTAAGGATAAAGATAACTATATTATTTAACTTTCTTACTGTAACGGTTATTTTAGCATTTCTGACTACCTGTAAATTTCATGCTATTTAATATTATAGGATAACAGAAGAAAGATTTATGATAGTCAATTAAAATTGGATTACTTAACTCGCTTTATAATATTCGTGTATTTAAGTAATTATCATTTACATATAGAAATATGAACGAGGTCCTAATTCTGTTTCAACGTATAGGCAACTTTTAACTTTAGTTATATACAGTCAGTTATAACTAAAACTATAACTACTTGCTGTAACAGTTAATTTAACTTTTTGACCATCCCTAATTTCATGTTGTTTTAATGTAATTCTTTTGCAATATCTAAGTAAATTTCAAGTTTGACTTCCTTTTATCTACTGCCTATTGTTACTTAGTACACTACATTATAAAAATTTAGTTCAAATATTGTAGAATATTGATTTTATTTAACAGTATTTGCCATCTCTGTTGGCCGCGCTAGAGTTGTAGCGCGTCAATAGTAGACAAGCAACCATGATGTAGGTAAAAATTGGCATCTTGAATGAATAGAAGGCTTAATTGAAATTGTTACTATTCTGAATTTTTTAAACGAACAGAAGATACTCTGCTATTCTTCTTTAAATTCACTTATATTTTTGTGCTGCATTGAATGATGCATAATGTTCATTTAAGTTGGCATACTCCATCCTGATAACTTTTGATGGCTGCGACTTTTCTGTTAGCCCAATTAATTAACCCGCTTTTGTTAAATCAACTACCACTAAAAGAATATTATGCTTGCAACATAGGTAATGTATCTAAATAAGTTTAACGATAACAACTACGGAATAAACTCAGTAATCGATTCCTCTGCTCCAGTATGTTGAAGTATTGAAGAAAATGTGTTGATAAATTTGATATTTAGAGAGAACGGTTATAGTTGTCTTACATCTCAGTTTTTGAGTTACTGTAGATCCATTTTTATCCTCATACAAGAACTGTAAATAAATTGCTTTTAATTATTCTTGATTAAAACAAGTGGATTAAAGGAAAGAATTAAAATAAGTTGCCTACAATACAAGATCGTAGAAAAATTTTGATTTCCTTACTCTCTCTTTACCTCTATTCCTTTTCTTTTACTTTATTGTTAGTGATGATTAAAATGCGATTGAATAAATCATGGAAGTGAAGCTTTAGTTCAATTTAAATCTAATAAGGTACATGATCATATCGTCTACAAATTATTTCTTGTATGATAATGGCAAATTTTGGTGATAAGCTATCATACGAGCATTAACACATAGTGGATATGGACTTTAACTACGGTATCATTACTGCTCATGGAATAGTCATTGTCTTTAATTACAAGGACAGCTACCATATTGTAAATTTTATAGTATCTACTGAAAATATTCTTAAGACTATATTATAGTTAAAATAGTGGAGAAAGCGTTGAAATCATCTATTTCTATAAGAATGGCGTCTGAGCAGTTTAATAAAGCTCAAGAATATAGAAGCGATTTATTGTTGGCAATGGATAATCAGATTGGTCAGGTAGGTCAGTACAGTAATGAGGATGAATATGAATAAGGTTGCAGCTTTGATATAGAGTAGGATAGGAAAAGTACCGATATCAATCTAAATGAGATCTACAATAATTGCTTATCCAAACAAAACGTTTTCTTGCTCATTCCATCCATTCATTTTCCTTTTGCATATTATCTCAATAACATCAAAGTATTTATAACTAAATACAGCAAGAAAAAGTTAACTATAGATGATAGATTCAATAAATCTGAACGGCAATTCTGCTACATGTAATTTAAGCAAAAAAAATTTGACTCAGTCTATCCATGCATTTTCTTTTGCATACGATCGCGATAATACGAATGTACTTATAAGTAACTAAATACGAGGATATAAAGTTAATTGCAGATGATAGATTCAGTAAATCTGAAGAGCAATTTCTATTGCAAGCAAGCAGTTCAAGCAAAAGGTTTACTCACTCATTTTATCTATCCAATTTTTGTTTTGCATATGATCGCGATACTATAAATATATTTATAAATGGCTAAATAAAGTTAAAAAAAAGTCGATCACAGACGGTAGTCTTAGTACATCTGAAAAACTATTTTATTAAATTAATCGGTTAGATAGAACGAAAAAGTAAACCATCTCTGTTTGGTTTATTTAGTAGAAGGTTTTGTAAGATTATTTATATCATAAACCCGATTTGATGACAATTTGGTAGGTTAATAGCTGTACTTTGTCAGACTCTTCCTTCTACAGAAAAGATAGATAATTGTTGCAATTTTCCTTTCTTTCCTATCCAATAATTATAATAACACACGTTTTCAGTCAGCGTTAGAACTTAACCACACCTGCCTTAACCCAGTATGACTAGATAGAAGAGTATAATAGCTATTGAAAGTAGAATTCTCATTTGCATTATTTTTACATCAATATAAGAAATAGTGCAGACAATGTTATTGATGTTATTATCCTATACAGCTATTGATAAGGTGTTAGAGCATTTGAATAGGAAGCAACGTGGTTATAATCCATAGGAAAATAAAATCGTAGGAAACGAGTGGTTGATTATTTTTGCAATGGTGCAACATTAAAAATGATTCAAGTCCTTTTATCAAAGCTCTTTATGCCTTGCGTATAGTAGACAGTTTTATTTTTCTGCCTGTTTATCCATCACTTTTGCGGGTATTGAATTCTTAATCATTTCTATTTTTGTAGACAAGCTATGAAATCAGGTAAAGGCCTAAAATGAACCTTTGAGATGGAAATTTTCTACTGCAGACATGTTTACGAACTTGACTTATTGTTTTAGCGTTTACTATATTCCTTTTCCTTTTTTAAGAGACACAATAGGATAAAAGTCATTATCGTAATCTATCTGTTAACGATCATCTTTTTCTCTCACTAGCTTATCATGAGCTGTATCATTAATCTGGAAATCGATCATTTGGCAATATTCTAATTCCAAGTTTCACTAGCGGCCTTATCGCGATTAAAATCTGTACACGATAATTTCGCTTTACATTTTTATCAGCTGTGTTGTCTTGTGCGCTATTTCTAGCTAGCCAACCATTCTAAGCTTGCAATGTATCCATTGGGCACCTTTAAAGTATACCGTTATTATTTATAAACTATCCTGTAGTGGTGTAATAACACCTATATTTATTATAATGTAGAAAAGGATTAATTCAGTCGCTTTCCATGTTTTGTTACAGCTGAAGGAATGCAATTGTTTTCTCGCTATTGAAGACATCGTTTTAGGTTATTTATGCGATGTTTACATTATTAATCGATCCATCTTCAGCATAGCTACATTACAACGTTGGACTAGTTGGAAATGGTTTCGTTTTATATTAATGTTAAGATTCTTGATAGGTCGATGTACAGTAGATAGAGGAATGGAGGGGGAACAAGAAAGATTGACGATTTATTAAAACTCTTCTTTTTTCGTGTACTTAATAGAATGTTTCTTGTTATGCGCTATAGTCTAGACTATATATCTTAGGCTGTTATTGTTATTGCCATCATTACCGTAACTCTTATGATATTCTAATCCATTGTGTCTAATTCAATTTTATATCATATCTACTCTAGGAGTTGCGGTCATGATCACTAGTTTGATCATAGACGATTTAGACGATGTTGTTAAAGACTATTAACGATTACAAAAGAGTTAAAAGGAGGCAATTGTCTATGATATTGATTTTTTTTTAACTCCTTTTAACCGTTGTATGGTCATATAATCAATCATTTTCAATCTTAAACTGAGTGATAATTAACTATAACGATACCTCTACTTGAAGCTATTTGCTCTATGGATCAATCATGGATTAAAAGTAATACAAGAAGTTTCTTTCGCCATGATTATTCCTCAACGATTAAATAAGGGGACTGAAAAAAGGGGAACATGATTTCAATTGATTGCTATTAAATTATTGATCATGTCTGATAAGTACAATTATCATCTTTGAATTGGATAACGGTCGTGAATAGAATGATCGATGAATCCGTTTAGTGTATTTAATTTAGGGTAATTTTGGAGTTGACAGCCTGAAGGGGTAATGAATATCTGCTAATTAGTACTTTAGGGTGGCATTAATTCAATCTTGTCAACAACAGCTATATAACAGTGAATATTAATTAAATGTCGATTAATTAATCAAGTTCATACAACCAAGGGAACAATGACTTCGGAATAGAGGAGTAATTAGTAATTACCCACCACAAATTCAAATCAAATACATTACAAGTTCATTGTCAATAAAGAATTGTGACCAGCGGCTGCATCATGCGACTATGTTAGTTCGACAACAATATAAGTTATACTGTACTCGCACGATGTCGTGCTGTTTTTCTTATTGCGATATCCATAACAAATTCTAATTATCATGACAACAGTAAGAGTTAAGCTTGAAGAATAATACTAAGAAAAAGTTGTATAAATAGTTGGAAGATAGTAGCAAATCGTCAGTCTCTCCATCTCCAATTTATGCTTGCCGAATTATGGTCATGTCAACAATGTCGATGGCTCATTTCCTCCTCATTTTAGCATCCCTTTCTTGGGTTTCGTCACAGCGTAAGCTCTTTTTCTTAGCAATATCACCTTATTCCCAACCCACGAATCATTCATCTTGACTATTCTACCAGTCAATGACATTTTTTAATCCTTTTTAGATAAATGCAACATTTACTAATCTATTAATGCTATACCTACGTTAACTGTTTAGGCTATAGTGATACGATGAAAGCCATAGTATGAGATAGAGATGGAATAGTAGGGATTTAAACTTGCTATCAATTATGATTTAATGCATGGAATGGGGTCAAGACTAGTATACGCCTGGAATGGCATATAATTCTATTTTTTTCATTGCAAGAAATAACTTTCCAAAGCTACATCCCTTTTCAAGCATTGAATTTAATAGGAGATCGGCCGAATAGTTATTTTTGTTAATTCTATTCCTATAGCAGGATATTATAACTAAATATATTTAAGATACATTTCTAAGTGAAATGATGATAAAAGTTCTATACACAGTAAGGTATTCTAATTTGTTTTTCTCTTAAAATGAGTCAATTACATTCCTACCGGTCAAGGTTTTCTAGTCAACATTTGCCAGCGTTTACTTTTTAATGGGCATGGAAAGGCTTTCATGAAGTACACGCAGTAATTATTCTCCCTTCTTCTTCTCTATTATCGCACTTAGTACCGCAGCATTTTCTTTAAAGCTTTTAATCATGAATTGTTGACAGAAATACTCTTCTGCACTATGATAGAAATTCCTTTTTTCTTTCTTTCTTTCCTAATGTTCGCTATCATGTATCAAGTTTGCTTTCGTATAGCACATAAAATAATTTTCATTATGTAGGTGATAGCACCAGCGATAGACTAACGAAAGTTGTATTTCTCTATGCCTACCATAACTAGTTACCTCGCCACAGATTAATAGCCAGTGGTACAAAGATGGCGAGAATGTCCTGAAGCAAAAACTCAATGCCAAAAATATTGAAAAAACTGGCAAGAATGCCATTTTATTCATTGGAGATGGAATGAGTATTCCAACTGAGGTATGTGCGCGTATATTTCAAGGCCAAAAGAGAGGCCAGACAGGCGAAGAAAACAATTTAAGTTGGCAACTCTTTCCTAATGTTGGTTTATCTAAAACTTATAGCGTGGATTTTCAGGTAATTTTTTTAAATTGTATTAGCCCAAATAGAATTGAGTAAACAAGTTAAAAGGGAAGTTGTATTTCTACCAATAATTCTATCAATAACTTTGCTACTAGCATTGATATTTGGTACTTATTGAATACTATAGCATTGAGTAGAAAAAGTAACGAATTTAAAACTCGATCATAGAACGGGAATAAATAATGTCTATCTAAATAGTAGCAGTTTTTCTACCAACACAAGGGGTGGTAGAGAAATCAGTTATGGAGTTAATATTTCAAGTAGCTGGTGATTTCCCATTAGGCTAGCTGTGATTTCAAGGGGAATATAAATGATGACGATTATTAAGATGACATTGGTAATGGCTTAATAGCGGAAAGTAATCGTTTCTATTGCATAACAATCGAATGCATTGATGTTAGATTTGATTAGATTACGATTCTTTCTTGACCTCTATTGAGAAATAGAATTTATATTAGAATCTGGGTCGAAGAAAGAAGGGTAGAGTCTATTGGTAATCGTATTTAAAAACAATTAACAATCCTAGTGATGCTCAAGATAATCCTGTTATGCAGCTACAACTATCGTTAAGTTAGTTAATTGACAGTCGATAACAGTTTTGCGAATCAAATCGGCCATTAGCGAACATTGTTATAATCGTTTACCACCTGTATTTGTTCAATAAAGCATAATTTGAATTCCATACTACCCTAATCAGCTGATTAGAATTTTACTCTTTCACGCCCAAATTGACATATATCTTCTTTCATATCCCTTATCGTACACCATCTTTGAGCAAGACTAAGATAGATCTATCATTCCCTACGCCATGTCATTTTACTACACCTTTAGATCGGATTTTTCATCCATACGTTATATAAAAATGACAACAGCAATTGCTGATATGAGGGCTTACTCGCAATCATAGTTACTCCTTCCATGAATAATTGGATGAAGGAGAGACCTTTGCTTTGTTAGTCTGCCTAACCTTTCTTGTAAACATGTGTGTACTACATTATCATCAGACGATAGGTTAAAGCGGAGGATCATATCTTAACTATTGATTGTTTTTTGGAACAATTCATGTATTATTCTTATTCTAATGAATCACTAACATAGAATGCCTTAACTATGGGAGTAATGTCCTAATTTACACAATTTACACAAGCTTGCACGCGTTACGATTACGTCAAGGTTAGGGTTAGAGTTAGATAATTAATTAAGAAAAAAAATGGCAATCGTTTCTCATTTCATTGACTTGAAGTCGAGGTGGTGGATCAGTTAAAAATGCAGTTGGATAAATTCAATTTCAGGTGATATCTTCTAGACAGTGCTAGCATGAGTAACATTTCTTCTCGAATAAAGTATCTTGTTTAGTGATGAGCTATTTATTGAGATTACAGTAATCGATTTACTTATTTAGCACAATAAAGTTTTACATTTGTTACGAGGACTTTTTTGACGGTGTGGCCATTATTTACAATAGCTACCACTCCGACTTTGGCGATGTGATAGATTGGGCAGAGAGTAGTAGAAGAGAAAATGATCGGCTAAGATATTCGCTACGTGTAGTTCTTTATTATAGCTTAAATCAAGAAAGTGTATGCGAGAATGTGCTTCCATCTACTATTTTATATAACATCTACTACATTACTTACCAAAGCATGATAACATGAAATGTGCTAACGTCATGATGTCTAAGGTTTACACGTATACTTTTTACTGAGATAACATGGTATAGGCAGATGATATCTGTCTAATACTAGGATAGGTGAAGTAGCCGGATTATGGGCACAATAAGTGAATTAAAATTTAGCTAGTAGGTGCTAATACGGTTGATAGATAAAAAAGGAGTAATGAAGTTGTTGAACACTTGAATAGTTGTTGTTCCCATCATTATTCTCAAGAATATGGCTACATACCTTGGATTTAATTTGTGAAAATATAAAAGGCGTAGTCGTATAATTAATGACTTTGCTCTTATTGGAAAGAATTTATAACTGGATGCTAGCAGTAGCGATCATTGTGCTCATTCCTTGATACTTTTGATGCATTTTGAATGAGCGATATTAAAAATTTTTTACTAGCCGTTATTTTAATAGCAGACGTTAACACAATAGGAATATTAGAAGAAAATAACGTTTAAAATGAGTAATTTTGGGTATCGGTAGTTTTCTTTTGATCGCTTTAAATAGTTGCTCAAAATTTTAATTATAATAATTATTCTACAGAAAAGTATTTTATGCCAGGTGTTGCTGTAACGATAGTCGTTGTTCTTCTTACAGACGCTATCTAATTAATAAATTATAACTTTTAGTAAATCAACGTCTAATTTATTAATAGTCAAATTCAGTGCCGGTATGCAACTCTATTCTTACGCTTTTATGAGACAATATCTCTGGTTATCATCTCGTAGACTGTGATAAATTCTTTGTAAAAAGTTACTCTTCACATTTCTCTTCATGATAGCCATTGCTGGAGGATATATAAAGAGTATGAACAGTTACAGGTGTATTATTGCGATATTTTGGAGAATTCTACTTTTGATTTCTTCAATAGCTAGTATGAGATCCTTCTTAGATTAAAGTCTTGATAGCAAATCCGTTTTATGTATTATGGCTCCAAATTTTGAAATTAGATGAAATTGTCATTTCATACTTTTCCCAGAGGATTGAAATATCCTTGAATAGATAGCGTAAACTCGATCCTAATTACTTCTATTCAAATTTGCTTAAGGCTGGTGCAAGCTACCTTTTTATATCCCAGATATATATTGGGCTAATTAGTCTATACTCCTATATATCGAGATATATTGTGATAGAAAATAGTTATTCTTGTACTTTGTGTGTCGATGTAACTTGAAATCATGCTATACGAAGTGAAAAGTTGCGTAAACGTAACTCCATAAATTGCACTATTTTTTACGCAAATTTGCGTAAGCGATTGCTGTAGGCTGGTATTTTATAATACTACACAGATTTTTGAATAATTTCTGCATGTAAACAGTAAATTCTAACCTAATTACTCTATTTCAAATGTTTTATACAACAAAAGAGGCGTTTATATCTTATTACATACTTTAAATGCGGCAGCATCACATAACAATTTCGTGTGTTGTGTGCACAGATCGCATGTAAGGAATCCTTATAATTAGAGCTCTTCTGTAAAATAAGGCATTTCAATTACTAAAAAATGACTTGTTGAACGATATTATGATCCTAATTAGTATAATATTGAATTATATCTATAACGAATACGTTATATTACGGCTTTGACGGCTTAAATCACTTTGAATGATTTACTAATTAAAGGAAATATTGCTGTATCGGAGACAGTATTTGCCATTTGCCCTATCATTTTTGAAAATAATTCTGATTTGGATCGCTAATTTCTACAGTCTATCGAACTTACTACTCCAGAATGGGTTCTGTCTGAAGTTTCAGTATATATGGCATGACTTGTAACTGTACTAAATTGTTTTCTTGCATCATAATGCTTTAATTTTTGTAATTTTTAATAGGTACCTGACTCAGCTGCTACTGCTACAGCGTTTTTAAGTGGTGTTAAAACAAATGATGGTGTTCTTGGCTTAAATCAGAATGGTATTAAAGGCCAATGCGCATCGGAAAAAAATAATCATGTCAATTCGTTAGTTGCTATAGCTGAAGAGCTCGGTATGTCGACTGGAATTATTACCACTGCTCGAGTAACTCATGCAACACCTGGTGCTGCTTATTCACATTGCGCTAGTCGTAATTGGGAAGCCAACGTAAGTTTATGGTATATCTCCAATTATCGCTAACCACTGTTTACCATACTGTAGGTCGGATTAATGAAAAGACTTTACAGCTCATGGTGTTCTTTTTCTCTTGATACTTACACTTGTATACTTATATACAGTAGGAATATTTAATCTTGATATAAAAATGAATAAAATACCGATCTGCATATAAGGATATTTAACGTACACACATTGCGATTTTCTTATATTTAACATGTTGTCATTATAATTTTTTTCAAACTTTTTCTAGATTCCTTCAAGTCAAGCTGGTCTGGGCTGTAAGGATATTGCGACGCAATTACTTGATGCGTATAATATTGGCGATGGTTTTGAAGTGGTTATGGGTGGTGGAAGGTGTAATTTCCACTCTATTAACACTACCGATCCTGAATATACTACATTCAAAGGGTGTCGATTCGATGGAAAAGATTTAATACAAGAATGGAAGAATAAGAAATTATCCAATTCGGCTTATGTTTGGAACTTGACCGCATTCAACGCTATTGACCCTAACAAAACCGATCATCTTTTAGGCTTATTCGATCCTAGCCACATGAAATATGATGCTGATCGACTTACCGATAAAGCTGGTGAGCCATCCATTGCTCAAATGACTGAAAAAGCTATCCAAATTTTGCAAAGAAATCCCAAAGGATACTTTCTTTTTGTCGAAGGTGGTCGTATTGATCATTCACACCATTCCGGAGTAGCTTATGGCGCTATTACTGATACAATTGCTATGGCTGATGCTGTTCAAAAAGCTGTCGCCATGACTAATCCACAAGAGACATTAATTGTAGTTACAGCTGACCATGGGCATACCTTAAGTATGAGCGGCTATCCGAAAAGGGGCAATCCTATTTTAGGTCTTGTTGATGGAGCGCCATCACTTGACGGCAAGCCATATACAACGATAAACTATGCTAATGGCCCTGGGGCTATAAAAGATGGCGAACTACGCCCTAATCTGACTGGAGTTGATGTTCAAGCTCGATTACATGAGCAACAGGCAATCTTCCCTATAATTTATGAAACTCATGATGGTGCTGATGTTGGTATTTATTCACAAGGGCCATTCGCTCATTTATTAACTGGTGTAGTCGAACAAAGTTACATATTTCACGCTATGAAGCATGCTCTATGCTTGGGTCCAAACTCCAATGTTCCTAATTGCCAACGATTTGTGACGCGTGGTAGTGCTGTTTCTTCTGTTGCTAGTAATATGTTATTGCTAGTTATCATGCTTTGCTTGGTGAAGTTCCTGCAGTAATCAAGCTGAATTTCCTCCTAATTTACACGTACAATATGCCAACACCATTGAAATTTCAAGTTTAATAATTATTCATAACCCTGTTATCTTCAGTCTTTTCTCATCTATTTCTGAGAGTAACATGTTAATAAATTTTAAATACTTTTACGATTAATCGATTTTTTATTAATGGCAATAATCATGCATGACCCGGTCTCCTCAATTTTTCCCATTTATTTCAGACTATAGTGTGCTATTGAACTAGTTCATTGTTGATCTAATTTATGTCATGTTAAAGCTATTTAATAATCAATTACATAAACACTACTTAATGCAATATTTTCTTGACGTCAGCTGAAAAACTTGTACCTGTTAAGGCATGCTTCTAATAATTTAAACGTAGTAACCATAGTCTCTTCAAAGGCATTGTAACCCGGGTGCTACATTGTTATAATTAGTAGCGAAATATCATATGCACGATTATTTCGCCATGTAGTAACGTTATGTAAATGTTTAATTGTATAATTGTGTTATGGCTCTACCGTACGCACTAGTGTATTACTGATAACACGGATACGTAATGGAATGTACCGGAGATACCAGGAAAACATACTATATACAAGACGTCGAGATTAGAAATAAAGCGCAGATTATACACGTGCATTCAAACGAAGTCTAAACGTGTTAACAGTATTATATAGGTATTTTAGTTATAATTATGGTTACGATTTGAGATAATAAATGATTGAATGTTTGAATTGAAGGGGTTTAATTTGCGGGAACATCCTCAGGATTTTCTATAGTGCTTCGAGATTAAACCTATACAGTACTACCGGTTAGTTAAGGTACCTGTATAATTTCGATCATGATCCTTGTTATCGATAACTATTCTACAGGCATGTTCTACTTTGATAGATTTATTGTTTATAGACGCTTGGGAACCAGCTATTAAAGTTACAAGGCTACGGTGTTTGGCACTATGTACAGTACTTCCAAAATTAAATTTAACTTTCAACATTAACGGCATATGAGGTACTTAAACTGAAGTAGTTAAACAAATAAATCTCGAATCAAAAACCTACAGTAGTGCCCAAATACGAGGATTAAAAATTGCATTTATACCTTAGAGATAATTCAAACGTTCATGGAAATCAATTGTTGTAAAAATTTAATTTTCAAAATTACGAAGGTGAAAAATTGATCTACATATTATGTTTTCATGATATAATCTCCGCCACCATTTTAAAAAAGTAGCTAACCACAGAATTACATCATAAACATATATTCAAAGATTTATATGCATATTCCAATGGTAAATCAAATCAAGCTACGTAAGTAACAAAATATCACAGTATTAGATTAAATTCCTACAATGGCATCGTAACTTTTGCCGTTAATATGTGTTATTCCAAGAGCAATATTCACGAAATGCATCGCTTCTGTTACTCGCATTGACAACAATTTAGAAGATGTATAGACCTCAAGTTTGACTATAACGTAAATATGCTATAAAAAGTATGATATTAACCTAAATCAGGATTATTGGGTGACTTTGTCTTTGTGTTGTCTAAACGAATTTTTCAAATGAAATATTACAAGTTTAAGTATTCAAATTATGACATAACACCAAAAACTGGATTGTGTCTGCAGATACTGGGCCCATTCTCCATATAATCAGCTTTAGTATGACAAACGCTGTAAAATTCAGGCTATTGTTGATATAAATAATACATGCAATTATTGTACGATTGATAATAATTCTACCGTATTGACAAGAATCAAAGTTTACCGTAGCGGCTAAGAGACTACCACCAAACCAAACGGCATAACGTTGCATAGAATGTGATACTACTTGAACATCAATTGATGTAGGCTAAATCCGAGGAAGGAAAGAAATAAAGGTAAAAGAAATGTTTCAGCATTAGCGTTGTTGAGTGTTTTTTACTCGTAAACTAAGTTAAAGAGTAACAACTATACTATGTATGATTCTGCGTATGTACATTGGCAGTATATGCTTATATGTCCTCTTGTGAACCGTACACTCAAGTTACCTTTAATTTGCCTCCACTCAACTGTTCACTAATTCTTAAGCGGCTATCTACCGTTCTTTTAACATCGCGCTGTAAACGCTTACCAAAATCCTTAAACATAGTCGACCCACCAGATAGTACAATATTCTAAAGTGATAAAAGAGCGAGAATTTTAATGAATCTCTACAGATTCATAGAATAATACTATATCCATAAGGTAGTGATTATGATATCATACCTTGTATAAAGGTCTACGAACATCAATGGGACAATTTTGAATTACTGTATCTACAACTTCTGATATTGGCGTTTGAAAATCTTCATTGCAAAACTAAATACAGCGAATAACGGTTATGCAGTAATTGTAGTAAAATGTATGATTGTTATTGAAAGATTGCAATATAAACTAACCTCCGGATGAAAATAGATCTCTGGACCAAGAAAGCGCTCGTATCCGACGTCAACGTTAAAAGGCTATATCAAACGGTTCGATTGATTAAAACGTTAACATAAAAATTAAACATTTATAAACATTATAGATCGATGAGGTTTACTTACTCGTTTACTTATATTGTTGATACCCTCATATTTCTTAATCCACTTTGCCGGTTCTTTTTCATATTTTGCAAACTCTTTAGCAATGTCTGGACATATATAGCTGTAACGTTCCTATTTTTTTATAATGAGGATGAAACAATTACATACTATCAAAAGGCTTCGAAATTAAATACAATCGCCAAACCCGATACTAGCTAAGTAGGTATCTATTTGCAATTTATACCTTGATTTGTTTAGCAGTTTCTAAAGACTGTTCTGGGGGTATTCCGACTTCTCGTTCTCTTAAGATTTGTTGTATAAAATGTGTAATATCTCTACCAGCAATCGGTATATGCTTGATGCAACTTCCAATAACATATCCGTCCGCCTGATATTAAAATAAGTAAAAGCTGTTTACGCGAACAAAAATTTAGTTGACAATGGCTTTTGAGGATAGCAAGATCCCTTACCACAGGTATGACATGTGTTACACCATCTCCAGAATCTATTACTGTGCCAGTCAGAGTTCTTTGTGATACCTCTCGTGACGTCCATGATGCTGCTAGAGCAAGTACAGCCTTATTCAAATAATAATGCAATATTGAATTATTAAAACCTTTTCAACAATCACTGCCATTATACAGAATAGTTAAATCGTTTAACATCGTTATTAGTGTTCAGAAAACAAAACTTTCATCAATTGTATCAGACGGCAATTCCTATCATGTTATGTTTTAGTTCATCATGTTCTTATTATCTTATGTAGTTGAATAGTAAGAGCTGAAATGTTGCTTTTTCGTACCTGAACAGCAATGTATAAGCCGGGGACATTGAATGATTCGAACATGATTTCTAATTTTAAGATTTTTAAATAAAATCACTTATTTTAAATTCCAATATTTTTTAATCAAATTACATTAAATTAATGATATTGTAGGTTGATAGTATCGATGAATATACATATACAGTAAGTTAAATAGTCAGCGGTCAATATGCCGGGAATAGTCAGTTGGCTATACAGTACCTGCAGTATATTCTCTATTTTCTGGTGTATTGAGAGGAGGTTCCGTCTGGAAGTGAGAATTTGAAAGTAATAATTTTATCAGCATTGATAGGTAGTAGAGTGTAACAATTATATTGATTAGTACCAATAAAAAGTAATGATCTTCCGGCTCCGCTCGTAAATATTTGAAAATGCACTGCTCCCAAAATCGTTCCTGTAATTTAAAAAGTCAGAATTAACTTTTATTGGTCGAAGACTAATGGAGAAATGCAAACCGATTATAGCTTTAGGAAGTCATTATTTTTGTATCTCTTCTTTAGGCATAAAAAGCTTACCATTAGATTCCAATCTTCTACGACACCGTGGCGAATAGGATACTATTTGATTGAAGTTAAGGCGATAGTTATATATAAATATTCAACCTTAGGGAATTTAATACTTGGATATATTGAAAATATTACCTTAGCGGCGTATGCAGGTTGTTCGAAACAGTCATCTCCAATATAGAAATCTGCAAGGTGAACATGGAATACATTAGAAAGAGTTGATAGTACCAGTAACCTTGTCCATACTACAAATCATGCATGTTTTAGCATTTTATCATACTGTAGAACTATAGCAATCCTATGCTTTCGTATGAGATTTATACCGAGATCATCGATTCCTCTAGCAATATTAGATCGAACGCCAGCAGATTCTTTAACTGCAATACCTAAAACGATAGAAAATTTAGTTTCAAGTTACCGATACTTTACTGTTTAGTCCAAACTTGCAAACTAATACACCATAAATGTTAAGAGCTAGAAGGGCGATCTATATTCGCCGTTAAACACTAGATCCTAATGATTACTACCAAAAATAATATTTTTAGTAATCCCTCAAATCTGCCGTTGACTTTAAATATTTGTCAAACTTTCTAAAGTCATCAGTAATAAATTTCTAAGTATGCTTAATGGAGGAACAATATAAACGATAGCAATAATCGAAGTTTCAAATTTTTTAATTTCGGTAGCGTTTAAAGCATAAATTATCGAAACATAAATTAAAGTACGTTGAGCTCCATTTTTATTTTTTTGTATAACTTACAACTAGGAAAGATATATTGTGGTTCAGGATTGCCAGCGTAACCTAGCTTAGTATACCTAGAATTTGATACACAGATAGAACGAGTCAATGTTGTCAGTACGGTTTGCAGTATTTACTGAAGTAATACATAAGTCATTTCAATCGTCAGAGTACAATGATCAACATGAAGCAACAGTATTATGACTGACATTCATTAAGTTTGCAGTTGATTTATGGCAAACTATTTTAGTCTGGATAGCCTAATCTTTTACAGTGAAGGCTATTTATGGTAGGTTTTTGAGGGATTAAGAAGTTGCGTAAATTTTTACCGCTTTGAAACAAAGACTGTCGGATTCACCCTACACAGTCATCACTACATGTTTAAGCAGGAAATTGTACTAACAGCCGGTACATTACATTTATTACTACCGATAAGGAGCATTTGGTTGCAAGTTAATCATCTATTCAATAATGGAGTAAATTGATGATAAAGTACGAATTCTAATTCCGAAAAGTTTCACGTATAATTATAATTGATAGTACCAACTACTCTGTTCTTACCCTGTGCCGTTATCAATTACTGCTGCAGGTAACCGCGTAGCCATTTCTTCTGGTAACTAGAAATATAAAGCGTCAAGAATTAAAATTATAAGCATTAGTTTTATAATAATAAGAAAGCTACACTGGTGGTAAGTTTAAGCGAAATGAGATTAGGGCGTTCATCCACAAAGGCAAAGCAATTAAGTTTTAGCGCTGTACACAAGGTAGATACTGTAGATATACTACGAATCAATCTTGGTGTAGGGGTTGATATTCATTATGATGACTGTAACTAAAACAGGATTTGTACTCTTTTAAGATGGTAGAAACAAGATTTTTAAATGGTGACGACTAGTGATTACGAGTTCGAATGGAAATAAAACGACAATTTTAAACTTATGCAAATTATTGCCTTTCGATTAGTGTGTAATTTACTCGTTTGATGTACAATGGAATAAACTGTATGCTGATTACCAAGTATACAGCGTAAAATAGCAGTGTAATTGAAAATGATCAGTTGTAAAAGTTTGACTTTGTAATTTCTAGCTTAAAAAGGATCCAATTTGTGGTTTGTACAATAGAAAAATATCATTTCAAATGATGGCGAGTGGGGTGAAGACTCCATGTTGGGTGGTGTAAAGTACTTCACTTACTTCTATACTGGATGAATAAATTACCTTATTTCACGTCACACGCTTACGTGGTTATGAATTAATAATTAATCAATTCTTATCGCAAAATGAGAAAGCGTAGCTGACGTTTTTGGTTAAAATGCAGCGCTTAAATTCATTCTCAGTTGCTATCGTTCATTAGCTTGATGCTATTACTACTCATAACTGAGTCGTTTCTTACAGGGATATAGTACTATATATAGTATATGATTTGGCTCATTTTTTATAGCCAAAGTAACGAGATTGGCACACCCATTTGGTACGATACGACATCTTTTATACAACGTTGACTTTTTTAATTCTATTGCAGTATAATATGGGCAATTTATCGGATTAGTTCGTTGGTAAAGACATTATGTTACAAGTTGGATAGTACAATGAGAATAAGTTTGATTAAAGGCGCAGTCGATATGTTATACCTGTAAGACGCAATGATTAAGAACAGTTTGTAAAGATAATGACTTTTGTTTGAGTTGGCTTGTGAAAGTTACTACTGTGAAATGTATCGTTGAGTCTGTAAAATTAGTCGTTCAAGATTGATGTGTAGGAGAAGCTACAACATCGTATGGCTATGGACTGTATTGGAAGCATTTTACTGTATAGAATCAAGGTAGAGATCGTTTCCATTGGAAGATCTCCTTTTGACTGAGTCATTTTGACGAGGTGTACTCTGTAGCACCGTAGCGAGGCCTTTATCCTATAGCAGCCGACTTGAATTAGCGGCGATAACTGCCAAAATGAGAAAAAATTTTGGCTTCTTCCTCAACTGTATAAATTGCATCGATACAAGGAAAGCATTTCATTTCGACAAGAGTATTACTAGTACGGTGTAAAGTAATCGATAGGCTAGGTAAGAATTTTTTCCTTCAATGAAGAAAAATTCATTCTTGTCTAACTGACACGTCTAGCCACAGTGTGGCAAGTAGCTTTCGATGCCTGGTTGAAAGCTACTAGTTTTAAGGGGCAAATTTTCAACATTAATATTGGGTAACAGCGTTATACTAAAGAATGAAATGTATTTTAATTCAATTTAAGAATTATACCTGTTGAGTTAATAATTGAAGAAAAGAGAATTTCAAGAAGAACCAAGGCTACCAAGCATGAACTAGCTCTTAATTTCCAAGATGGCACGGCGCAGCTAACACAGTCGAGTAGAGAAGTGAAAAAGTCCCAACTAGCGTTTTCGTCAGCGGCTTTGCCTACTTTTAGTGTACTGTACAGTAGTATATGGGACTATGGGTACGGTGGTGTGCCCTACACTGTAGCATTGCTACGGCCACCACCACGACTTTTAGCGGTCACCGGTCATCACTCAACTCAATCTTGCGAAAAGTCGTGTTGGCCGCATCAGTGCTACAGACGGACAGATCATTTATGAACTATACCCTGCACAGTACACTGTACTGTACTGTATTATATTGTACAATAGAGTAGCATGGCCTAGACTTCTTCTACTGTACTGTACTGTAGACTGTAGTCCATGACGGTACGATTAATCATCGAGAACTGCATACTGTACTGTAGAGTGAAAAGTCCTGTTGCACCTTGTGACTGCGGCTGTACAGTACAGTGTACAGTACTGTACAATGAGATCCGTTTTCTTTGATACAGTACTGTACTATACTCAGTGTACTGTACTGTGCTTCATCACTGCTGCTGTCCGTCCGTGTCGTCTCACTCACTCAGTAACGATGGACTTTTCGAAAGTACAGTTACTGTACAGTACTGTACTGTATTTTTACAGTAACCTCGTCGACACGCCATCCCAGAACTATGGACTGATAGATTGACGGATTATACGGATTAAGCTACTGTACTACAGTACTCTTACTACTCTACAGTACAGTACTGTACGTTACGTACAGTACAGTACTGTACTGTGCGCTCCTTTCGAAACTAAAAACTGTACTGTACAGTACAGTACAGTACACTGTACAGAACGTACTGTACTGCAAAAGAACATGGAAAAGCAGACGGTGTTTCAAGATTAATTGAAGATTTTACAATTGAAGCTGTTAACGAGCGTTAATTTGATGGATGTTGTCATTTTCGGAGATATGAAAAATTCGAGGGGTGACGAATGTAGTGATGCACCCATATTTGATTAAAAAATTACTCTATACAAGAACGACTTGGAATGTTATCCTCCGTGCAGAAATAATTTCAATCAAGTAAAAGTGTCCAATGAATTAGAAGGTTATGCACACCTACAGTACAGTACTGTACACTGTACAGTACAGTATACTGTAGTAGTACAGTACTGTACAGTAGAACAAAGTACAGTACGGTACTGCACTATTGTATAATGTACAGTACTGTACAGTACTGGTAGTGTTAGCTCATGAATTTGGGGATACAATTTGAAATGATCAGCCTGCTCAATAATCGGCGTGTCGCATTTGTAGTACTGTATACTGAATGATCATTTCCTATTCCTCTCTCTCTTTAGCTGGCAATAAGCTTGGCATAGACTACGAGTCGATGCCGAGGTAAATCTACTTGCTACCGTAGCATCGATGCCATTTGGTGAGTTACTGATCGCCTTAGGGTCTGGGGCTATGATACTGATTACAGTACTGTACACTGTACAGTGCAGTCCAATATTCCAAGTACTGTACAGTGTACAGTACAATATAATAAATAAATAAATAATAATATTATTATGACGTAACTGCATGTCAGGCAAGTTGACTAATCAATCGAGATCCTAGAGTACAGTAGTTGACGAGGCTGCTGATAGAGTAGCAATCCCTGAACTGTATCATACAGTGTCATTCTTTCACATGACTTCACTTGGACGCAAGTCAACCTTCAGGAGTACTGACGTGCAGATACAGTCGTTCTACAGAGAGGAGCTAGAAAAAAATGTCTAGTACAGTGTCGATAACACCGCTGGCAGGCCTAAAGGCTAGAGGCAAGCTTAGACAGCCAAGTGGATCAATCGTTGCAGCCAGGCAGCCACCTGCTTCTGCTCGTTAGGACCGACACTCGAGCCACTTGACTTAGTGGACGGGAATTTTGGGGGCAGCCATATTACCTTAGTCAAGCTTGTTGGCGGAATAGTCGACAAATATTCATTCGTAACAGTCAATTCTATTAATTAACTGCCATCTTGTCATTGATTATTAGCTACAAATACATTGGTTGCTTGGTATTTCTTGCCAAAACCATTTGCTATCATTGCCAAACGGTACTCCAGTCCATAGTGCCACACAGACGGCAGTGAAGATGTCTGTTTGCCAAGGAAACGAAAATATTGCAAGTTATTATACAACCAAACACTCATGGCGTGGAAAGTAAATCCATTTTTTAAAACAAGTTATATCTTTTTTCTTTCATTATAGAGCGTTGTAGATAGAGATGAGGCATGTTCAATAACATTTGTAGACACTTTTTTCTCAAGGATAAAGTGACTGTGTTTCACTACTTGGCGCTCTATCGCTAAACGTCTTGACTATTGACTAATACAACGATACGATTGATATTGATTTGATGGTCTCCGTTTCATTCTTCAGCCTTTCCTTACTTCTAATGTATTTCCTTTCCATGGATTCTAGATATAAAAGGATCTTTTCAGTGGGCAGCAAGGCTATAACAACGTATAATCCTAATACGTTAGAAATAACCAATCAGGTAGGATAAAGCCATGATACAATTTAGTCGATGTTGATCAACTTGCAGTAGCAGGCCTCAAACGAAGCGAGATACATTCTGCTATCGTACAACGCACGTACTATGTACGAGTTCTTCAATTACTGAAAGTGATCCCCTTGCAACGCTTTCTATGTATAGTTGGTTGATTATATTTAAATTGATTTAATGACAGCCTACCAGTTGCATGATCACATCGAATAAATCACTCGTGTAATAGCTTACCATGGACTGTCTAAATTTTTACCAAGGCATATTCTGAAATTGAATACTTTTGAAATCGATCTCTTCAGTACTAGTCGTAATAAAAAAGAAGCAAACTAAAAACAACTTGATAAATCTCCAAATGGGTCATCACGTTATTTTAGTAAGACAAATTGAACACTACACCGTTACAAGAGGAATGGACTATTATTAGGAGTAGTTCAACGCTAGCTAGCTATGCGGTACAAAGGATTCATTTTGTCATTGACACCCCTTTTTTATCAACTTTCAGCTAAGGTTTTAGCGTAGATGATACTTTCATTTGTCAAAGAGCACAGTACCCGAGTGAAGAATAGTTGTACTCGTAGTATTATTTTTGCACCTGCAGATAGTTTATATGATATGTCCTACACACAGCATTGTTTGCTTATGCTGAATCAACTATGTCGGAGGATAACATTTTCAAATATGGTGCTTGTTGTCGTAATGGTTGATAATCATGGATAGTTGCAAAGAATACCTCTACTGCAGGATAATAATATTTTTTTTATTTTCACAATACTACTTGCAATCGATAAAGACGCACTTGATGATAGTACAATACTGTAATAATAGTAATAATACTCAGACTTTGTGGTAAACACTGATTCTTCTTACGTTGTTGTTACTTGGAATTTTGATACTACTTTACTATTTTAAATTAATTTAGTGGGCCTACACCGACTTTTTTGGTATACAAATCACTCCCAAACCCGGCTATGAATTTACCATTACCATTAGGAAAGGTATGATTATTACTACTAAATTGATCGTTGTATACTGGGTAGAATTTTTAGTGATTAGGGTAAACTGCTGGAATTGATCGTTACATTAGCAGTACGCAAGTAGTTAAATTTATGCATGACAGCTGTTATAAGTTTTGTTTTTATGAAAATGCAGAAAAAATGCATCCATGCCAGTGTCGTATCTAACCAAGCCATCAATGAGGCTAGTACTTATGTGCAGTACCTTAATTTGAATATCGTATTCTTAGGTAAAAAATCGCAAACTATGACCTTTTCAACGGAATATCGAGCAGATGTGATCACGGAAGCATTGGTTAGTTAACTATTCAATACATGCATGATTATGTTATTATATTTATACATCGGTAATGACCTACTGTATATTAACAGACTAGATCTTTTTGAACCTGTAAGACTCGTGTATCTTAGATATACAACTTTATTAATGTTGACAGCGCTTTAGGGGTTCATATGCCACCGATAGAGAAAAACGGATTACTGAAGATGTTAGAATTACAATTGTTAAACACTTTACATTTTTCTTACATCATTCTACTTGTATGCTGTAATTAATATTAATACGTAAACAATAGTAATAATGAAATTATATCTTTGGCATTGCTTTGTAGAGATATGTTGCTTATAAGCAGCATTGGAGTGATACTCGTGTTCAAACAATCTTACAAGTAAGTTTACATAAATAATACTTGCATAATGAACTTACTTTCTCCAAGATTAGGCCTGTAGTCCTTAATTCAAATAATGCTATGCAAATTGATAAACTCCATCTAATTGAATGATATGCAAGTAATTGTAAATTTGTCGCAAATTATTCTTTAGGTCACGCCGGCATCTTTAGATCAAATCAACCCTGCTACTGGAAATTTAACTTGTAGCTATGATTATAAAGATATTGAAGGCATAACAACAGTACGTTACGTGATAGTAAAAACATTTAACTTTTGTATGAGGGAGATTTTTGAATAAAAATAAATCTCTTCATAGAAAGTGTTTCTGAAAGAGGCTACATTGATGACATTTACTATTTCAGGTATCTGATTGCCCAGGAGGTTTCGCTGTTATTCATGGAGGTTTTGGTAGATTGGTAAATGTTATTTTATGTACGCGTATATCAAATTATTCATCAGTAATTCTAACATATACTATTACTGGTCGTCATTTTCTTGTAGCATGTATTTGCTTCTGAAAGCCGGGATGAAATTTTAAGGAAAATCACAGAATTATCTCTCAATGTAGTCGGTTATAGTATCAGGTATTTACGTTCGAGTAGTTACTTACAGTAGATAAAAATGTGCTCAATAGGTAGCTATGCATAATAGTGGTAATAATTGTTGATTGTATTAAGAACTAGCTTGAGAACTCTTGTTTTAATGATGCGCTATGAAAATTGCTTGATTTTTTTACAGAGTCCGAAAAAATCCAATCACATTGACTGAATTTGAGGAAAAACGACTAGGAAAATTTAGGTTGTTTACGAACATAATGAAATTTGGTGCCTGTATAAAATTATAAAGGAGATATTGCATATTATTAGTAGTAGTAAGGTTATCCTGTATTAAGTATATCTGTCTTCTGTTGTAGTGATGATGAACATATCACATCTCTGTCTGAGTTCAGAGTTCAAAAGATAACAAATAGATATCCGGTTAGTATAAATTTCTCCTAATATCTTACCATTATTCAGTTTTTGCTATTCACAATTACTGAGGAGGTTAATATTGAGGCATATATATTGGTTATATTTAATTCTGCTAGGATCCGACTTCTCGCTTATTTTGCTTAACCGAAACCTGTATTATTGAACGAGATCCAGCAACTTATAATATTGTTACATGTCGGCCATTTGGCGATATTTATGCTTTAATCCGTTATTCTGACAATCCGCAAAAGTTTGCTGTAGAATATATTCGTGGTCAAATAAGAAAATATTATTCTACCGAAAGGTGATAAGCTACTATAAATATTTTATTTTCGTAGAAAGTTTACAGTTATATAATATATCATATTTTACACCATCTAGAGATTCGCTTCTCGCAAGTGTTTTAGATGGAGCTAGAGCTGGTGGCAATTCTGAAGTTTGTGTTAAAATGCTCGAAACAAAGAGAGGATTAAGATTTGGACCATTTCATTCTCCAGTGGATGAAGATATAGAAAGCTTACTTCTGAAATGGCTACAAACTCCGCCAAGTATGCAAAATAATGTATTCTTTGGTGGAGAACGTAAATCTTTATATATTAATGTGAATATCATAATGTATATATCTCGTAGGCTCTGGTATCAGTGAGGCTATCGAACGTTTTAATGCCAACATATCATACAGCGGATTATTGTATGCTGTAACGCAAGAAGTAAGTAAAATCTCAAAGTACTCACCTTAATTTCAGGGGTGCCTGTAATTGTTAATATTTAACTTAAATTTTATAGGGATTATTTGCTGAAAATAAAGAAAAGCTCATAAATGGAGCTCTTATTGCTTTCTTACTAAATGAGCGTAAGTTAAAAACCAACGGGTAGAGTAATTACGTTATACTATACATATCTAATAGTTATGTCACTGATGTAATTTTACAATATATGCATTAGGAAGCCATGATACTTTGTCGAATGATGAAATTGAAGCTCAGTTTCATGTCTTACGTCGCATAGTTGCATCAAAAATTGGATTTCAAGCATTTACTACATTACCTAGGTATTTATTTCCTGGCTTTAACCTAAAACGTTGCTTAATGCGGTACCATAATTGTTGGGATTTCAAACTTATACTTACACTGACTGAATTACTCGTAAAAATCACATTCTTCTATTAGTTTCCGTGAAAAAATTGGTGGCAAGATACTAAAATCCCTTAAAAGAAACAACGATGGAATTTCTCATGCTGCTATTGATATGTTATGTGCTTTAATGCAGGTAATGGTTTATAATTGAATAACAATTTATATCGAAATTTATAAAACTAAAACTGAAATACTTATATTTTAGCCTATGCATGCAAATTACGATCTCCGTCAAGAGCAGCTGAATAAATCATCATTATTATCGTCTTCTTCTTTCGTGGAAAATTTGTTGAAACTACTAGCTAGCCACGTTGTATGTCCATTAGATATCAAGTACTTTGTAAACGTTGCTATGACAATTCACTAAAGCGTCCGTTTTGATTTAGGATCGCGGAACTGGAGCACTGGTCGTTAGTGCGTTACTAGATTTTATAACTTTCGCATTATGTGCTCCTTACAGGTGATATACGAGACAACAATACCTGATTTAAAATTTTATTTCTCATTACATCGCACTGTAGCTATAATTTCGTTGTGTAGTGATATATAAGCATTTACTAATTGATCTTTTTCATATGGACTTATGCGTAGTGAAACTACTGATGGAGCACAATTTGATACAGTATTGGAATTGGTAGCTGACCTCGGAAGATCATTCTTTAGATTATTTGAGGTAACCTATTACATTCGTAACGGAATAATATGTTTTTCGCTAGTTGTGATATTGAAAAAAACTTGTTTTTGTAGCATCCTTCCCTTGCAATTCTGAAAGCTGCTGGGCTGATAATGAAGTCATTAATTGAGGTAAATAGGTTATATGAAAATATTTAATATAATCAAACCCTGGATATTGTACTTTAGTACCATGATGCAAATATTTCTGTCATCGTTAAATAGGAAGGCAATGAAGAAGTATCAACGAGACTCCAGGAACTAGCATTATCGGAAGGGGCTCTTCCCCGACATGTACATATTGCTATGTTTACAAGTAGTACGGACGGTAGAATGTTGACTTTAAGGTATAACTTGTATAGCATTGTAGTGTGATGGTAGTTCTTTTTGGTATGCGTTGTATTCAAGGCATACTAATAATTATACTTATTTAAAACTTTCGATAGGCAATTGAGTCGGCATCTTGTAAGCTTATGGACTGAAGGAAATCCCAAAGCCATGGAACTATTTGGTAGAATACTGGTAAGCCATGAAAATGCCAGCATTGATTCATAATTATATTATCAAAACAGATAGATTTATTAAATTACTAAAAATTAAAGTTAAGTAACTGGGCTTGATCGTAAATTCATTCATCACTCATACATAAATATTTAATTATTTCAATTATTAATTGAAAAATTTTATTTTATGTTAAACTAACCGTTATTTTCATATTATTCATATAGCCCGCTGGCTTAGTAGCATATCTAGAATCTTCTGATGTTGCTCCGGATGACGATATTGATCGTATGCACGTCCGTGATAATATGAAGCTCGCTAAGGTTCATTATTGATTTAAAGTGAAGTGTGTGCACTGTATGCTAAGAAGTAGGTGGCAAGTTGTGAACATTTCTAAGTAATTTAGTTTATAATATTTACTAGGTCGCATCATCGAAAAATAAAAAAAGTTTACAGCGGCAACAGATTGAGGCGCTGCTTATACATTGGAAAACACGTCTTGGAAGGCAGAAACCAGAGGTAGACTGATTATTATAAATATCGTATCGCTATCTTAGCATTTCAGTACCGTGAATTTGTAGGTACATGGGTCAATAGTATTATATCAACTAAGAGTTCCTGTATTATTTTGATTAGCCAACTACTAACAGACCAGTAGTTTTACGAAAGCGTCGTCAAAGATTGAAAGTAGAATTAAACTGGCAGTATTTCTTTTACAAGTATGTAAAAGTTTAAATAAATTATCATTTCCTTTTGTCATCTTGGAGTTAACGTAATAGAGGTTACAACTTACTTTATTAAACAGATTTTATGAAGACCACTCTAATGCTTGGTTAATATGGAATTACAAGGTTATATAAGATGACAATGTCGTAAATCCTGAAATCTGTGTTTTGTACTCAGTGGGTTGTATTCCTTATTTTTAGACTAGGGAAGAATTAAGAGAAGCCTTAGAAATGGAGATGAGACTTTTCATGCAAGATCGGGTGCGTTCGAACTTTAATTCTGTACTTGGTTTTACGTTCAGTTGTGTCAGTGACGTCTAATAATGTATTGGTAACTCATAGGAGCTCAGTCAAAAACAGATAATTTCTTGGAATCATGTTGAATTTGAAGTTCGCTATGAGAGCCTGTCTGAGGAAATCAAAATAGGTTAACAGAATTGAGTTACTTATATTATCAGTATGTGGGAGTAGACAGTCTAACGTACTCATTATTCATGGCTTGAAATATTTTTATGTATTTAGGCGATTACTACCTTCGATTATTGCTGGAAGATGACGAATCTGTTCTTATTAAACAATCGTGAGTATACATCTTTAATAATACTGCTGTTACTTTTAACATTGATGAATTGTAAATATCTGAAGTACCAATAAGCGTTCTTATCTTAATATAATTTCAGATATCAATTTTTTAATGACCTGTACCATCGATTCTTGCTATCCCCTAAACCACAAATGAAAGCATTATGCTTACAGGTAAGGATTTATCCAAGACAGTATAGGCATTATAATTGCCATGGCAGCTCTAAAAGTAGAGTAACTCTATTGAATCGAATAGTGTAATGTATTAATTTAGTGATAACTATTGCTCTTTTTGGACATAGGCAATGGCAATTGTGTATGGAAAATGTTATGAAGAAATTGGTGTTTTCAATGATACGAGATATATTGTGAAAATGATAGAAAGGGTGAAGCAATAAATAGATTTTTTTAGTTCGTGGTGTCTTGCTTTAATCAAATATTTATATCTTTTGATAGACTATCGACAAGCTAGAAAGAGACCGTTTACTATTTTTTGTCCATAAGCTTATTAATAGAAGAGTAAGATTGGATAATAGTATCGCCATTATTGTTCATTGTATATTGTATATTATCCTATGAGTCTTCAACACCATATTAACAGAAATATTTTATGTAGGAAAATGTTAAGGCTATAATGGATGCTAATGGAGTTAGAATTTTTGTTGATTTACTTACTTTATCACATCTGCATGTTACAAGGGCAACCGTACCACTACAGGTACGACGTATAATTAAACTTTTCGTGAACTTATAACAATGCTGCAATGCGATATTATATATTAACTCGATTCTTATTTTCGTTCGAAATATCATTAGACAAACGTCATTGAGGCTGCTCCAGATATGGCTAGAGATACAGAGAAGGAGTGGTACTATGGAAATGCGGACAAAGAAAGATTAGGACCTTCAGTTTTAAAGAGGTATAGCACTGCATACTGTATACGTATATGTATCAAATCTAATGTAATATATATTAGATACAGCGTTCATCATATGTATTTTAAAATGCTTTAGATGAGAGAATTTTGGGCCAGTGACGTTTTGAGACCCACTACCCGTTGTTGGGCTCAAGGGATGGATGGATGGCGACCATTACATAGCATACCCCAGCTTAAATGGTGCTTAATGGCGACTGGTACGGCTGTAATGAATGAAACGGATATGGCTGTCTTAATTCTTAATATACTTAACAAAATGTGTGAATACTACCCTAACAAGTAAGTCTCCTTATGAGATAATGCTGTTTTCTATTCGTCAATTTACCAGAATGAAACTACTATTATAGGGACGAAGATGGAGCAATTGTTCGTCCTATGCCTAGAATCAAGCGAATGCTAAGCGATCAGACTTGTTTGCCCCACCTTGTACAACTATTCTTAACATTTGATCCTATTATTGTTGAAAAAACAGCCCTATTACTTCATTCTATCGTCATGGACAATCCAATCCTTCCGCGCTTATATTTATCTGGGGCTTTCTTTTTTATTATGATGTATACTGGGTCTAATGTTCTACCAATTGGTAAATTTCTTGTGGATACGCATAACAAGCAGGCATTTCGCTCAGATGAGGAGCAACAAGCATCTGATGTTGTAAATCGTAGTATACTTAGTCAAATGTTACCAGAAGCTATGGTTTGTTATATTGAAAATTATGGCGCAAATAAATTTGCCGAAGTATTTCTCGGCGAATTTGATACACCTGAAACTATTTGGAATACAGAAATGAGGCGAATGATGATTGAAAAACTTGCATCCCACTTGGCAGACTTTACTCCCCGATTGCTTAGCAATACTAGGGCACTTTATCAGTATTGTCCTCTTCCAAGGCTTACATATCCGCAGCTGGAGAATGAACTATTCTGTAATATTTACTATCTCAGAGCTCTTTGCGACATTGCTAGATTTCCAGATTGGCCTATTAAGGATCCCATCAAACTTCTTAAAGATGTTCTAATGGAATGGAAAAAGGAAGTTGAAAAGAAAGGCTCGTCAATGTCAAGTGAGGAAGCATACAAAATTCTGGGATTAGAAACTGGTGTAGGCGGCCATGAAGAATCTAAAGTTCGTAAAGCCTATTTCAAATTAGCGCAGAAATATCACCCTGATAAAAATCCTGAAGGAAGAGAAATGTTCGAAACTATCAATAAGGCTTATGAGTTTTTAGGCAGCAAATCTGAGAAAAAGACCGACGGTCCGGACCCTAATAATATTGTCTTAGTCTTGAGGACTCAATCAATTTTATATTCAAGATATAAAGAGGATTTGGCTCCTTATAAATATGCAGGATATCCTATGTTAATTAAAACGATTAGATTAGAAACCCAGGATGATACTCTGTTTTCGAAGTCAGCTCCGTTATTGACTGCTGCTAGCGAGCTTGCCTATCATACGATAGATTGTTCGGCTTTGAATGCTGAAGAATTGAGAAGAGAGAACGGTTTTGAAGTGAGGTTTATCACGTTCTTATATACTGTTATGAAAGGGTCAGGGTATTTAAAAAGTTCGTCATTTGTACTTATGTTAGGCTTTACAGGAAGCATTTGATAGATGCATTGCTGTTCTTGGGCCTTCAACAGAACCGGAATCTGTTTCAGTGCAGGTTATGATTTAATTCTTATACTCTTATTTGGCCAGATATTCAGTGATTGTGAAACTAAAATATGTTTATAATTTCCTGTAGGTCTGTAAATACGTTATTCGTTGCTTCGAAGCATCTGCACAATTCGATGCCTGTCGCGAGAAGCTGCAAGAGCTGCCTATAGTTATTAAGGATATTGCTAGAACTATGTACTTTAAGGTAAACTGTGGCTCTTCTCTGCTGTCGACTCTGTTGATATTGTATATGTAATGATTACAATAAATTAAACAACGTCTGCTTTTTAGAATTTGACGGTCTTATGCACAACTGCAACTGATTGTGTGAGTGCGTTGGCAATAGACACCACTTTACAAGCACAAATGTTGGCCGTATGTATTTGCTTTATTTTGTAACTTAGATAGAAGAAATAGTAACTTATGGTAACTTAAAGATACTAAATTATTTGTAAATTATTTTTGAAATTCATAGGCTGGTGTAGTATGGCACTTGCTATTGTACCTGTTCAATTATGACTATACGCTGGATGAGGGTGGTGTCGAGGCTTCTACTGACACAAATCAGCAGCTTGTAGCTAATAATTTGGCTAAATTAAGTATCAGAGCTCTGATTAGACTAGCGGGTTTTCAAACTCCGGGTTCGTCATTTTTGATATCCGAAATCATCCTTAAATATGTATGTAACCTTTGTAATTATTTTTTTCTTATTATTAGAACCAAGTATTGAAAAAACGCCAGATAACACTTCAATCAAGAAGTGCGTCAGCGCCATGTTAACGCCCTATGTTACTAAACAGTTAGAATTGAAGGGATCTGTTGAGGTGATTTTTAATTACTAGATTATCACCAAATGGTAATTGTTGCTTAACGGATGTATTTAATTCTTACTTTACTTTACTGTTTTATAGATTTTAAAGTTGTTAAACTCTAACTCTGAGAATCCGTATTTGATCTGGGATAATGCGACTAGAGCTCAATTGATTGATTATTTGGAGAAAGAGCAAAGTAGTATGATTAGAAGTGTAAGTATTTTAGCTCTTTTATGATATTGTAGAACGTTTCACGATCGTGTACTCTCTTGTTTTTAGGGAGAATGCGATCCATCGTACGGGAAAGATTTTACTTTTGATGCACATGAAAAAGAACTTATCATTGGAGATATTTTTGTTCGTATCTATAATAAACAATCATCATTTCCACTCGAAAATGGGGAACAATTTTGCTCCGATTTACTTAATTTCTTAGGTTCTGAAGCAGAGGTATGTGAAATCGAATGTCGTTAACATCATTGTTTTTTACCAAATACTGCAATTGTGGAGTTAGTTCATTTTGTACCGAGAAAGTAATAATTTTATCATATTTGTAGTACTTGCATTCACTAATGGCTTTGGCTGCTTCGGGACAAGAAGTTGATAGTAATTCTGCACGCCTTGTTAAAAGTGAAATGGCATTAGAAGCTTTGAGAAATGTTATTAAGAACAACCCAGGTTATTGTTATGTTAAAAGAAGTCGCTTACTAGCATATTTGACTGTGTTATGTAAAATGATCTGATGGAGCTTTGCTATTTCAGCTTGCTCTGAACGATGCATCGGTCATTTCAAGCTTCTGTTTAGCCTATTGTGCATGGAAAGTGATGGCAATTTACAGCAAATGGCTCTTGAGGTATAATTACAGTTATGCAATGCACTTCTATTAGTTCTGTCTGCTATTAGTTGTTACAAAATACTTAAAATTCGATCATATTTCTTCATTAACATTACATTTAGGTAATCAATAATGTTGCCGGTAATAAGAAATGTGTGCAAGATATCGCTGATGCAGATGTTCTGTCGTATCTCTTCTTAGTTGTTGAGATGGCACCTGATAGTAAGACTTTTAGATAAACTTAAATTATCTTATTTCGCTAACATTTTACTCTAGAAGAAAAAGACATATTTAACTGCTTTTCTATATTGTCTAGGTCAAGTAACAGTAATGGAAGTTCTTATCGCATTGTCATCTAACACTAAGATAGTAAAGGATTGCATGTCTAAAGGTGAACTGTTAACTCAGCTTATACTTTAAAATACTAGTTTTTTGAGACTTCAACATTGGATTGCATATCACTAACTACAAAACTAAATTTTTAATTTAGGTGCTGTAATATATCTGCTCCACTTATTTTGCAATTCTACATCACCAGAAGTTCGACAAAGTGCTGCAGAACTTCTCGCTAAATTAACCAACGATAAATTAGTTGGACCCAAGGTGAGTTTAACACATTTTAGGAATTAATAATTAGAATGTACTAAAGTATGCTTATAACAAATTTTTAGGTCCGCATTTTATTGTCCAAGTTTTTACCGGTAATATTTATTGATGCTATGCGGGACAGTGCTGAAGCTAGTGTCTATATGTTTGAAAGTAAGAAATTAAGTAGACGCTTGGTGATTTATATACAATAGTTTTATTGCTAGGTTCGATTTATTATATCTGTATTGACTGGGCTGCTTTCGGATTTATTTAAAGGTAGTCAAGAGAATCCTGAATTGATATGGAACGAAGAAACAAGAGAAAAAGTATCTAAAGTAGTTCAGAGAATGGAAAAAGATTTTTACCACAGGCAAAAAGATAATATATCCACTACTTGGAAGGTTAATATGCCTGCAGTACTGTGTTTAATTGTGAGGGTTTGTTTGTTTATTGAATTATTTTTCTTTATCTGTAGCTTCCCGAAAACTTTGCCATAGTTTACACCAACATTGAAGGTGAACTTACTGTTGGCGGAGTTTTCTTGCGCCTTTTTATTTCACAACCAGCTTGGGTACGTGCAGAATCTAGTAATTTTAATAAAAAATTTTCAGAGTACACGCTTAGAACCGTATTTCCGTATAACTCCTATTGAACTGCTTTATTGACTTATGGTTAAATACTCCAGGTGTTACGAAAACCGAGAGAATTTTTAATAGCTCTAACAGAAAAATTTTCGCAATTAATTGGGTCAACGGCACCGGATGTTAGTATCAGAAATATATATTAATCATTTCTCGATTATACTACGAGTTGTGACTGATAGTTACCCGAGGTTTTTTAATGTTTTTATTTATAATCGTTTAGACTGAAGTTTTAGAGACTGTTACCACTGCAATCGTTGCTTTCTTCAACGCTCAACCATTAATGATGGATCAGGTAAAATAATTTTCTTTGGGTTGATGTGTCTATTTGTGGTGCTGTTATGACTAACATTTGTATGATTGCTTCAGTTACCTAGCTTAGGACACATTCCACGCTTTTTTCAAAGCATGAGTTCTAGAAATGATGCCATACCTAAAGCTTCTGTCACTGTTGTGCACACGATTACCTCTAGTGATGTAAGTCAGATGATTAATTTTATTAGTAATACGAAATACGGTGTAAGGAAGATTCATATTTGATTATTTTTGTGTAATAAATTAACAGATTTGTATTAGAGCTATGACGGAGACCGAATGCATTGGTTCAGTTATGGTTGCAATGAAGAAAAGACCCGACATCATAGGGCTAGCTTGTGAGGCGTATTATAATATGTTTGAACACAAGGAAAGCGCTTTTGTTCAACAGGTTTGGAAAGAACGATTAGACATTATTATCGTCTGTAGCGCTTTCTTATTGTAATTTAATAATACTGCATAGGCCCTCAAAGCAGAAGTTGTACCATATTTACTGAGCTTACTAGATTGCGGCTTAGAAACTGTTCCGAACGCTGCTTCAACAAAGGCTCAGATTGTCAAAGCCCTCAAAGCTATGGCAATGGATTTACAACACGGAGAACAGGTATGGTAAAAACTACTGGTAGCTAATGTTTCCTTAGAAATTCTTATTGTACAGAATCGGCTAACCTGAGTTCGTGTGCGAATGTTTCATAACTTAGATTGCCGCTATACTGGAACAGTCATCAGTTTGGGCGTCTTACAAAGATCAAAAGCATGATCTTTTTATTCAAGATACGAATATTGCTGGTTACTTAACTGGACCAGTTGGCACAGCGGGATATTTGACTGCAGGTCCTGCTCATAGTTCTAACTTACCTGATGCACCTCCGCCACTTCAAAATTCTTCAATTCATCAAGAAGATGATGATTGATTATGAAATACAGTTATGAACTAGGAGCTATATTTACAAGTACTCTATTAGATAGATACTCTTGAATCAGTGATAAATTGTACAGTAAATTTAGGGTAACGAGATAATTTACTCGCGTTTGATCTCGGATAATTTCTAAAGATCTTTTGTAAGGTTAATCAATTTTATATCAGTGAATTTAAAACAAATCAAATGCTCCTTATTTGCAATTATTTCTCTATTAAAAATCTTGATGATGTGATTTTATGTCAACTATAAACAGCGAATTTTACCAAATTTTTTACCGTCGTATTGTTCAATACAATATACAGTTGGCGTTCAATCTTAAAGTCCTTGGTGATGTGGTTTAAATGATTTTGTACAAGCGTATAGTGAACAGTATTACGTTAGTGCTCTTCAATCTATTAGATTTGCTTTTCCAAGTTAAAATCACAATTTGTAACAACACTTTCTGTCCATAAAATTTATGCAAAATTCTTATACGATAAACAGCATTGAGTCTATCCTAGAAAAATTTTGTCAGCTGTAATTGCCTACTGCGTTTATTCTTTCATTAGTCTATGAGTCTCGGTATAGTATGGATTCCTTGAAAACTAGTAAAATTTATCTTGTTGTACGTGTATTATCACCGAATAAACTAATAAACTTATCATAATTAATGAGATCGATTAAAATAGTACAGTAGTCTGCTCACTTGTGAAATTATACTAAAGAAATAAAATTTATCATTTAAGATGTCTGCGAGTGTATAATATCCGACACTAGTAAATTACTACCACTAATTACTGTATATAATAATCTTAAAAGTACAGTATGCGTATTACCTGGTCAGCATTGGTATAGAGCATCATTGCTGACGATTATATATAGTAGTTATAATACTAATACAAGTATACTGTAATGATGTAGTTTCAGATAATCATGCAACTAACGTTTCTAGCTTTCTAATTCGTTATACAGCATGCAGTATAGCTTTGAAATACGGATGTTTGGCATAATTTGTATTTTAACATTATTTAGCATCTCGAACCAGTTGCATGCTTCCATTCATAGCTCATGGCATAATCGTAGCTATTCTACAGGTCAAAAGCGTACTATTGCTTAGACTTTGAAAGTAATTATGCAAAGATTCGGTATTAATATCATTTGATTTCGGAATTTGTTCAAGTTGCGGTATTTGAACACTCTTTGAATATTGATTGTCTTTGATGGATGCCATTCATACACATAATATTAGTACCCCTTCCTTAGGCTATAAATATCAAGTGCAGTAATTACAGTCTTTTTAAGTTAACGGAAGTATGGAAACAAACATTTATTGCATTTATACTTAAAAGGTAGAGTTTAATTGCTTTTGATAGATACCTTGATATCAATAACTTCTTGAGCGAAAGGTGTGAAGTAGAACTGTTCTACCGCCTCTCTGTGTGCCTAGAGCATGCTTGTGATTTTCCTCTATATCTCAAAAATCACCTCTTTGCTCTAAGATCTCTCTTGTATCTCACTGAAAATCAAGTCATCAAATCTCAGCAAACATTCCCACCCCGTTATATTACTGGTAGCAAGCAGATTGTTATTATATAAAGATTCGAAAATACCAGTTTGATCGTTCTAGATGAATGCCTTAGCGTTAGAAACTCTACCTTGTGATATGGATATTAAGTAATTACTGTCCTACCGAAATCTGTAAACAGAAAATTGTTATACTGTATAGAGAGAGAGAGAGATGAAGATAGTAGTTTGATAGTTCTTGATAGATAGCATGGAATGGGATCAATAAATCCTTTCTTGGCCTGTAGCTGTATCTATATCGTAACATTTGATCATGTCTCGTAAATAATTTGTATGGGAAGGAAATGTTTCTGTCTGCTGTTTTGTTGTATTGATAGGTGGTTATTTTTAAAACATGACAAGATAGCTATTTATCTACGTATCATATGTATCGAAACAGTAGTAAAAATTTATTATTGAGCTTCTGTAGTTGAAATGCTATTCATTCAAATAGCACTGGCTCTATCTTTGGAAATACGCTGATACTTGTTATATTATACTTTGTTTCGTTCTTCTGACAGATATTTGCAGTTCACTCACAGATTATTTCACTAAATTAATTTATCTAAGCATCATGAATCTTCGATATCACGTTGAGCTGGCTGTCAAGATAAATGCTAATTTTACTAAAGGTTATTTTTCTCTGGTGTTTTTTTCGTAAATTTGTAAAAGAATGAATGTGATCGATAATTGCCTTACCATGCATCTAACGCGAGATGTTCGTACGATCTTTCCAGTGAATTACTACGAGCAAAAAGTCTGTCGTTTGTTTAAAAAATTTAATTATAGCTTACAAGCAAAGCCAAATGTACTACAGTCTTAAATTGATCTTTAAATCCTAGGTGATACAGTATCATAGGACGCTATCATCTATTGTACGCGTATTATTATTAGCCTAAGGTGCATGCTAATTGAATCAGATTTTTTATTTTTTCCGTCTATATCTGATGCATTCGTAGCCCTTTGAACGAGTTTATCAGTATATTCCAATCTACATCATTTAGTTTGATAAAGCGAAGTTGCTAGTCCAATTTGTTAACAGATTTCATGATAGGGTTTCCCTTAAAGTTAGTTCGTTCATCCTTCTTCTAATGTTATAATAGTTAAAGTACAATCGCTCTACTCTAGACTCTAGAGTCATAAGAGGCACGCGTCTATCTGAACGGTGCTCTATTTCCTGTTTACTTTTGTATGAATGACTACTTCTACTATAGCTTGTAAATGATATAGAATTTAAACTGTAATCAACTGGTGATCAGATACGATTTCTATCTGCATAAAATTGACGTACTCGTATCATTACGCATTCAGATTTCTCTATCAATAAACAAGCTTAGAATAGCCAATTGCTGTGTTGCAACAAGATTGCTATATTCGTACGTGTAGCCAATATATTCGGTGAATTGAATGACTATAGAAGGAAAGAAGGGAAATTTACAGTTATTCCATTCGATTTACGTAAGATATGAGTAACACAACGATATCCGTAATTAGAACGATGATATAATTCTTGGTCATAATTTGCTTTCTCTACAATAAGCACAAACATGCCTCCATTGATACTTTCTAATGTACAAACAAATATTCTACAATAGCTAAACGGGCATACTTGTATATTTTCATCATCATTTTACTTCAGGCTTCTGGTAATATACAGTACATGGTCTCATTGCAACTGTAGACTACGTTTGGTACAGCATTTACTTACTGTAGGTACTACGGCGCTGACCATTTATTTGTCGATATTCCTTCATGATTGTTGATTGATAACACGTTAAATCTTAATCTTATTGGCCACAAAGATTATACGATAAAGTTCTACTTATTGGCTACAGCATTTTATCTGATCTAAAGCAAATCATTGCAGAGTGGGTATGCAGGATACTGTACTGTACGAAATGGAACTTTATCTTATCATTCATTTCAAATCTTGATTAATTATTGCGATATTTCCTAGAGTATTGTTAGATCAAGAAGGACAAAAATAACAACAATTAATCTATCGATGGTGATATGAATTATCATCACCGTAAGTATTTTAGTACAGTACGTATTTAGTAGTTGATAAAGATGCTATGCATGAGGTTGATAGAATAAGAATGCGCCTATTCTGCTCGTTGTTAGCATACTCTACTCTTAAACTGAGTAGCAAGATGGACAATAACAACAACAATAAATAATCGGCCTTAATATCCTACTTAGAGCTAGTCCTTGACTGATATCATTTATTTAAATATCAATATGAGTAAGTATAGTGCAATATCTTTTTTGCTCTATGGATTTATCTATGTTGACAGCAGATTGTTGATTACTACTGCAGGGTAGTAGAGTATTAGTCTACACATACGATGATGTTAATGATGAAATTAACACCAAGAAGCAGCAACAACAGTTTACCCTCCGTCCTCATTCATCTCACACCTATTCGTGTGAAAGATGAGTCATGAACTTATGAAAAATTAATTTTCAAAAAGTCCCTAAATGAGTTATGCCAGTGTATATGCAAAGATACATAAACATTAGAGTTAGGACTGGTCGCATAAGTATTTATTCAGAGCAGGAAGCAGCTACTAGATCACTATAGAATACGTAATCTATTGTCATAATTGAATGGTAAATTAACTCCCAAAGGCTATTTTCTACGTAAGGATATCCTGCTGTCTACTACTTATGGACAGTAGACTACTATTATATTGGCATCTCCAATAGGGGCTAGGCGGCACGAACTTTGCACCAAATTCTTATGCAAATAGGAAAAACAGTACAGTATAGTGTACGCTATACGCTTATAACTCAGCAGCAATAGTGTGGTTAGTTATTACAGTGCTTACGGTATAAAAGCATTATCTTGTTCCTATATATTACAGTAGTTCTAGCCAGATTGCATTAATTTAATTACGTTGAGGAAGAAGGTACCCCGTTTATATAGCAAATAGCTTTGGCTAATTTGAATTTGGATTCATCATAGTGATCAAAGGAAAGAAAGACAGTCGTCACAATATCGACCATTACTAGTGTAAAAAAAATCAATTGTAGCTAGCTACCCCTATGAGAGCGATATCTTGACGGTACATCTAATACTGGTAAGTACTGAGCTCAATCTTATAAAGTACTCTATCAAAAACTGCTTAATGATGCAAAAATAAATACTACTGCTAATGCTAAAGGATGTTATCTAGTGGACGTTGATTGCAATCGCGTTTTTCAATTCATGGAGATTAAATTAATGGATGGTGGGATCGTCACTTTTTAATTAGAGGTAGCAAATGGTGACTGACTATTACCTTGATTACGATAAATGGTTGTAGAGAAAGTTATTACGAAATAAATGAAGTTGTAATCAATAGGCAAAAACCCACCTAAAATACAGTACGCGTATATAATTGTAATTAATTGTTGGATCGTCAAATGGAAATTGAGGAAATTTCGCAACCAGCATTAACCTCCGTCAAGGCAGATAGTATGGCCTGTCTTTGACCATCATTTTATTTTTTATTTCTATCTCTTGCACGATTTTGCACCTTACAGTAACTTGCAAACGCCGGAAAAATGATTGACATTGATCCATTGGCTGCCATTTTCAAACTACTTCTGAAGAGTAACGTTAATATTTTGGCAAGGAAAGTAGTGCTTTATTTTAGACGCCCATACGAGATGTTGACTTTACGACTCAAAAGGGATACTAGGCCTACTGTACAGTTATAATGTGATGATTATTTTGGCGAATTATAAAGTATAGTACAGTGAAGTAATCTGATAGGACTGAAATGGTGATTAGGCGTTTTCTGCCACCGTTATACACTGCAGTCGGTTTTTTATTTAATTATATATTATTCACCAGTTAATTAACGACGTGCGTTCAAGATCTATGTACAGTACTCTGTTCGCCAACTAAGTTATGATTTGTATTCACAGACACATGCCATGAAGATTTAATCAGCACTTACTGCAGATTTTCTTTAGAAGAGAATATTCATTTGAGCGAGTTTATCGCTCAAGTTTACTCTAATCTGGCACGGGTTTTAGCTTTCATGATGTCTTTTAAAAAGTCTAGTGCGATCAGAATATTGTTCCATTTTAACTATGTCTGTGCCCCCTCGTGATTATTTCGCATTGAATAATGTAAAGCGATCAAGTGATCATATTTGCCTTTTTATGACAAGTTTGCTTTGCTGAATCACCACTTAGCTGATTTTACTGGATTCTACGTACTGTAATGTAGGTTATATTGATTTTAAGCTGCTGGGCTTAATTAATATTTTGTAGCTCAACTCTTTAGCAGTGTACATGTTAAACTGGTAAACGTAATCTTATGACAACTTGCATACAATGAACTTTTACATTATTAAAAACGGAATATAATAAGCAATTGTGTTCATGTTTACCGATGCTTACGAAGACGTATAATCCATTCTCCAATCAATAACCTGATTATTATATTATTCCGCTCTTAAAATTGTAATTAATTGCTCGCTACCCTAGCATAATGCATACATGTTACACGTATTAATAGTCCGATAGTGTCCATGGATGGACTTTAACTCGTATGGTCATTCTAATGGAATCCCAAGAGATTCACCTTTTCTACGCATAAAAAACATTTAAAAAAGTCCGTGCCTGCTGTGACTGAAATTATAGCAGATATAGAAAATGATGTAGTAACTGCTGAAATGATATTGTATAAAGGAGAAAAGTGTGAACACGAGGTACTTTAGTGCTTTATGCAAGTTTGCACTTAGTTTAGGTCAGTTATAATTTGAGAAAATTTCTATACCCAATGAGCTTAGAATCCATTTTACAATGTAAACGAATATAAGATGAAATCTATTCTATATGTACATTATACAAGTCATGTTTGCTGTCTTCTTTATCAAAGTAAATATTATTCTATTGATTATGATTAGTTCTGTACAGTGTACATGAACTTGCTTGTATTGTAATTTAAATTCTTGTATTTTGGAAGAATTGTACGCTTCGACAACGCTGACATGTAGTCAAGTTTATTATTGATGAAGGCGCATCTTAAAATTTAAAATTTATTGCTTTCTATGCGGCATATTGAACATTTTGGTTGAATAATATCTATCTACAGGTCCTGTTTTATTTCATCAAATGATCAATCAGCCATAGTTAACCTTGTAGTGCAAGCTTTCGACTAATATACTGTAATTTAAGGGCAGTTAAATGCTACTGTAGTGATGATAATAATTATTCAGCAAGTGTGGTAATAACCATACATGTAAATGTCCTATTAAGTTATTCAACGGGGCATTTTTAATTCATTTCCTTAATTGATATTTCTATTAGTAATCTAAATCAGGATTGGTTGAACTATACGTTAATGATAATCGAATACACCTTACCATGTATCATTGACAAACATTGAATGGAGCTGCAAGGCATGTTCAAAATATTACTTATAGCAGATAGTATCATGAAACCCTGATACCCCTGATATTGCTGACTTGGAAGCGGAAAGGAAAGAGTTTGAGATTTGCATTTCAGTTCTGGCCACAAAACGCACTTGATTCAAGTAGTCATTTGAAGTTCAAGATTTACAATATAGTTCATAATTGAATTTCTATAATTGGAGGGGATTGTACATTACACATTATATGCGTTCTACAAATTCCAGTCTACAGTACAATAACTTTGAGCCTAGTGTCGCTTTTGAATATACTACATCGTAGCCATAGATGATAATAAAAGCTTCTTGCTCACCCAATTTTTATTATCTTTCCTTTTCCACTACTGTAGGTCGGTATCATGGATGATAATAATGATGATAAATTCGATACGCGCGCCGAGCTCGAACGCAGACGTCAAGAGCAATTCAGAAGAAGTAAAAGCTGTGGTTTGCCGGTATGTTGTCAACAGGTTTAGATTGTGTCAACAATATTGGTTTTATATTTTTATTGAGTAGAGCATTTGCAATGGGAGATATATTGATGAATGTGCAGTACATTCATACAGATCAATATTATATTCCAAAATTTCATAACGACTTATTACTACCCATTCTCACACCCGCTCTTTCAACAGGTATAAGCCACTAGTACGTATAAATGTACTCGTAAAAATGGCATCAACATTCAAATGATGTGTGCATAGTTTCCAGAAATAAGCTAAGATTAATTGCAATTGAGGCTTTAGAAAACGATGCAATAGCACGAAATTCATTTTGAAAAAAAGTTTTAAACATTTCGTAATTATAGGTTCATGAACATGAAATACTACTAGTAGGTGTGATTGCATGGGTTTACTGAGGCCATTTGTTAATAAATGTTAATAAAGAAACATTCTACATGCCGAGAAGTTCATACGAGTATCATATCCTAGACATGGACGCATAAACATGAAATACTACTAGTAGATGTGATTCCACGGCTTTACTAAGGCCATTTGTTAATAAATGTAAATAAAAGAAACATTTTACATGCCGATACGTTCATGCGAGTATGATATCCTAGACATGGACGCATAAGCATGAAATACTATTAGTAGATGTGATTCTACGGCTTTGCTGAGGCCATTTTGCTAAGAAGTGCTAATAAAAGTACAGTGTCAATACTACTGTAATATGATAATAATGAGTCACTGGCGTTTTACAAACCATGATCGGAAATTGAATACTGTTGTTGAATGATATTGAGTAAAACTTGTGGCACGGTAGATGTATTTGAGCTACGTTGGTGTTTTCGATCATTTAAAATTATAATGAATAATAATTATTGTTAGGCCTGTCAAGCAACGGTATGAAGACTTGTGCTAGGTTCGCCTATTTGGGTCGTTGAGGGCCATAGGAATTGGAGATCGCTGCGCCACTGAAAGGCCATGACTCTTGGAATAAGATTGATGCTCGATCTACATTAGTTCAGTAATTGGATTATAGTAGTTTCTCGAAGGGCTGCAGTCTTGTACTTTAAATTTGGGGGATCGGTAATGGTTCATTATTTATATATATATTGTATTAACTAATCAAGTCATTATCAATTTCTACCCATAAACTGGTCAGATATGTAAGATTCGTTTACCGTAGATAAACTGATGGAAGACTTGAGTTTAAATTGCATTTTTTGAGTCTACACTACGTAGGAGTATTTCATAAGCACGGCATGCCATCTATTCATTCAAGTCCATACGCCATGCTAGTAAGAGGGACTACTCCAAGAAAGGAGTTTCCTCCATAACCGCATCGACAATACACGAAGGGGGTCAAGATGACCAATAACCTTCCTTAAATAACTGACGTTGTCTATAGCGAATAAATGCATCCAAATTACTGATTTCCAACTCTTTCTATCTATGTATTTTATCGTGCAATGGCTACCTATAGCCTATACTTTCAAATTGAATCCATCTGTTATTCCTGCAGACATGTTGGATTGCAAGCCATTTCTCCAACTGTCATGTCGGTCGGTATAAGACGAGTGTTGCTATTATTTATATAGCTCGGGTGGTATTGTTTGAACACCGGCTAGTAAAACGTCATCGCATGGCTTTTTATTGATTTTCTTCCTATTGGCTGTCGTTATTATCAATAGTATATCGTATACACTCAATAGCGTACCATAAAACACTATAGCATGGGCTTATTTCTCATTGAAATTCATCTTCGAAGCACCCTTGTAAAAAAATAAAAAAAAATAGCTTACAGTAAATACAAGTTTTCTATCCTCTATTTCATTAGTCATTAGTTTATTCTTGGGCTTATCCTGCCTGTATTTTTTTTTTACAATCCTTTTACCTCAGCTACGCCTGTTGAGAAGGTATCGGAAGTAAGTGTTTATGCCTAGTGATTTTAGTCAATACCATGTTGATGTTTAGATTAGATTGTTATTTCTACAAATTTAGCACATTTCATCAGTTCGGTATGAATAAATAGTTTAGACACGGTTAGGATAATATTGGAGGCAACTGGAAAGATGGATAGTAGAGTAGATTAAGCAATGGATGGTGTAGTCGATCAGGGTTAAATAGTTGAAATGGTTTGCCTGTAGTTATTGAAAGTTGCAATCCAATCGATTGACTTGGTACTTTTCCTGACTGCACACTGTGCAGTAGGCATTTGACCAACTGGATGCTAGTGTTGTTTGTATGGACATGAAAATATTGCCTGACCAACTATTCAATCTTGCAATGTACAGTAGAATGAAGATCAGACCTCAATTTGAATGTTTCTCCTCCTTTTTCATACCCTTTTCCAGTCAAAATTTCCTTCTTCTCTATCAACAGTTTCTCATACTCTATTCCTATGCTGTATTCTACCCTTGTTGACTCATTTTGTGATGATATTCGATCATATTAACTGCTAGTGTTGATTGTATATATGTACGTGCATGTCAGAATAAGTTGCCTGACCAACCATTAAATCTTACAGTGCAGCAGGCAATATAGAATGATGGACTACTTACAGTACTTAATTCACTAGCCCTTGGTAAAATAATGATGGTCAGACCTCAATTTAAATTTTCTCTTCCCTTTTTCATGCTATTTTTCAGTCAAAATTTCCTTCTTCTCTGTGAAATTTCTCATACTCTATTCCTATGCTGTATTCTACCCTTCGTTACTGATTTCTTGGTTATGATATTCAATTATATTAACTACTAGTGTTGATTGTATATACAGTATACTGTATGTACGTACATGTCAGAATAAATTGTTTGACGAACCATTAAATCTTACAGTGCAGCAAGCAATATAGAACGATGGACTACTTTACAGTATAGTACTCAATTCACTAGTCTTGGTAAAATAATGATGGTCAGACCTCAATCTGAATTTTCTCTTCCCTTTTTCATACTATTTTTCAGTCAAAATTTCCTTCTTCTCTGTGAAATTTCTCATTCTCTATTCCTATGCTGTATTCTACCCTTGTTGACTCATTTTGTGATGATATTCGATCATATTAACTGCTAGTGTTGATTGTATATATGTACGTGCATGTCAGAATAAGTTGTTTGACGAACCATTAATTAAATCTTACAGTGCAGCAGGCAATATAGAATAATGGACTACGTGCAGTACTCAATTCACTAGTCCTTGGTAAAATAATGATGGTCAGACCTCAATTTGAATTTTCTCCTCCCTTTTTCATTCTATTTTTCAGTCGAATTTCTCATTCTCTATTCCTATGCTGTGCACTACCCTTCGTTAGCGGTTATTATGGACTATAACTACAGTACAGTATTATATTATTAAACACATCAACTGCTAGTGTTGATGTACGCGTATGGACCTAAGAATATTGCCCAACAAAGCATATTCAATTTTGCAGACTGCAATGGTCGTCAGACCTAAATTTGAATTTTTTTCTTCCTTTTTTTATGCCCTTTTTCAGTGAAAATTTCCTTCTTCTGTATAAAAAATTTCTTATACTCTATTCCTATGCTGTATTCTACCCGTCGTTAATTCTTATTATTATTATTCAATCACGTTAACCTACTAAAAACGATAGGACTAATTTTTTTAATCGATCAAGCATTTTGTTTCCACCTCTCGCTCCTTTTTTCAATGAAACGGCTATTCTTGTGTGAGGATTTAATAAGTCTATTTCTATAGGAATGGCGCAAATGTCATAATGGCAGCTAATGAAGCTTAAGTTTATCTACTTGAAATCGGGAAATTTCAATACAGTGCTATTCTATTAATGTAAAGTGATTGCCAAAATTGACAAAAAACACAATATTCAATTCTACAAACAAATTCATTGAGTCATACATACAGTTTAATCTATAGCTAGCCAACAATACGATTGGAATAATACGCAATTATGGTGCTAGCCTTACTGCTATTATTGCATAGAAACAGACATTGTTGGTTAGTGTTAAACGGAAGCTTGAACGCGCAATAACTTAATTGAATTAATGTAATCTCGAACGGAAATGATTTTACACCTAACCATAGTGTATCTAGAGTTTAATTCTTAAACAAAAACATAGAAAAATCGCCTTCAAATAATAATTGAATTGCTATTATATTCAAGCAGCTCATAACGATTTAATCTCATGTAGGAAAACTATCCTCTGCAAAAAGAGGCAGCTGTAGAGAATAATTTAAATTCAAAGAAGAAAATAACACGATTTGACAAGAAACCAATTTTAAAGAGTCGTAAGAGTTTACCTGCTTTTAGGTTGCAAGACTCATCCGAGAATTGGGACTCTACTACTGACAATAATAATAACAATAATAATCAAAGCAAAATCTCTCGTCTCTTTAATGTTACGTTAAAATCACCGACTGATCGTAACAAAAGTAATCACCACCAAGATCATAGTATTGGATCGAAGAAAGAATTTCGTCGACAAGTAGCACATGTTAGGGATAATCTTAATCGCCATGAGTTATCAACCAAGCATTCAAACATAACTGCACCCCGCACTAGTCACGGGGTCGAAAAAGAAAATCCACAACAATTACAAGAGGCACTGCAAAAACGCTCTCAATTAAGATCGACTAAAAGTAACCATCTACTTGATCAAGATAATAAAAGGCGTAAATTATCGCAAATCAAAGCTAAATTAGCTACAACCTTTACAGAATTAGAAATGGAATTGGAAAAACAAGGTGATGATATTGATGCTGAAGTTTTCACCGATTATCCAGCAGATAGTAGCCAATCGTCAAAGTCCAACATAGCTCAAGGTAGTAGTCGTAAATCTTCTGATATGATACCTGGTGAATCACAAGAATTGGTAACTAGGAAACTCTCGCTAAAATCTGTTGGTTCTATAGCTGATGCAAACAATGATAGAAAGTTATCAAAACCGGATACATCTGGCGCTGAATTTTTACACATTAAATCTTCCTTAAGAACAGCTTCTAAACGATCAGCTGCCAAAAATGATAATGAACCTGAAAAGGACGAGCATCAAGTACTCGCTCAAAGGAAATTGTCATTGAAAAATACTTCTCGTGGTCTTGCACAAATTAGTGAAAGCGATAAAAAGACTGGTAATGAAGCCTTACCTTTCTTACAAATGAAAAATTTATTGAAATCCACTGGTAGAGGCAAGCATATTATAACCGAAGCTGGCGATGATAACACCAATAATGATACCAAGGTAGTGAAAGCAACCCGAACGGAAAGCGACAAAGAGGAACTAGTCCCTGCTCTAATGCAGACTAAATCTTTACTAAAACGAAAAGAGAATAAGCTAGAAGATGTGAATGCAGAAAATAATGCTAAATCGGCCGAGGCTTTGGCTTTTTTACAAGCGAAAGCATTACTACGTGGTACTGGAAAGCGTGTTGTAGATGAAGAAACACCAAAAACTGAACCGGTCTCATCTGATGGAGATGCTTTTCTTCAGATTAAATCCCAGCTTCGAGGTACTGGAAGACGTATTGTTGAAGAAGAAAATGAAAAAGAAAATGTTGATTCCCCTTCGCCAGAGAATGATGGTTTACTTCAAGTTAAGTCACAACTTCGAGGTACTGGAAGACGTACTAGTGAAGAAGATAAAGTAGAAAATATTGATCCCCCTTCTCCAGAGAGTGATGCTTTACTCGAAATTAAGTCACAACATCGAGGTACCGGTAAACTTACCATGGATAAAAAACCAGCAAAGGAGGAGTCAACATTTCCCCAAAGTAATATTTCCCATCAGCCGAGGAAAATCTCTTCTGTTACTGTACAGCCTGTTGCTCAAAAAATAAATGACAACAAAAAAAGTACATCAGAACCAATAGTGTCAAAAGTGGCTCCTACTAGTGCTAAAACTGAAAAGATGAAAGCACAAGAACGAAAACTATCTAGTGAAGCGGAAGATATTAAAAGTGAATTAATATCTTTAAAAAGTCAGCTAAGGAAAACAGACAATAAATTTGCAGAAGAAGTCAGCCAAATCAAGGAACAGGTATAGTCCTTCATCGTAAAGTGTAGTTTTGGTTACTTGCCCATAATGATTACACTAATGACTTATTTTTCGAATGATATATTTAGGAAACTATTAAAGAAGCAGTGGATGATGTGGATTCGGAATTACGGTAACATATCCAATATTAACAATGTTTCTCATTGGATCCATGATGATATTCTAAGATCTTCTCTATTGAAATAATTGTAAGGTATTTTGTTAGTTAACAATTTACATTATCTTGCTATTTTATAATCCAATGCAGGTATAAAAACTTTGCCACATCACGTAGAGCCGTAAGGCCAAATCGTCGACAGCGAACTTCTGCCAATCCGTTAAAATCATTGCAGAACAGATCTGATTTACTGGAAGATGAAGAGGTACAGCCTAATATCTTCCTTTAAGCTTTAAGTCATCCTAAGGTTTTACACTAGATAATCGTTTTAGTTCGACGTACATTATGTAGATTTTGCTGAGGTCTTGTTTGTTGCTAATGATTTACGTAACTAAAATCTTTTGTCAATCGAGCAATGGTATAAGTAAATAGGATGTAATAGAACCGTTTGATTGTCGTGTTCTATTGAGTGAGCTAATTTGTATTTCTTATTATTTATTTCTTATGCACGTTAACGTTTGAATAGATATCAATATACTGCAGATTTTAGTGCGCTAAGATTATTGTCCGATAATATAATGTAATAAATGAAATCGATCAGATCGATCACTTTATACAGTTTACGTTATTTTAACGAAATTATTTACTTTCAAATGCTATACTTGTATAATGTATGAAATAGTGTTTTTGATAGCCACTACCGATGTAAACATAACTTGTCGCTCCTTATTCAACACTACTACTGCTACTTAACTGTTATTAATACATGCACTGTAGTTACTTTCTTCGTCATAATACTGTAGTAATTTATGAAACGAATTTTTTTGATGGTAGGCTGCTGGAAAAAGAGCAACAGCTACCTCTGGAGAATCGCTTTCAACGCGTATTCGACTTCCCAGTATGTTCTTAATTATAATTATGATCAATTACTCTTGATCTGCGCTAATTTAAGCTAATATTTTCTGAAATATTGTGCAATAAATAATCCTATAATCTTCTGGCTACTATATCATTGATACTAATAAATTTTGTAATGTAATTAACCATATTGCACCAGCAGAAAATGGTATGAAAGTGAGAGTATGCTAATCTAGTCTTATTTTCGCTCACACTTAGAAAACCAACAATTTGCTCCAGCTGCAGTTGCTGGACTTGCTGCTGATTTAGATTTCACCTCAGTTTCTCTTCGCAAGCAAGAGGATATTCCACCACCGTGCTACCCTGATGTTATACTACTTCATATTAAAGGTATATTATAAAGTGTTTAAGATTCTTCAGCAGATCTTGATAAGAGGATCTACTATTTGACATTACAGTATTTGCAAGTGGTTCGAATATGAATCTTTTTGGAATTAAATTGTATTAACCTGAAGACTTGTATATCTCAGGGCGCCGTAATGTCCAGTGCCGTTTTGTTGAACCTATTTCCTCATCAATCAACATTGGCGATGCGTTTATTTTGATAACGCAACAAGATATATTTCTATTATTAGGAGATAAAGTTAACGTAATTGAAAAGAATAAGGTAGGCGGGATCTAATGGACAGTACAGTATATTCTAAATATTCGTATATATATCGTTCACCTAAGAATCGTAAAGTGCTGAAGTACAGTGAGGCACTAACGCAACGTTAGGGAAAGATTATGCAATAATTTTTACCAATTCATTAAGTAGTATTTCGTCTATTTCATAACAGTACTATACTGTAGATCAATTCAACGTTATTGTAGAAGTACCACAACTTTGAGAATCATAAGTAACATCTTCTTTCGTCTAGGCTGCTGAGATAGCGACACTAATTATTCAGCAGAAAGATTACAATTGTAAAGCCTCACGACCGATCATCTACGATAACGTTAAGGATTGTGATTTTAACGGTGTTAATACCGACAAATTTTGGGAATATTTAGGTGGAAAACAGCCCTTTACTCGTACGTACATCTTCTACATGGATGTAAACAAAATTAGTTCAGATATTCTGTATGCTATATTATGAGACTATAAGTTATTACTGTATTCACAAAAAATTTCATTTGCAGCTCTGGATTCTGCCTTAAGTGATGAAGAATTTGAACAAGGAATCGATGCCATCAATCAAATATTTGTTGTACAATGCAATCCAACGGAAACATTGGTAGAGTTAGATGATTGCAGCGGTAAACCTTTGAGAGTTTCCTTATTAGATTCCAAAAATGTAAGTTGGATTAGTTTCTATTTGTGTTAGTAAATAGGTAATTGAAAATCCTAATCGGAATTTGCGTTTATGGAATACAAATATAGGTTTATGTTTTGGATTTTGGCAGCGAGGTCTACGTTTGGGCAGGCCGATTCGCAGAAACGGACGCTAGACGAGCCGGAAATAGGCTTGGTCAAGAAATGTTTGATAAAGAATACCAGTTTGCAGGCCCCATCAATCCTTTACTGCCAATAAGCATTGACAACTATGATGAAGATGAAAAGAAGGTCTCGACGGCTAGGCCTCCATGGGGTTTTTTCCAAATTCTTAAAGAACGCACAGAAACGTCTGCTTTCAGAGAAAAATTCTTCGATTGGCCTGAACCCGGTCTTTCGGATAATTCTAGAACTCTTAAAATGACTTATTTTGAAGAAAAAACGGTTAAAAAGAAGGTATTAGAATATGCACGATAGCTCTAATTGTCTAATTTAATTATTTAATGTTGTTGTTGTGTATTTAATTGTACATTAGAAACCATCGATTCCTTCAGAACTTACAGTCTACGATGCAAAGAATATGATTAAGAATGAGATAGAGGAACCGAGTACTATATTAGAAGGTCAAGATATAGGAAGAGGTGAAGGTGTACCTTGCAAAGCCGGAGAACCTGGCAATGAAGTAGAACATTTATCTGTAAAGATATGGATTGTTAGTGGTCGTGTCCATGAAGCTCTAGATCCGAAGGAATATGGAGAGTTCTATTCGGGAGAAACTTATGTAATTTGCTGGCGATATCGGGTAACAGTTATTTATGGCAAAAGACGTAGAGCACAGCACAAAACAGGCCGAGATCGAACTGTGTATTTTTATTGGCACGGAAGCGATTGCAGTATTGGTGATAAAGGAACTTCAGCTCTATTAACTGTAGAGCTTGATGATGAGAAAGCTCCGCAAGTAAATAATTGTGGTGATATCAGCGATTGGAATCGATATAGAATTAATATTGTATTCTTATATTCTTATATAGATACCGTTGGAACAAGGAAATGAACCACCTTGTTTTTTTCTTTTATTTAGTGGAAAAGCAGTTTTCCATATTGGAAGGTATTTGTTATTTTTGCCATATATCGGTATATATTTTTATCATTACTAAATTCTTTTATAATGTGTGTTTGCGTGATGCAGGCGAAATAAAGCAATGAGTCCTGGAATTGCAGGTATGGCGTACTGCAGTTATCTAACTGTACTACTTGATTAAGAATTACTAAAGACAATCAAATTGTAAATCAATGATTTTGACAATATTTTAAAACTCTTTTATTAATAACTATTTGTCCAAGATGATAAAACATGTCGTATGTTTCGAATCCAAAATGAAACTTTAAACGAAACCTGTTTGGTGGAAATCTTGCCGCGGTAAGCTAATTATTGCGTTATTAAGTTGTTGCTACTTTGTAACGCGGATGCGATAGGCAGGTACCTTAAATTTCAGTTTAGGATTAAGATAATTCTTAAATTACTAAACTGATCCTTTATTGATTTATAAACAGTACTACATCACTGCGGTCGCGTTCCTGTTTGATTATTGTTGTTCCTGGTAAGATTTTATACGTTTGGAATGGTTTAAAGGCTTCTGAGGCGATACGTAAAATGGCGAAACATGCTGCGGAGTCTTTTCTGTCCCGGTTGGTTATTAGCTAAGCTAGGCATTATATTCGGTCTATTTGCTACAGACTATTTTATAAAAAAACAGCACCTATCTGAAACTATTCTATCCTTCGATAAGGTTGGAAGATGTAGCTGAGAGTCAGGAAATCGAAGAAGGTGATGAGACTAAGGCATTTTGGACCATTCTTGGAGGAAGGGATGACTATGGATCTTTATCATGGAGTATGTCGTTATAAATAGCGTCGCACTAAAATTAGCAATTATATGTATATGTTTTTGCTAAATAGCGATACATTATTACATAGTACATGCATACGTACCTTAATTTCTGCTATATTCATAAATCACTACCTAATAAACTTGAAAAATTTCTTGTTTTAGGTGATAAAAGCTATAATTTCAGACCGAGACTATTCGCCATGAATAGTAAGACTGGATACTTTATCGCAGACGAGATTCTATCTCCGACTAGAGTACCTAAAGAGCCATATCCTTTTCCTTTTGTTCAATCAGATATTTATTCTGCGGAACAGCCTGGTAACATTGCAATCAATTGGTTCGGATTGACTTTTATGTATTATTTGATTATTGTTTGTTTATTTCTTTAGCTATTTTTCTTGTTGATGCATACCACGAGGTATATTTATGGCTTGGTTGGTGGCGAATAGTTGATGGTGAAGAAAGTGTTGCTAGAATAGGTGCTGCTGATGTTCGCTGGATTAAAAATAAAAAATTAGCTATTGAAACAGCCTATAATTATTGTCAAGGTACGGAATAACTATCAAGAAGAGTATTTTTTTAATCGTTATAATCGGTAATATTAGTCATTCATAGCGTCTTATAGTAAAATAGTTTGTATTTAACAATTGCGATTTTCTTCCTTTCGGATTACATTAGCGTTGAAACGTGATATGAGTGCAGCTATGATTGTGCTAGCAGGCTATGAACCAATTGCTTTTCAAGCTATCTTTCCAGAATGGGATGTTGATATGGATGCAAGAAAAGCAAATATGAAGGTAAAAGGAGAATCCATTAGTTGTCGCTTGTCATTTATGGACTGCTGCTGTTCTAGTGTGTGGTATAGCAATTTCTCGATTTAAAAATCGTATATACTTGTTTTTGTCCAGGAATTTCGCAGTGTGTATTCTAACAAAAGAGTATTAATTCAAGACGAAATGAAAAAATTGTTAACGTTAGTCGGACTTGGGCTAATGCGTTATTGATATTAGGATAAGTCTTGTTCGTTATTATCTATTGTAATTCTATTACAAATCTGTTATGACTTATAGAAAGACTATCTATTCGCTTGAATTATTACGAACTAATCTACCCGACGATGTTGAGCGCGAGAAAATGGAAGAATACTTAAGTGATGAAGACTTCCAAGTAAGATATGTATTTAACGTTTGCCTTCATTTTAACGAATCTGGATAAATCTCATAAAGGATAACGAGTTGTCTTTATAAATTTAGATCGCTATTAAGATGAGTAGAAGCGATTTTGCTGCACTTCCAAAGTGGAAAAAGCTACAAATAAAGAAACAAGCAGGATTATTTTAATGATATTCAAATTGATCGTATAGTTTTCAAAGTTTTAATAATCTTAGTATCGGATTTATATTTAATTACATTTTAATCTTTATCACACAGTAGGTATATTATTGTGCTATATGAGTGAAGATATAAGTACTATATTTACGGTTTATTAAGTATTATCGTAATCAACTGTCTTTTATGTGTGACATAGTGATATTTTATAAGCGGATAAAGAATTGAATTATCGGTATTAAAAATTGTCTGTTTCCAACAAAGATTTTTTTTCCTGTCGTTGTAGGAACTTGTGAATTTAATGTTACAAATTAATATACATATACCGTATGCATATTTATATTATTTCTGTATACTGTACGAGGATGCTGCATGTGGTTACTAATTTCGAGATGTTACCGATCTTTGTGTAAAATCAGATATTAATATCTATCATAATTAAGAGATGGAATGGTTTATACATTATTTTCAAGATTTTTACCAGGTTTATCTGTACAAAAAGTGGATATATAATCCTTAGCTAACAGATTCGTAACTACTTTGCATTGTTTTCTTATATTGTATTATATCCTATTGAATAATGGCAATGCTAAGTCAATGAATTATTGTTTTTCACCCTGACTTATTCTATGCATCTTAGGTAGAAGCGATTTCTTGAGTGAATTTACGTAAACGGCTATTGCGCAGTTTGGGTTTTAATAAATTTTCATTTATTACCACAAGTCAGTCGTACCTTGGATATTTTTTTAAATTGTAACTGTTTGGCTTATTACACTTAATCGGAATGTTGATTGTACAGAATAAATTTAACAGGGATACAGAATTCTCCAAATTGTTCCATATTTCACATGCTGTAGAATTAGATATATTTCAATACTTTCAGTAATATTGTGAATAAATACAGTGTCACTTTATTATCACTTGTTTTGTACAATTTGGGATTCATAACAAAATTGAATTCTAAATTGAGATTAAAACTACCTACTTGATAAACTTCATTTACAGGAAGAACATGACTATGTTAGATTTAAACAGAGTTACGATTGTTGTTAAATAATTTTAAACTTTAAGTAACTTGTTCTATACATATACAGAGACGGTCTCATGCTCATAAAAATCTCTTCGTCATTAGTGATACTTTACGTTGTATTGAAGGACTGGTTTTATATTTTGAAATATTACAATAAAGACGATAGCCTTCCAAGCGGTATTACAAAATAATACAACTATGCAACTAAAGCAGGAAAATAAAGTAACTGCTAATGATTTCTAAGTTCAAATGGAAAGATAGTTATGGATATCGAACAGTATCTTTGCTATGACTTTACTCCACAGCAACTTAATTAAAGGGCTTTAGAAGATTGAGCATGTTTTGCTGCTTTTTCTTCTTCGACAAGTTGATTCCATTCCATAAGTTCTTCCTGAATTGTAATAATTAAGAAGTACTGACGTTTAAATAAAATTTATAAAATAACAACTTTGCTATGATAAACAAATGTAGAAATGAAAGTAGCATCGTTAATTTAATCATAGCTAGACTAATAAATTTGATAACGTACCCTGGCTTGTTCTTCTTTTGCTTTTTCGAACAATTCTTTCTGTTGTTTTTCTAATTCCGTAAGAGAAAATCCCTAGGCAGATAGGTAAAAATGATTTTATCATACTATTATTTATGTTCCATAAATAATAAATAAAGGTTAAGTAAGAAGTTCTTACCGATTTTTCTAGCTTCTTAGAGCACTTTTTCCTTTCCTATTCAGTGGCAGGATGAAGCAAACTTAGCATAATTTAAAGGTTAATGAACGTATTCTATACAGAAAGTATTGATTAAGCTGAATAACCTCTTTCTCAGTTTTTAAGTCTCCCAAAACCTTTTTCAACTCACCAACGTAACCTTCAAATCCCAAATTCTACAAGTAGAATGGATAATATTTCACAAAATAAATCATAATCATTTACGCATACATGCAGTATTTGCATGAAGATCTATAATGTAGTGTACTAATTATTTATGCATAGTTAGAATACGTATACATAACAAGTAGATGTCTTGATGAAAGATAATTTTCTCTACCTTTAAAGCCTCGATAACATGCTCCGGAAAAATAGTCTTTTTATTCTTTTGACTACAAATAGAATTACTTTCGGACGATACCATATGGACAAATTCTATAATGTTATAATTGATGACAAGCATCAGGGAAAAGTTTCTGATATCGTAAATCTACTGTGCCATCTTTAAAAATTGGCCCTATTATAACTGGTATTAGTAATAGAATAAAGAGAATACAGTGTGGTTTGTGTCCACGATTGTGTTTCTCTTCTTTCATAACGTTATTCAGTATTTCTGATATAAGTGAGACTAGATAAAATGTGCAGTTGTCCACTTTTGCTATCTGGACAGTGGTAAAATCCTTCATCAACCGCAGGTTTATACCAACATTCTAGTGCAATGTATGTTATTACTTGATATAGTAATGATAGTATATCGTATGCTAGATAGTAGTAACATCAGCATTAACAAATGTGCTAAATTAATTTTCTGCTACTTACCATTACAAATATTAGAAATTAAATCTTTGGCATCATTCGATACCCGTACGCCAGGTACGACTTCCTTGATAAACTTTTGAATCGTCGCTATAATTATTGCAAGATAAGAAGATATCGCGGTTTAATCAACACATTCATGATGTTGCATTATACTGTACTTGCAGAAATACTATCTACTCATAATATTACACTAAATTAATAATTGTAGATCACTAATACTATTGCGTAGATATTTGATGCTATTATAAGAACCCAAGAGTAGATTACATCGGGTAAATTCACGATAAGGTTTACGAAAAGCCATATCAGAATTCCAAGTTATACTTTACAACGAGTATTGCAGGTAGATTTATAGTAGTTACTTTGATCTAACTGCACCGTAAATCTACTGACATCACTCCCAAACATATTCTTATTTACAGAGTACATTTGCTATCCGATTTGTCAGGTTTACGATTCGACAAGATTGGCACCTGAGTTATGTACCATATACGGATATGCTCTATTTTAAGACACAAATTTAGCTAGCGACAAATACTCCAAATTGAGCGTAATCTTGTGGTATAAAATACGTTTTATTAGCACCTAGGCAAGAGTATTTATCTTATTTTCAACAGCATCGTCATTGTGGCTGATGAAGCTGTCGAGTGGACGTGTACACTTATCTCTCTCTTTCTATATAACATACAGCATGTATGCAAGATAAATTCAGTCTATCTTACGTGTAATTAAGCTCGCATGTCCTAGAGAGGTGTCAAAATTTTTTCTCCGCTATGTTCTGTAGTGATGTTTTTGTCTAGTATAGTATGTTAGAATACTGATTGATTAAAACGTTTCCAGTACTTACGCCACTTGGAATATTCATACAATTTAATCATGAACTTAATAGTGAAATCAACGCCATCATGAAATTAGAGAGGTGGTAGATCGTATTTTAGATCAATTGCTACAATTGGGACGGTCTATCATTTGACTTATCAATCATTACGGCATTAACGATATCTACTGTATTAGAATGATATGGCTATTGCACATGATGAGGAAAGCGCCGTCACCAATACACACAAGAGATAAAATGTTAAGATACTGTTGTAATGGAGGGTGTCTACATACTGTAGTTAATCATGTTTTTATCTCGTGTTTCCTAACCCTTCCAACTCGTTTCAAGCCATTAATAGCTATAATCTACAGTACAGAACATGCACAAATCTAGCTATACTGTACAGTACTATTGAATCAGTCAGAGAGTCCATGGCGATTTGACACTATTGCCCAGGTTCCTACGTGATTTACTACACAGTACTATCTCTATAATAAGAGGAAACGGTCATAACTTGGAAACATGTTCGATGATAGCTTGAATAGTACTTCAAAATCAAATGATTAAAGGATGATTTATTATTTTTTAGCGGTACAGGACTTTCTCAATTCGAGATACACTTTAATACTTGTAAGACAAGCGTGAAATTGGTAGTATTCATTCTACCTGGAGCAATTGATTTCCTACAGTATGGCGTGTCATTTATCACCCCATGCACTCTTTATACTTACATCGAGGTAAATTAGCCGATTCTTCATCCGAATCAGTCATGGTCGAGTAATAATACGGGGATATAGGAGGTTGAATATCTTCGATTGCAAGTGGGTTTGGAAAGAAACGTCAATTCCGTTTCAAGATGATAATGCGATCGATCGGCTAGATCGACCTTAACAGTCTTACTATAGAACTGTCCTGTTGTCCCGGGGCTTCAGTCTGTCCAGAAATCATGATGCTGTGTACTCTACAGCATCGCTATCATCTGAAGCCACTAAACTACTACAGTACTATGCTGTGTTGCTACAGTACGAAACTCTTACTGTACAGTACAGTACAATGGTGCACTGACTGGAATTCTTTTTCAATCTACAGTACTGTACTGTACTGCACGCGTAAACACAGTACAGTACTGAACAATTTGATTATTTTCGATGTCTACCCTTCGTTCAAAAATCAAAAGTTTTATTTTGTACTTTTTATTTTATTGCCGTTTTAATGGACATGTAAGAAGTTTTTTTAGGAACTACTATAGCCCTTACTAAATATAGCCCTTACTAAAATATAGCTAACTATAGCTCTTACTAAAATATAGCTAACTATAGCCCTTACTAAAATATAACTAACTATAGCCCTTACTAAAATATAACTAACTATAGACCTTACTAAAATATAGCTAACTATAGCCCTTACTAAAATATAGCTAACTATAGCCCTTACTAAAATATAGCTAAATATAGCCCTTACTTTCTTTGATCTCTTTAAAGTGTTGATATAGCTAAATATAGCCCTGACTTTCTTTGATCTCTTTAAAGTGGTGAATTATAATCATGAAAGTAAAAAATTTCAAATTTTACAAGACTACACCTGGATACTAACAATACTTGATCAATATGGAACTGTACTCGAGGTATACGGTTGGCTCTTGGCCCACTATACGCTCGTATAGGGCCACCGCATCAATCAAGAGGATAATTAGGTATTCAAACAACCCTCTTATAGTATTACCGGTATTAATAATTACTGGCGATGACGCCATTATTCCTTATACGTGAATCGTTACGCGGCTTAAAATTAATTCAAGTCAACGGACATAAACATCAATGTAGAATCTGTACCCTACTGGCTACAGTCCCTACTATGCTATACATTATTTCATTCAATACAATCCCAGCCTAGATAAAGCTAGTTCTTAATAGTATATCCAGTACCGCACGTAGTCTATTTTCTAAACTCTTATCAAAATTATCGTAAATTATGAATGATTTAGAGTAATAATCACACATTGCGAGTAATTATTAAAATATTAATAGTCTTAGCTATTCATACGTGATTTCGCTGTCGGCACCTCACAATCGTATCAATCCTGCCTACATTAGCACCTGAATAAACTTTGCTCACCAAAAATGACGATCAAGATTAACAATATGCAAAGATACGTTGTTGACAGAGTAGTGCAATTAGTTAAGTTCGTAAACCACGCAATAATTGAAATTAATTACTTTATGACTCAGATGCGGTAAAACGTAACTTCGACTAGGCGAATATTTCTAGCAGTAAAAATGATGACTAATAGAGAATGCGTTTTGGCACACAAATAGTAAAATTCATCAATACCTTTATGGTATGCAGTAACAAATCTTTATGCATATACGAATATACTCATCTACGCTGACATAGCTAGGATACCTTTACGACATACGAGTACTGTATGATTTCACAAAGCACCAACGGTATTTTACTACATGATAAGAGCGTAATCTTCCACCATTAGGCTATATACCAGGCGCAATATATTGTACATTGATTGTTAATTCTTATTACAATAAGGAGCATTAGGACATACTAAATTGAATTAGTTACAGTGCCTTTTCACAAGCTGGGGGATGAAATCATAGAAATATAATAATGATTATAAATATAGTCAAAAGATAAATAAAACGTTTGTTATCTATTAGGAATTAAAATACGCGAGTATCGCATTATCATTATCATGCTATGCGTATTTTACAATTGCAAGAAATATGCGATAGCATAACACTATCTATCCTAATTTGCTTTATAATTCCGGTAGAGATGTGTTTACAATTAATGTTAAACATTTCCTTAAGTTAGTCGTTGACGAAATGGAATTTTTTAAAGTGATGACATAAGACGATAATTAATGCATTTCTCTACGCCTACCTACTTTTTACTGTACTAATTAATTTGCCGTTATTACTACGGTTTATTTTGTCATAATATTCACGCACTTTGATGACGATAAGGGAGCTCATTATAATCAATATTATGTATTGATAATAACTGTGATTTTCACATACAACTATACTGTAAGGCATATTGGTAATCATTCTTTACGGTAACATTGTTTTATCTTATAAACAAATTTTATCTATACACTCAAATATAACAATTACAAAATTCAATTATTAGATACGTAATCAAGCAATCGCATGATTCCTTTAGTATTATAATACTCAAGAAGTAATCATAACAATTATTTTCTTCATTTTCGCCTTTCAATTAGGCAAGTTTTCCTGCCATTTATTAGTCATCTTATCGGTGATCATTTATCAAAGGCTATACCACATTTTTTATTGCACTTTACTTCGTCAATACATCATCAATTTCTGAATAAAGCCCCAATAATACATACATATATGTAATAAGACGGTACGGAATGATTCATATGGTACTCAATTGAATAGAATACCCGGTAAAATTATAACTCATTTCGAAATTTATGTGCATACATTCTACCATCTTAACGACGCCTTAAAAGGAATTCTATTTTAGGGTAAATATCCGCTTGGTACGCATTAATGTTAGGAAGAATTATTGTTTAATGACAATGAGCCTTTGTTCTGTTGTGATTAATCCACGCGGATAAAATATAAGAGAAAGATATAAAAATTGTAATAACATAGAAGTTATGCGGCTCATAATAATGATATAATGATATTATTAGCATTTAGGAAGTAACGCAATTTTCAATCGGAAAGAAATTAAAGAATATTAATATTGTTATTGTCACCTCCGTGCAATATACAGTATCTTTATTTCTTTCATATGATAAAAATAGTTACGTAAACGAAAAAGAAGGTTGAATATTGCTATCTATTATGGAATTTACCGGAGGAAATGAGATTTTCTCAATAATAGGGAATAAATAGCTTCCTCGATCATGCAATACTAATCAATTTTGCATGTCATCAAAAAGTTGTGATTTAATCCTTTGATAGCGAGTGTGTTAACTGTAATTAAAGACTTTGATTTCTACAAATCACTGCAGCAACTATGCAATGTAAGATTCCTCAATTTACTCTCAGGAATATCAAATATAACCGTCTATCGTGTTACACAAGCTACCTTCCACTTTTTATTAACTAAAGACAATATGTATGAAATGTTATTATCGCAGTAAATAGATATTCCCCAAGTACTATACAGGGTTAAGAATTGTAAGCCAGCACTTTATTCTTTTGATTTTATTTTCAAATTAGTTGAAGAAATTTTGAATATGTTGCTATGTATTACAACATTATTATACCTCTTTTGATATATAATAGTTATGCTATCGGAATTATTATTGTAATAAGACTATACAGTATTGCCTAAATGAATGAATTGAAATGCCTTTAGACGATAAATTGTCTAAGATATACATTACGCTAGCTTTTATTGACTCAAGAATGAAAGGATATACGATTTACTTCTGGGAAGGTAAAAATTGCTTGAGGCAATCCTTTTATAATCGTTTATCGTTTATTTTAAAAAATTCAACAACAGATTAGAACTGGCATCATGCTATGATTCACAATATAGAGTTCTGGCTAGCTATTATTAGTTTGACCTCCTGATGTCAATGTTATTTTTGTAGCTTTCAGAACAGCATATCATAACAATAAAGTCCTGTAAATTTTCCACCAGAAAAAAATTTCAGTAGATAAACACTACATTACATTACCAAGTCATCTAAACTAGTAAAACATAGTTGTATTAATGTGAAGAATCATGCAGCCACCAAGCAGTGATTTTAAGGGCACTCAAAGGGATAAGCGGCATTTATTATGATGATGTCTATTCGTATTGTTATTTTAGCGGCGACAATAAGCTTAATGGTATTGTTTTATTGCTACAGGTGATCAAATCAGTTTTGATAGTAAGAAGATAATTTTGAAAGAGGTTAAAAAAGATGATTAAACCTAGAGTGGATATTTACTTAATCAAAGATGTTGGCCATATATTTAGATATAAGCGGATATATAATACAAAGCGAAATCAGTTGATTAATTCCTATTGTTGATTTTCTGCCTCCTATGATTGTAGTATAGTGGATATAATTAGTCAACTCGAGTTAATAACGTAAAATGGACAAAACCAAGATGAAAACTTTCCAACTGTGATCAAGAAAGTACAACGGCGATACACTGCTGCCGTGCTATTGATGAACATCAATCTATTAACGTTAAAACAAGCTACTAATTTATGACGTAACGGCATCATTTGGTTACTTATAATAACAATTTGTCATATGATCGTTAGCAATTTTCCCCGTATATATATTTTTTTAATTATAACCGATCTCTATGTATCTGTTGTGACTCATATCAAGATACTGCAGATTTTTATATACTTTACAGATAAAAAACGTTATTATTGAAAACACTACCGTACTGTAATTATTAAATAATCGCAGGAGATGATGATTATTCCAGTGCGTACTTAAAGCGATGGTCACAAGCCGCTTGGTTATAACAAATTGATCATATTTATAATTCATTACGGAAAATCATTTTTATGTATCGAAATAGAGACTAAGGCAGGTTAAGAATGACATTGAGGAACAGAGAGAGTAAAATGGTTGAACCTTCACCCATTATTACTGGTGTAAGTACACTTCAGAATAATAAAAGTCAACTATATAATGGTTATGGCCAACACTACCCTAGCAACCGGCATTATAGTGAATACGTCAAGGAAGTCAGGAAGTGGCAAGAAAGCTTTATCAAGCGTGAAAAGCAACAACTAAAAGAAAGTATAAAAAAAGTGCCATCCTGCTCAAATGATCGAATAGGTCAAGCTGATAATATTAATCAGTTTAATCGAACAGCAGCACTGAAGAGCAACTCGTATCCTTCGGTACTTTATAAAGGTAGGCTTCACAGTTTTATGCCTAGAAGCGATATTGACCGCTTGGATCCGCTCAGCCCACCTTCAACTTTAACTAATCAGAAAGAATTGCGACGTTCTATCATGGCTATGACGACACAAGGTAACCCACAATCTAATAATAACATCTCGGTTAAAAGTAATCATTACGGATCTAAAGCAAATAATTTTATGGTCCCAGTCAACCAGAGAAATGTATCTATACCCACTCTCCATTATAGTAGAGATAAAAGTAGTAAACGTCGATTATCACCTTTATTGATGATTACAAGAAGGCAGCGTCATCATAAAACTACTACTTCTACTTCGATTAAAGATCGTAAAAAAGTTAGTGATATTGAAAGTCACATCGATATGACTGTTAAATCATCTGATAAAAATCTCGATCAAGATAGGCAGCAACCGGCCAATCCTTTAACTAATGGAGAACAGGATTGTGGAACAATCACACACGATGACGAGCTAGAGGTTAATAATGGCAATTCGGATAGAAATGATGGTGACGATTCTAAAAAGAAACAGTTAGTTCAACCTGAGGAATTATCAATGAAAGAGTTGAATCTTGACGATAATGTTGATTCCGACGTAAAAATCGTTATTGATGAAGTAGAAGATAACACACAGAATGAAATTACAGAACAGAATGATGTCAGCAGTAGTGATAATCATTTAAAAATTAATTCTGTTTATCCTAAACTAAGGGCCGTTTTTGCCTTTACTAAATTTCTTAAATGTCAAGGCCAAATATCAAACCTGGTAAAAGAATTAAAGGATATCGTTCACGCAGTTGAGGAAAATACACAAGAATAAAGTATTCGAATATGGATTGAGATTAGTACATTGAGATATCACATTGTTACAACTCACTTGATAGCATATGCAATATACGAGTACAGCCATTCTCACAATTTTAATTATTCGGCGGTGTTGGAGCTGTTGTACATCGTACTATTACAGTGGTGTTATTGCCTTGATGCTTCTAAAAACGACTTATGCAGCTTTATTTTTTACTACTTAAACATATACAAGATTGTTCGTTACTAATATATTACGAATTTTGTGACATTAACTGATCAAGTATAAACAGTAAATAGCTTTTGAGCCCTGTAAGAGTGAGGAAAGGATTATTTGCCCTTGCCTTTGACTTACTAATAAATGTATCGTAAATTCTATACAATTTTGTATGAATGTCGTTAATTAATTAATTTAGTTAACTACGGTATAGTTCGTCGTCCAAAAAGTCAGCAATACGATCGAGAAGGTAAATTGTGATCAAATTATCAGCATTATATCGTGTATATGAAGATTTTGTTTGAGATTACGCATAATCCCATTTTCCATCAGTTTAATAATGAAATTTATTCCTTGCCATATTAAAATAGCCATGCTCATCTTATCTCGGTTATTCAAGAAGATTTTGGTGGTAATTTTATCATCAAATTATAACTTTGTCAAGTTTTAGCAATAGTCTATTAATGGATGTTGCTGCTCTTTGTATACTTGTACAATACAAATAAATAAATATGCATTTATTACTTCAAAGTTCTAATCTTAATACTGGGTAGACGTATGATATTGAAAATATCTGCGGTACACACGATTTCATTTTCTACCATGGTCTTCAATGTTTACGCACATATTACTTTCAATAGGAACCGCTAAAATGAAAACGTTTTCTCAATGGTCTCTCACCATCTCTGATTGTACTATAGTAGTTCCTGCTATACGTTCGCGCAATATGTATTATCGATAATTATCGATAAGCGCTATTGAAGCAATAGTAGCTTGATATACTATACGAAATTGAGCATAGATAATCTTTTCTCGATCAAGTAGCTCTATCATACCACTTTTACCATAGACATGTTCTACTTGTTGAAAGTGTGAAAGGAATGAAAAGATTGCTGAACTGCATAAGAATGATAGACATGTATGCTGTTCATTCACGTTTAAGAGGGAGTAAAGTAAGATATTATTTTACTTGTCCAGTAGATGATTAGTTATACTTTATAGTGAATGAAACGATTCTTCTAGTCCAGTTTATGCGTATACTGTATTATAATTAACTCCTTGACGTAATTTGATTAATTTTAAGAGTAATGTGAGACGCTACTCTAGAGTAATATTGCCATAATTGTTTTTTTAAAGTGCCAGACCACATTATCTTTTGTGCATGCCATCACCAACTTTTTTAGTATGCACTTGAGGACTAATGGCTATGACGGTATAACTGAATTAAATATTGAATGATGGGGGGTATTGTCGTTTAATTCGTCGACATTGTATGTTATTTTTTTTATTCCATACGAATATCTTGACAACCAATACTTTGCTATTACCGTCTACATATGTATCAGCCTTCCCTCACGTTGGTAAAAATGGTAAATTATACAGTATATTATGTTATGTGAAGTTTACAGTATGTATATATACAGTAGTAGTATTCGCAAAGAGAGAGTCAAGACATTTTGACAGGTAGGCGTACCATGCAACTTCGTACTACGTATAGTTGCACGTTCACAGTGATTTGTAGATCTCTGATTGCAAGTAAGGAAGTCTGTATTCCGAATAGCCATTTAAAATCAGTACATACGTATACTTACTAGACAGTAATATTACTACTTGTCTTTACCATAGAATCCCACCAACTGTCAAGATATCCAAAATAGTCGTCTGTTTTGTATTCTTTTTCATAGGAATAATGCACCATGGCAGATTTATTCTATAGCCATGACGATAAAGCTGGAATCATGAAGTCTTAGTGTTACACTGTAGTGGATAGTCCATGATGACTATTACACCATGTATAATGTATTGTATACTAATTCGCTATTCAGTATGAAGTCTGCTGGTGAAACCTCTTCAAATGAGGGAAATATCGACGAGCGAAACATCATTTTTTTTATGATGATGCTGATTATCTTTCATACGAGTTTCAAGTGTTTTAATTTTTTAAACTATTTAAGCTGAATCCTTTTTACATATTTATCGTACTCTACGATACGATACAGCCGAACATTTTAATAGCGATGCAGCGTCCAACGCTAAAAATAGAACTACAACACAGTAAAGTGCGCAGTAGTTCTCGCGAAACTCTGTGACCCGTATATCAATGTGAAAGGAGACCATTCTGTATACTTTACACTAGTGTACGCTATACAGTACGTTTGTATTTGAAACATTTTCCTAATCGAATTTCCGAGCAAGAAATCGGCATTTTTACGGAACACTCGCATAATCATGGTTTGCTGATGCTTTTTAATTAATATCACTTGCAAATCACGAACATCAAGTTCAAGCCATGAGAGTACTGTACACTGTGTACAGTACAGTAACTGCATAAGCATGATGATACACTGTACAATGTACTGTAGTGTACTGTACAATGTACTGTACTGTATAAAAGAACAGTACAGTATGTACTGTATGAAAAGGATGACAGTCTTGATAGTGTACGAACAGTACTGTAAAGTTAATATGAATGAAATACTCTATGTTTGCAAGTGAATTTTATCACTATTTTTATTTCTATTCGTCCTAGAACGCTTTTTATAATTCAATACTAAGTGCGGGCATTCATTTCTACGAAAGCGAGTGAGTTTACTTGAAATTTCCAATCCTTAACGTCAAATTATAACTGAAGGATAGCACTACAGTTCATAAATGCTTCGCCGTTTCTTCATTAATTTGTGTACAGTACAGTACATTACTTTGAAGTGCTACTGCTACGTGTACTGTACTGTACAGTACAGTGTACAGTGCAGTCTGGCATAATCTACAGTACTGTACTGTACTGTACTGTACTGTACGACGTGTTGGCCAACTGCGGTACTTTGTAATGCTGTACAGTGTACTGTACAGTAGTGTAGAGTAGAATACAGAAGTCCTTCTGTAAGGTGGCAGAGATACTCGGCTACGCGTCAAAGACTTTCTGGTACACAACCATGATTTGTAGTACGCACTACGCAGACGCAATACTGTACAACTGGTGCACTGCTAGACACTGTATTGTGTACTGTCTAGTACAGTACATTGTACTGTATCAAGGGCATCTTAGGCAAATAGCAAATCCTGTACTGTACAGTATGTACAGTACAGTACTGTAGGCATGGATTTACTGTACATTGTACTGTGGGCATGGATTTACTGTACATTGTACTGTAGTCGACTGTATGGTCCGCGCTGGTACAGACCAGACCGCTTGCGTCATACAGTACCATTCTCTCTCTGCAGTACAATACACAATCAAGGCAAATTGGTGCGTCTATCTAGTACTGTATGACTGTCGTTTGACTGCATTCAGCGCGCGTAGGTGCACATGAGCCGACCCAAAACGATATCATATGTCGCCTGACGTATTACTCATCACACTCCAGTGGGACAATAGCCGGGAGTCTGCGACGTCAACTAGGAAAGGTGGCGTCGTTGGTTAGTTTCATTGGGAAAGTTTGGTGGTAAGTTGAAATTGATCTTGTAAACTTATTCCATTGGTTTTTAAACTATCTTACCTAGGTACTCTATACATCGTATAAATTCAATCGGATGAGTAATGAATGATCAATAGACTGTAGTTTGATCTATTTCAACTGGTAAAATGGGCCAATTTCTCCACTCATTCTTGGTACCATCTTTACTTGGTTGCATTGTTTGATTGTAATTTCAATGGTACTGTTCAACTCACTGTCAAGTCTTTTTCAAAGAAATACGCCAATTTCTTTCTTTTGCATGTAGATATAGTCTTCTTGCCATCATTTCCTTCTAGCAAGGCAATGAGTCGGTATTAGCTCTTCAAAGGTATGACTCTTTCGATATGGACTGAGAAAGAGGCTAAATTGATCCATTTCAGCCGTTAAAAACAAACATATAAAGACGAGTAGTTTCCTTATTCTTGCTCATGGT